TATCACTTTAACGAACGATGTAAACAATGGTCTATCTCAGATATACATATATATATATATATTGTCGACTGGACCAACCACGTGGCGGGGTCGGGGTACTTTTCCAAAAAGTAGTGGTGAAACACAGGTGTAAAGTGCTGCTGAATGTCCAGGTACGCCGCGTACTTGTCGGTGGCTTTCTGCAGATACGATCGACATTGCACATGCTTCCACTCGTGCGGGTGATATCGCATATGGGCGTCCACGGGCTTTCCATTCAAGTACCCTCCCATGGGCATCGTGTTGTCCACCCACTCGAGCACCCCCGCGACCGTGTCGAGTGGTGTGACCTACCAATATGGTTGGTTGATTCAAAACCAGAACGAACATCCACAAGTATCAATTACACAAGACATATTGTGCTTTCGAGTGACATTTCATTGTGTTGTGGTGTGGTTTCTCGTTGGAATTTAAATCGATTTGATTGGCCACTTCAGCTGAGCTCAAAAATATTAGCCAATCAAAACCCATTTCTCAATGAAATTCAACCAATCCGATCGATTGTGGATCGGTTTGGTCGGCGCGATTCGAATGTACCCCTCCCCAAATTTGTATCAAATCGACAATATTGAGCCAATCAAATTCCACGAAACTACCGTCAACAAACATTTAAATAGTGTGAGATTTCAATCAGTAGTGTGATTGCCATCAATCACCGCAGGAGGGCAACGTTTTTAACATACAAATATCAGTACAACAAATCGATCGATGATGGATTTGGCTTATCAACCCCACAGTCATATCGACAAAATTGTATATATATATCATCTGGTAGTCGCATCCTCCACCACAATATATACCTTGTACGTTTTGATCTGGAGGTGGCGGCGGCGGGTGTTGGGGTCTTCGTCCAGAAACGAGTTGACAATGTCGAAGGCTTGTTCGATCACCAAGTCCTACAACACTCATAGGTATGATATTCCTACAATTATATGTCGGCAAAAGGACCTGTCGCGTGTCGTCGTTGCCTTTGACCAACTGCTTTCGTCGGACGCCATCGGACCCATAACAATAGATGATCTTGGGTTTGTGCACTCCTATATTTACAGCACACTTGATTAATGCAAGGCCTCCTGAATGTCCACCTCTATATATTGTCAAGTCGTCGAATCGAAACCATTGGAGTGGGGTGCTCAATATCGAATAAGCAGAATAACCAAATCGACAGACAATCGATGATCGACCAATCAAAACCCACAAGACATGAATCAACTAGCCAATCAAATCTTGGACCAATTCAACACCGAATTAGTGTGTGAGTGACTGAGAATTCGTGTGATATACTGAAAACGATCTCTTTCCATACAAAAGTTATTATATCGATCGATCGATAGATTTGGCGAATAACAGTAAAGTCCAAATTTAGGGTAAAAACGACAATTAAGCTCGCTACCTGAATCGGTGACTGTAAAGTCCTTCTCGAACGACTGCACACGGGGCACGTTCGAGTAGTCGCCGTCCGGGCGAGGCTTGATGGCTACCGTGAGCACCGCCGGCCGCGCGGGCACGGACTGGTTGCATTTGCGCAGCCTCAAGCAATTGTCAAAAGGAACCCGATCTCGTCCCACGAGGATGTTGGCCAGTGCAATCTTCTTCAGCCCTACCAAACCCAGCACGATCCATAACATTGCAAAACACAGCCCCTACGACTCTAATCGGCGTGGACGACAGTAGCGTTTGTGATCTGTTTCTCAAACACAATACCACGTACGTACGTACCTCGACGCTCGTACTCCTTGGTGTCGTGCAGCGCCAGCGTGATATATGCATCGCACAGTACTTCCATGTTCTCGACCAACGCCGCCAGCATCGGACTGGACCGCTTGACAAAGTTCAGCACGTTCCCCGCTTCTTCGGTCTTGAGCACGCCAATGTTGTCTCGGTACGCGGCCGTCCCGCGCTTGGAGCCGTTTTTCAGCGCCAGAAGCTGCACGATCGTGTGGTGGGGGTGCTCCGTCGCGAGCCTCCGCACCAGCTCTTGGACGATGTTGCTCTTGGTGGACGTTGTGCCCAACCGCGAGATCACTTGGTAAGACAGCGGAATAAACTTGTACGATGGCACGCTTTGAACGATGTCGGCCATCTCGTCGTTGACGAGGGTGTGTTGGAAATGCCGAAACCACAGCGACAGGATGCGAAACACTGGCGTCATGTCCCCGTTCGCCGCATACCTGCCACAAAAAATAGCATGAGAACACGACGATTGTGCTGTATCATAGCAAATGTACGGCATGTCCACATAAACGCCAATCGATTTATCTCACCTATATATATATATATATATATATCGTATTCAACCATAATATACCTTTTATCACTTTAACGAACGATGTAAACAATGGTCTATCTCAGATATACTTCATTGTGTCCTTGAAAAAAGGATCCCAAAAACCGCACGTTATTTTGATCCAATCAGATCGACACAATAGTTATGACAATAAATCCTCTGGCAATAAAGTATTGGGAAATAAAAAGTAGACCGGCGAGTAAATTATCATATTCAACCTCTAATTATTGTGAATTCGCTATAACCTTTTAAAATTCGCGTGGTTTGTCTAATCAATATTGAATCACGCCGGAGTTCTGATTGGTTGAATATACTTGTAGCCAATCAAATCCACTTAAAAATGGCCTAGCCAATACTAGCGTCGATGATTCGTGATTCAATGGCGGCGAGATACATTCGATTCGACGGGGTCTGGAAATTCGTATCGAATATACCACAATAACAAAATAGATCTTTAAATTGCGTACCGCAAGCTCAAGCCGTAATTTTTCAATGTACTGGTGAGAAATCGATCCACCGACGATTCCACGGCGTGGCGTTCTCGCTTGTCAAACTCGACCTGTATATACTCAAGGGTTACCCGCCTATTTTCAAAGCATGTTGTACCTGTTTTCGGAGAACGCCATGCCGGGAGTGCGCTTTCTGAGCGCTGGACGTGGCGTCAAAGAGCCGAAGCTCGGCTTCCTGGGCGTCAGCCACCTTTTTCCCGCGCTTCCACTCGTTCGACTCGACGCGCGTCTTGACTTGATTGTAAATGTCAAATGTAAAGTCTGCCAACGTCCGGTAAGCTTTCGACGCTTCGTGTCCACACTGTGTTTCCTACATATCCATGTCAAGTAAAGGGCATTTATTGTGAAATTCGAGTGTTTGGGTGGTCAATATCGAAGGAGCAGAATCACCAAATCGACAGACAATCGATATACGACCAATCAACCCAAACCCAGATCACGAATCAACTGGCCAATCAAATCCACTTTTCGACCAATGTAAAACCGAATTAGTGTGTGCCTGAAATTAGTGTGATACTGGGCGATCTTTACATTCCAAAAGTCAGTACAACGAATCGATCGATAGATTTGGCAAATAATCAGCACAAAAGTACAAATTTGGGGTATCGTTATGTTTATTCTAAACTGGAGCGGCATGGAGAATGAGTGTGTGACTCAACTATTAGTGTAAATACGATCACCACAGAGCACATTTTTACATTCAAAATTCAGTAAACAAAATCGATCGATGGATTTGATGGATTCAGCACAAAAGTCCAAATGTTGGGTAAAAGGACAATTATATATCATCCGAACAGACAACTGTACTTACCGCGCTCATGCTTTCAAAGATATGGGTGGCAGCCGACAAGTACGTCGTGTGAATCACTTCACTTCGCTCGGCTTTCATATCGGCCAGCCACTTGCCAATCGTAGAGTTGGCTTGTGCCAGAGCTAGCCCTTGGTTCTTCTCGGCTGTTAGCTGCCTGTGGACGTCCTTGGCAATTTCCAATGCGCGCGATCTTTCGTTGATGGAATAGTATAACCGCGCCTTTTCCATCAGGTATGCGATGTGGTCCGATGGTCCCAGAGGTGTCTGCTCCAGCTCACTCAATGCGTTGAAGGCAATCGCCACCCTATTGGCCTTCCGCGCTGCCTTGGCCAGCTTTAATTGCCTACATATCAACAAATATCATCATAGATGCATCCAGATGTTATACAGGGTTGTACCACGCTGGCAAATACGCCGCCCCATCCAGGATGGTCAAGCAGCACTTCTCCACTTGGAGCAAGGTGGAGTACGTGTCAAAGCTACCGTCGGCATACACGGCATGCCTTCGACTCCAATTGCCAGCCAACTCGTGAAACTGGGCGTCCACGTCCGCCACACTCGAGCCAAGAATGGACGGCTGCGACTGCTCTTCCTACACTTTTTATGTTAGAAAATATGTGACAGCGTTTTGTCACACACACACTTTAACTTTCCACACGGCCTCCAATTTCGCCACCGTTTCCAACTGCACCATGGATTTATGCAAAGTCTTGGTCATTTCAAGGCCTACATTCGTTGGTCCATCAACGTTAGCTCGACGACCAACAAAAAGGTGGAACCCACATACCCGTAAACGACACGTTTTGACGAATTAAGATGGAGGCTTTGGCTTGCACAACCAGTTGTTGGAACTGCGCGCCATCATTCGAAGCCATCGACTTGAGACAGCCGTACAGCAACCCGTCAAACTTGGCAGTCGAAGAACCCTCCGCCGTCGGAACCTTCAACGACCATTGGCTGTGCTTCCACGCCATTTGGTACTGGAATTTGCTAATTTCCGACGAGTCGTGGGTCGTCAGGTACGTCTCGAGCAAGTTTGTATACCCCAGCGCATGCAGCGTTCGAGCTAGGCCTAGCATGGGATGTATGTACATTATACTGATTTATAAAGTCGTCGCTCATATACCTTTTTGGTACCCTGCGCCTTTCTGCCTCGCGAGGACGTCGTAGAGCGGCAGACAATCCGAGTATTTGTTTTCCAGAGTGTACATGGTGAGTTGGTCTGAGAGCGAGTGGCCTACTTGGCGGACGCCGTCGATGGCGTCCAGGGCGTTGACTTGCTTGTAAGCTTGCAGCAGGATGTTGGCCACCCCTGGGGCCAACGCCTGGTCTGGCGCAATGGTGCCAAATGTGTGCTCCAAGTGCAGTTCGACATACTGCAGCGCCGAGTATGGCATATTGCAGCGCAGGGCCAGCTCAGCCACTTGCATATATGGCAACGCCCACACGGACTGACCGGATTTCATCGTCTGGAGGTGTCGCACATAGTTGATGGTTTGGACGAGAACTTGGCCGTGGTCGGGGGGCAGCGACGTTGCGTCTTGGAGTATGAGCTGTTCGAGCCTTTGCAAGTCGGGGGCATCAGTGCCAAGGATGGAGTAAATTGCCATCGGGAGCAGGAAGATGGCGAGGCGGTCGTTGACCGAGCAAACGTCGACGCACGCCCCAAGGATAGGATCCGGCGATTGCATTAACAACACACTGCAAATGTGGCAAATCCAGTGCCGAAAGGAGGGATGGTCTACAGGAGCCCATCGCGGGACAGTCGTGCGACGAGTGGGAAGTGCACGGACGACTGTGGTAGCCGCAGGAAAGAAATTCTGGAGAAAGGCCTTGGGGCCATGAGCATGACTTTTCATGTGGTTGACGGCGGAGTGGATATCGTTGAGCTGCAGCAGCGCCTTGAGCGTGTCGTGCGCTGTGTGCACGACACGGCCGTCCGAGTCGAACAGAAGCAGAAGTAAACACTCTAGTAGTTTGCCAACAAGTTCGAGCCACGGATCTTTGGCCTGCGACAGCGCGGCCAACGACGGGCGGGCAAACAGGTGCAGATACAACACGTCCAGGCGCGCCACATCATGACTGAGCAGGTCCGCCGGGAACACGGCACCCATCAGTCCAACACACGTGGCAAGTTGCACTTGCTTGGCCGAGTCGGCTTCTCGCACCGCAACTTGATATGTATTGGACAAGAGACCGTGCACGATTGTGGGGATATGGTGGTCGTCTGTGTTGGCTGCGACGATGTCTTGGAGTGACAAGAGCGTTTCCATCGTCAACGGGGTGGATTGCAGAGGCGGCCGCGTGAGTTTTCCGGCCAGCGTTTGAATCATCACGGGCTCGTCGACGTTGTGTGACCGCTGCAGCTGGTTCAGTCCTGGCGAGATCTGCGACGGAAATGGGTCGAGGGTGGCCAGGAACTTGCCGAGCTTGGGCACCCGCGCAATCGCATGGGCGATGTCTTCGACGACTTCTTGGACCTTCACGGGAAGCGCGGCATACCGCCGGACAAGGTCCCGAATCAAATGGTTCAGATTCTGGCCAAACAAGTCGGGATCGCGGGTCATCCAGAGGTCGCACACACGCTTCAACGCACCCGCGACATCAAACCGGTCGACGTGTTGCACCAGCACATGCAACACGATGCGGTGCGACAGGGCGTGGCCATTACAAGCCGATTTGGACAGCGCATCAACGGCATCGCATAGAAACTTGATTGGCTCGGATGCAAACGACTCCAGCTTGTGTTCTTTCACCCAGGCATGGACAGCCAGCACCACGTCCACGAGATTCACAGGCAGAGGACGCACCATCGACTCCAACGTGGGCCAGTGCAGAGGGTATAGCTCCGGATCGTACGCGTTCAGGTGCATCATGTACTGCAACACGACCAGCGTACTGTGTCCATCGGTGGGAATTGATGGTTCAAGCCGCCTGGCCCAGGCCAGTACGACACGCACGCTGGATTGAATTGCCGCTAAATTCGGTACGTCTGTTTGCACTTGTTCTAACGAGCGGTGGATATCCGTGTTTGCTTCGTCCAGCAACACCAACAACGTCAAAATGGAGGGTACGACCGAGCTGTCAGCCAAACGAGGCAATTGAGCACCAAACAACGCCATGGGAAACTGCCACACGTTCCTTTTCGCACGCAATTGAGGCCCAAGCTCGACGTAGTGGCACAATGTCGACCAGCACACATCTTCCAGCATGGCTAACGGCGATGGATATGCAAAGTGCTGGGCCAGGGCGACAGTGCACGCCTGGAACAGCTCTGGATCGGTGTCAAACCACAAACTGTACAGCGCCAGCACCCGACTGACGAGGATGTCGGCACTGGCAGCCGAAATAAAACACGCCAAGGCGGATACAAACCTGTGGCGGCCCTTTTCCTTGAGCAAGGCTTCGACGTCGTTGAAAATGGCCACCACGCCTTCGTCGTACTTGGCGTACGCAGACTGCAGCACGCTGATACTGGCGACTTGCACTTGGATGTCTTGGTCACACAGCGACGCCATCATAAAGCCGGAGAATTGGACAAACTGATCCACATCCATCACAAACAGTTGTTCGTAGGCCAACACGAGCGCTCGGCGCAGCTTTCGTGGCTTGCGTAGCTTGAGCAACGCGTCCAAGACCAGCCCGAGATCGTACGAGGCACTGGCGCTTTTGATTTGTTGCCGCGAAACGACCGCAGCCACGCCTTCCAACGCCTGACACACGTCCACGGGATGACTCGGCAACGCTCTGAGCAGCAAAAACACAATCGTCGACAAGCCTTCGTTCGTGAGCGGTCGCCACAACGACGGAACCAGCGCCAAGCATTCGCTGGCCGTCATGTACGTTTGCTCGACTACGAGACGAATCAACTGCGACGTGTCTTCTTGCTTGGCCGACTGGCTGCTCATGGATGCAGTTCGGCGGTGCTCAAACTGCAGCAAATGGTGGATGCGCAGGCAGCACAGCCGCGACAGATTGTGTTTCTGGCTCAAGCTGGCCCACCGACTCGTGTCAATGTCGTCGTCGTCGACGTCTGGAACGTCCGCGTTGTGTCGATTCGTGATGAACTCTTCCACGTTGGTACCGATGAATCTATAACAACAATGCTAAGCACTAGAAAAGAGCAGGCTTCGTTACATACGAAAGGATGGGGCGACAAGATGGAGGGAACTTGCCCTTGCCGTCCGAGTCGACGCTGACACTGCGACCGAGGAGCTGCAGCATGCACAGCAACTTGTGGAGCAACCTGACGGCGTTGGGCGACGCCATCCATTTCGACATGCGCGACCACACGGCCGTGAGCACGTTCTTCATGAGTACATTCGCGTCCAAGCAGTACACGTCCAGCACACCTGCAATAACAACCCCCACCTACGAGAATAATAAAAAGAATAGTTAATCAATCGACATTGCACTACAAAACCATGGTGCTTACATTCATCAACGCTTCCACGTACACGAGGTGCTGGTCGCTGGACGACGTGTCACACTTTTCAACTACATCAGTCAGTAATCGATGCATTTCGTCGAGCACGACGGCGGGGCTCCGACCGGATTGAGACTTTACGGTAGAGTACATCACGTCCGCGCGTCGGGCTGTCAAGTACGCCGCTGGCTCGAGAGTGATTTGTAGCTGCACATACGGGGGAAAGGCAATTCTCGATGCGGCAAAAGCAGAGGGGGAGTCCTTGGTGCGGCTGTGCCGGGCAAAATACCCCGCCAACGAGCTGAGGTGGGCGAGGGGGGGTACTTCGAACAAATCGGCGTCTCGCTTGGAAAACGACTTGGCGCAGTCCGGAGGCAGATCGCAGGTCACACATCCGACCCAAAACGATGATACGAGGTATGGCGTACAGTCTAGAAACGTACGGCCGTCGGCGAAGACGGATCCGATGGCGGCAACCAAGACTGGAGCGGCGTGGCCGAGTCCGTCGGGCGCAAAGATTTGGTGCGCGAGGGTGCTCATGTAGTACGTGGCGACCTCTTGTCGTGTCCACGCGTTGTCGCACATGTCCGTGTCAACTTTGGTTTGAATCAAGTAGAGCAACAGCGTCGCATACACTAGCCAGACCAACTAGTCGTGAGATGGGTCGTGTGGACATGTATGTTATTACCAGACGGAGATGCAAATGCGGGAAACGTCAAGATGGCCCCTAGATCTCGTTCGAGCGTGGCCATTGGAACGTACTCCAATGCGACGAGGGCGGACAAGAGCTGCAGCACCACGTCACACTTGGTCATGTTTCGAATCGAAAAGTCCGACACCAGCGTCTGCCACAACGCGCGCCATCGAGTTGGATCGTCGTGTGGGCGCATATACAGTGACAGAGCTAAGAGACAGTGCAGCGTTTGTTCTTTGCAGTGGCCATCCATCGTCGCATCGTTGAGGGACTGGATCAGGACGTTGGCTAGCGCTTGCAAGCTCTCCAGTTGATGGCCCACGAGCCTAACCATGTCTCATAACGGATGTAGATGAGCGAGTGTGCACATACCAGTGTCCGTGGCGGGCCAGCAGCGCTTGCACCAACATAAGCCAGTGCAAACGAGCCAAGGTCATGCCTTTCAACTGTTGCGTCGACGACATCTGCGACACTGGGAGCACCGGTGGGATCGAGTGGTCGCCGCCTTGGAGGTGGCCGACAATGGTCTCGAGGTCAGTCATGTGACGACGTCGTTTTGTGACACTGTGCTGATGGAGGAGCTCTCCGACGCCCCACTGATCCATGTAGAACACGACGTCGGCCACCACACTCAACCACAAGTAGCTCTTCTCCATCACACCCACATTGGTGGCATTGTGTGCAATGTGACGAACGATGTTGGTCAGAATTTTGTCATCCAATACGCACGACGCATGCAACTGCTTGAGTTGCCGATTCTACATCGAATATGAGAGCCATTGATTTTCATACACACACCACACCTGGACGGATGTAGGCGGTGCGGCGCTGGCATGCACGAGGCGGTAATACATGATCAAAAACTCGGCCGGTTCCTGGGAAAGCGCGAGCACTTCGTCGTTCAAGTGGCGCTGGACGTACGACATGGCTTCGTGCGACGACAGGAACGGCGTCACATGTGGACCGTACTGTTGCATGAGGAGCACCATGCAGCTCAGAACGTTCCGTGTTAGGACAGTGTCGCCAGGAATATTGGTGGCGTAGGTAGATTGAGACGTCCTGCTGCTATTCCCGTCGGAGCTAGCATGGAGGAACCACTGGTGCAAGTACTCCATCAACTCTGGCAGTTTCGGATGCAAGTCGGACTGGTAGTACGTCAGAATGTTCAGCGCGATCTTGGACGCGACCAACGCATTCTTGGCCGTGCGGTCGTTCATGAGGTAAAGGGACTTCTCCAACACCATCTTCAAGTGCGAGTCGCTCACGGCGCGACAGTACGCACGGAATTTGAACAGTTTGTCGAAAATGCGGAACGCGCTGGCTTCCGCGGCAGTGTTTTCGAGACTTGTCTTGGCAAGAATGGATCCGCAAGACGACACCAAGCTCCTCAGCGTCTTGAGACCCACGCTGTCGCGATCGAGGACTGCCGTGGAACTCGCAGGGGACGTATGTGTGTGCGCGTAGTCGAGGAGGTCGTTCATCATGGATTCGAGGTCGAGCTTGATCTCTTTCTTCGCAATAGATTTCTTCTTCACGATCGCAGAAACGTCCTCGTCCAGCACCTGCACCAGCGCCGCGATGACAAAGCTCCACGTCCCGCTCGCGTGCAGCACCTGCTGGTGCTTGAGCGACGTGATCATGCCCTTGAACGCAATCAATGCCGGTCCACGCTTCCCCTTCGGCTTGCCGATCTCGCGGCAAATGTGCTTGATGTCCGTCCAAATCTCATTGTGCGTTTGCAATGACACGGACGCATTCGACCCGCCAAAGTTGAATGCTTCGTCGTCGTCCATGATTATTGTTTCGTGTTGGGTTTCGACAAGTTCAACTCCCCAACAACCAAAATACAAAAAAAGCCGAAATTTTGTTCAAATTCGCGTATTGATTAGACTGGAACTTCTGATTGGCTGAATATACATTCGATAAGCACCAATCCGATCCACTGAAAAATGATATTGCCAATAGCGTCGATATGTGGATATTTGTACCAAATCCATAATATTTTGCCAATATGTTTTGCAAATAGAAGAAGTATTAATACTAAGCTTACGTAAGGTGGATACTAGTACTTCGAAGTACTTCAAATAGTAGATATTAGTGGATATATCAAAATATACAAATATTATTAACGTCACAACACGATGCAAGATATACATATATATTCAATTTATTCTAACGGTTGTCTAGTCGCTGCCTTGAAGCAGCTCGAACCATTGCCGCAGCGCATTGCACAACGTTTCTGGCAGCATGGTGGTGTTCTTCATGATCACATAGTACGGGAACGGGAAGTTGTCCATGTAGGGTGTCATTTCCACCTTGCCCTTGACAAAACTCACGCTTTGGGTATCACAAATGCCTTGACCATCCTTCGGGTGGTCCACAATCAGCAGCACGATCAGCTGCTGCTGCTCCATGGCTGCCTGCACGAGCTTCTGCATCTTGGTGCGTCCGTCCTTATCAAAGCGCCCGTCCGAGATCAAAAACACGATCTGCGTGATCTCCGTGTTGCCGTGGCCGCTGGCGTTCTGCTTGGCTTGGTTGAGCAGTCCCTGAATGGCTTCCAGCGTGTCCACCATGTGGGTCTTGGTTTGGTTGAACTGGAACGCCCGAATCACTCGCGCGCCGGCGTCGTCCGTGAACGGCATGTCGAACGGATGGAGCAAGTTGACCTTTTCCCCAAACCTAGACACATCAATCAACGTCGGCACGTTGTATATACATCATCATCATCCACAGGACGTACTTGACCACGGCAATCTCGCCCACTTCCAGTTGCGTCATGCCCTTGCACAACGTCGTGAGCGCCTCCAGCGCCAGCCGGCCGGCATGATTGTCCGCCATAGATTCCGAATCGTCGATTGCAACCATCACTTGGTACGCCCGTTTGGACGGCTTGGTCCGGCGCAGCCAGATCTTATCCTTGCGGAACGAACTGGCAATGTACGGAATCACTTTGCGCATGTTGATGCGCTTGCCCGTCCGGTAGTCGCCTTGCAGACGCGAGCGAAGCATGGGCGCGAGCACCAGCCGCAGCTGCTCGCACAGTCGCTGGGCCCCGGCTCGGGTGATTTGATCGTACGTACTCCACAGTGCCGTGCCTCGTTCGATCGAGTCCACGGTCTGGAGTTGCATGGATGCGTCCAGGTCGGCGCGAAGGGCGTCGATGTCGACCTCGTCCGCTTCTAGGAGTTCCGTCTGAGCGTCTTTGTCGCCGACGTCCACGCCCGACGCCACCACCGGTGCAAACTCGTCGGCATTCATGTCAAAGTCCCGGGATGCCAGGTCGTTCTCCGAGTCGTCGTCGTCGTCGGGGTTGTCCATCTCAACATCCACGTTGTCTGCCGTGAGACCATCTGGTTTGTTCTTGTTGGAAGGCTTGGCATCCAACGGATCTTGAGGCGCCGCCGCCTTGGGTTGGTCGTTGGGCTTGTCTTCCTTGACGGGCTCGGGTTGTTTCGCCGCATCGTCGTCGTCCTTCTTGTCCGTGTCAAGGTCGTTCGAGTCGTCCTCGTCCTCCTCCATCATGCCTTCCGGCACGGCGGCATCGTCGGTAGGCGCCAAGGCCAAGTCGACGTTCTTGTCATCTTCGTCGGCCATCTCCCCCACGCCACCTTGTTCGTCCTTGTCGTCCGGTTTCTCATTCGCCTGCGATTCATTCTGCGTTTGGTTCGTGTCCAGAATCTCCATGCGCCGACGCCAATGCTCCTGCGCCTTTTCCGGGTTTCTGTACGGGTTAAGGTCCTTGCGTTCGCGACTTTGCTCTTGTTGGGATTCAGCACCGACCACCGGCTTGAGTTCCGACCCGTTCGGGTTGGACTGCGCACCTTGCTGCTGTTCCGTCGTGGTCTCTTCGTCGTCTGGGCGATCGGCGTCTTCCGCAGCATCGTCGTCGTCGTCGTTGTTCTCGTCCCGATCTTGAGGTTCCAGCGCATCTTGGCCGTCCTTGGACTCCACGCCCGCCACCGCCCCGGCACTCTTGCTCTCTTCGTTCTTCTCCGTCTCGTGGGGGGGAGGGGGTGGCTGGTCGTCCGTCTTGTCCGTTTCAGGATCGTCGTTGGACGGTACGTCCATTTCCTGCTCCTCGTTGCCCGCGCCGAGCGGCACCGCCTCCGGCTCGTCTTCTTTGGTTTCTTCGTCGTCGTCGTTCTGGTCCGGATCAGCCGTCGGGTCGCCGTCTTCCCCGTCTTCTGGCTGATCTTCGTCTGGCATGGTTTCGTCAATGTCGGCGGCCTCTTCTTCCTCCTTGTCTTCGCCGTCCAGATTCATGTCGTCGGCAAACTCGTCCTCGTCTTTCTTTTGCTCTTCGTCGTCCGGAAGGGCATCGCGAGGCGCGAGCTCTTCGTGCTCGTCCTCGTACTTGTCCTCCGTGTCTTCGTTCACACCGTCGTCGTCGGGCATGTTGCCGTCTTCGTCTTCCTTTGACTCGTCGTCGTCGTCGTTCCCAGCGGTGTCCGCCGGCGGCTTCTCCTTGGGCTTGTCCTCTTCTTTCTTGTCCTTCTCGTCGTCGTCGCCGTCCTTGCCGCGGACTTCGTCCTCCAACGCTTCGCCCTCGTCCATCTTGCTCTGATCGTCAAACTTTTCCTTTTCCTTGTCAATGTTGTCGTCCTCGTCGTCCGAATCTTCGCCCCACCGCTTCTCATCGACAATGTTGTCTTCGTCAAACTCGCCCATTTCACGGTCCAGCTCCTCCTTGTCGTCTTCGTCCTTGTCGTCGTCGTCCTTGTCGTCGTCTTCAGGCACGTCTTCCATCGCCCCGTCAAAGTCGTTTTGCATTTCCAGACCCTTGTCCTGGTCTTCGTCCTTCTTCTTCTCGGGGGGCTCCTGCGGCTCGTCGCCCTTGAGCCCCAGCAGCTGCTCCTCGTCTTCGATTTGATCGCTCACATCCTTCTTGCCGTCGCCTTCGCCCATCCCCGTGCCTTCGACGTCGTCCTCAAAGTTCATGTTGCCACCGCCGTCCTTCTCTTCGCTTTCTTCTGGCGCTTTGCAGAACCCGTTCGAGAGCAACGTACGGAAAATGCGAATCATCACATAGTCGCACTTGGACATGCTCTTGTGGACATAGACAACGTCGCTGAGCAGCTGTTGGTGCCACGCCACGACCAGTTTCCAACTCGGGAGCAACGCCTGCATCCAACGCACACAGGACTGGTACACGTGGCTCCACTCTGATCGCATGTCTTTCTTCAAGAACTGCCACAACTCGTCCATTTGCGTCGACAAGTGGTTGACTCGTGTCGAGTGCACCAATTCCAGTAGGTAGTCTTGGCACTTGTGCAAAGTCGGGGTTTCGTCGACTTTTCCGTCGTGTGCCACGTAATCGCATGCTTTTTGAATCGACACGAGGACACTTTCCACGACACCGTTCAGTCGCTGGGCAAATGATGTCACAAACTCCACTTGGTCGTCCGTGAACGTCGTCGACTCCACATCATCGGCGTCATCACGTTGGTGGGACTGCACCCATTCGAGATTACGCTGTTCGACCGCCGCCAGTGGGGCGGTGATACTGGTCAAGCTTGTTTCTACCAGCACCGCGCGCACATGAGCGCAGATCAATGCGATTTCTCGCGCGTTCTTCAGCAACGGCTCAGGGTTGAGCAACTGAATGTCGCGCGCCAGCACCTCGGGCGAGAACCCGACGATAGGCGACGGCGATTTGTCTTGGAACCCATAACTCGTCGACGTGTCAAAGTTGCCGTCGTCCATCGGGCGCGTCGGCACGCCAGACGTTTGCGGCAGCTGCGTCCGCTTCAGGTCTTTGCCACATTGCCGCAACAAGCCCTTGGACGTTTCCAGCAGCGGATGGTGCGGATGGGCCAAACGCAGTTCGTCCACCCATTGCAGCAGCTGCAACAGGTCCTCCGTCTGCTGGGCGTGCCACTTCTTGAGCGTCTCTTGAGCATGAATCCACGGCGACGGACCTTGCGTCAGCACATGCAAGTGCTGGAGCAGTCCTTCGTGCGTGTGCGCCATCGATTCAAGCGACGCGCGCTGCTGCAGGATACTGTGGAGCATGTTCTCTGCATATCCACTCATCTTGTCGACTTCAGACCATGAAATGTCCTTGTTGTAGCCAGAAATGACAGTGTATCGCAGCGCCTGCAGCTGAGCCAAGTACCGGTAGTAGTAGCTGTCGGCTTGAGCCCAGATTGGCAGCGGGTCGTCGGCAGTGGAAGGATGGGCACTCGCGTGCAGACGAAGCGACGCCTCAACACGAGGGATTTCCAATTCCAACAGCGACTACAGTCCAAGTGATGAGAATTCAACCAAACTATGTACAGACTGGTGTAGTAGTACCTGAATATGCGCTTGTTGGGGCGGCGTCTTGGTCTTCAGCGTAGACCATCCTTGGTTCTTGAGTTCCGCCAAGAGATCAATAAGGGCTTTCTTCTTGGCGCCTTTAGGTGCAGTCTCCGCCTTCAAGCTGTCAATGCGAAGCAACACCGCCGTGCACAACTCTTCGCTAAGGTGTCGGCCTTGTTGGTTCACGCGCAGGGTCTTGTCACTGAGCAGCTCATGGGTCGCAAACTTGTGAATTTTGCGGCTTAAACTGGGCAGTTGGAGCAACCACCGGAGGGCATTGGACTCGGCCACTTGGGTCAGCGCTTCGGGCAAGTCGAACGTCGCCGACTTGTCGATGTGAGGCACAGCCACCACTCGCCAAATAGGAATCTCGACGTCTTCAGCGTCTTCGTCGTCGACTTCAATCGGATCTTGGCGCGTCTTGAGCTCAATCCAGGTCGACTGCAGCGCCTGGATCCCGTCGTATTTCTCGCTCGTGATGTTGCCGTCGATGACTCGGTCCAAGAATGCCTGCATGGGCATGTTGAGCACTTCCTCATAGTCACGCACAAACTTCATGAGTTTGCGATGGCTCTTCTCCGCCGACAGCGCCAGCGAGTAGTACGTTTGCTCGTCCCACTTGCTGATCTTGACAAACTCGTCGAGCTTGGTTTGAATCGGCTGGCGTAGTCGTGCCCACATCGGATGCAAGTTGTACGTCAAGTGCTGTGCATAGTACCGATACAAATGGTACATCATGCACGCCAACCGGTACGTTTCCGCGCTTGTTTCAGCATAATGTGCGGCAAAGAGCTGGCTACAGAATGAGTAGAGCAGCACCAACCGCGTTTGGAACTGACCGACCGTGCACGATCGAAGGAACCCTTCCATCGTGTCAAACAACTTGTACCGCCATGAATCGAGCCACGAGCTTTCCAGCGGCGCCGGCACCACCATCCAGTTCAAGTTGACCGCGCCGACCTCTTGTATTTCCGGCTTGGCCGTCAACAAACTGTACAGGTGAAACCACGCCTTGCGCGCTTCCAGCTGAAACGACCGTTCCTTGATCACCATCAGTTGTGGCCACGAATACAGTTCCAACTTGCGCCATCTAATCATCAGTATATATCACACAACTTAGCGCTACATTTACTCTAGAACCATGCATTCGTACCGGACAACCAGGGCACTCAACGCGGCCATCTCTTCTTGAATCGACACGTCCTTGGACGCAATAGCTTGCCATTCCTGGGCATTTTTCAGCAGCAATTCGACACCCACCAAGATTTGCGCCAGTGGCACTTGGTTGGACATTTGGCGCAGGCGGTTGGACACCAACAACAGCTTTTGCAGTATCGCATTGTCGGGCCATTGGATCAGCAACGATTGCAACCGGAGCATCATGCGCTGGAGGGGTTTACGCACCAACACCACTTCCTTCACATGCGGATCCCGGTGAAAGTCAATGTTGGCCACGTAAGATGCACTCAACTGCAAGAACGGCACCGTGTCGCAGGCGGCTTGTTCGTCCAGCACATGTTGGGTGTACACTAGATGGCCTCCACGGGTGTCCGTGTCCAATTGGGCATCCAACAGGGAGTTCAACGACGGTTTCAAGTGGAAACCCAGCGCATACTTTTTGATCCACGCCGACTTTAACGACGTCCCAGTTGCCCACGTGTGCACAAATAGCCGCTCGTGACATGCCGCAACGAAGTGCACGACGTGGTCCGGCAGCGGCGACGGCTCTTTCTCGTCCTCAGAGTTGGGGTTGGCGCCATCCAAGGTATCGGTCGCCAGCAAGTCCGAGAACGCCTTGGCAAAGTCGGGAAATTGCTGGCGGTACTCCTTCTCCAGCAGTTGCTCCTCGCTCTCAATCTCCAGCGTCCGCGTCTTGAACTTGTACAGAGCATCGGCTTGCTCCTTTTCGCGCTCAAGTTTAGCTTGATTTTCCGACCACAGCTGCAAGAACGCGTCAAAGATCGCCGGCGCCGTGTCCACCATCGCATGGTGCGCATGTGGCCGCAAGGACGCCTGGTTGCGGTAATGCAATTCCACTTGGTTCAATGCGGCCGTCAACCGGTCCACCGCCGACACGTGGTGTTCATTCAACGTGTCCGAGTGCCTACAGAAAATTGCAACACATTGTCATCGTTTCTGATCTATATAGCCCTTGGCATATGATAATCATAGGCACGTACTTCAACAGCACTTCGGCCGTGGCATGGTGGGTATCCGGACTCGGCATGCACAGCACCGTCCGCGCCAGCGTCTGGACATGGGCAGTGGCCTTGGCTTCCAGCACATGCGCGACCAAAGACAGTCCGTCCTTGGCATGGTACACGCTGGCAATGACCGGCTCCACCACGTCGCGGTAGTCGGTGTACTTGGCCTGCAACCGCGCGACGAAACTGTCGGTCGTCTGCTGAAACATTTTGATTTCGCGCACCAGCTGCGCGGCGTTCTTGTCGTCGTCGTCCACGTGTTGGCACCAATGCACAACCTTCTTTGTCATGATGGACGTGGCAAAGCGCACAATGTCTTGAAACAAGTCGCCAAACAAGTTCTTATCGCACGGCCGCTCAATCGCCTTGAGTTGCAGCTTGTCGATCTTGTCCGACAGAGGCTGCGGGTCTCGGACAGAGTAATCCTGCGGCGTCAGGTTGGTCATGCACGCGTCCACGGTGTGGTGCACCGCCCACTGCGCCATCCGCCCGAGCAAAAAGTCTCGCTTGATCAGCGGAATCAACGCCGGATCCAGCGGTGACGACGGCGTGAGCAGTCCGAAGCGCCACAGGCCCACCAGTGTCCAGCTCACCCCATGCCGTAGCAACGCATGTTCCTTGTACGAATGATACAGCGTCAAGAACGCCTCCAACACTGGCAGGGACAGTGTGAACCGCGTGTCCGTCGACGCAGCCTGCAACTGCTGCACGATGGTCGGAATCGATTCGCTGGACTCTTGTATGTACGACGCCAAGAGGTCGTACACTTGATGGGACCGAGGCACAAAAATGTAAAGCGTGGCCAAGACCAGCGACCACAAGTAGTCGTGGCTCCACCCAAACAGGTTGGGCGCTTGATGGGCGATAGCCCAGTGGTCCGCCGCTTGCTTGAGCTTGGTCGTGCTCACAGTGACGTCTACAATGGGCATTTTCGAGCTCGATTCCAAGTACTGCATCGCCAGAGTCGTTTCCACGGCCTGAAACAAGCGCAAGAATCCACCGACCTTGGACAACGTTACCGCGTCGGCGTCTGTGTGGTAGACGCGACTGGAGATTGCATCGAGCGAGTTCACGCTGCTGTTCCACAGTCGTTCGTGGAAGTACACCATGGCCGAGTTCAAGTGTTTGGCCACCACGTCCCGGAACTCGGCATGGTCGGCAACCGTCACCACCACGACACCGTCGTCTTGTACGTACTTGTGGGCACGCCACAGCAAGTCTTGATGGGGTACCAACGTCACAGCGGACCGAGTGTGCACTTGACGCTGCAATGTCAAAAACGCTTCCAGGTTGCGTACCAGAGATTGCACCGTCGCGGCAAACTCGGCGTCGGATTTTTCGACCAACAGCGTGGCCAACGTACTGACAATGTGCAGTTCGAGCTCCAACACTCGGAATTCCCGCAGCGGGGCAAGTTGTATCTGAATCCACGATGCAATCACTGGGCTTTCGTCTTCGCTCAGTAGCAATACCGTCGCGTCCTGGTTGACGTCGTCGTCGTCGTCTTGGGGCTGCAAATACACCAACAAGTGCGAATGATTTGCCACGTATTTAGCTTGAATGGTTTCGAGCTGGTGGCGCAGTGCGTCCGGCAACTGCTTTAGCGTGTCGAACGACTGGCCCGACGTTTCGATAAACCAGGCGTACGTTGTGAGCGCGTGCAACACCTCTTGGATGTACGACGGGGGCATAGACAGTACGAGCGCCGGCTGGAATTGAAACACCGAGTTGTTGGTGCATAGCAAATCCACGAGCGACAACTGGTTTACTGATGACGGCACGTTCGAGCACGCCGCGGCCAGCTTTTCCACAGCGGAGATGGCCGTCCACGTGGTCAAGCAAGGCGGCAACTGCCGATGTCCGCCGCGCTTCCACAGCGTGTCCTTGGCCCGAGCGCATCCGATGCACGTAGCAATGGCGTACTCCATGCGCTCCACCATATCGTGCACGTGAACGACCGAGGTCGTCAAGTCGGTGACACACAATTCGCCAAATGCTTGCCAAGCTTTGACGAGCCATTTCCATCCCACGAGGAACGAATGCCACGGAAAGGACACGGACGCCTCCTCGGTTGTAAGCACATGGCTCCATGCAAACCGAAGGTGCAACACGCTTTGCACGGCGCTCACTTGATGGCGGGTCAACTGGTGATGAAGGGTCCGCTACAACAAGACAGGGTGAATCATCACAAGTCTGTTGTGTATATTGGAGAAAACGGCATACCTGGACAAATTCATGCACGCATGTATCCAAAGCCGATAGAAATGGGTACACGACCGGCACCACGTCGTTGTCGACGTCGACAGCGTCCGATCCGTGCAGAAAGCACTGGTACGACTGGTTGAGCACCGTGTGGCCTGCCTTGGGCTTGACTTCGCGCTTGGATTTCTTGGACTGGGATTGTTTTTCTCCAGACGACTTGATGCCGAGCAGCGTCTGCTCTTCATATCGATGCCACCATGTGGACTCGAGCTACAACAAATTGAGTTGGCTGATGTCTATATAATGGACTCCGACGAACTTCTTACCATTTCCAGGGTTTGCAACACTGCTTCCACCTTGACCCACAGCGCTTTGGTCGTGTCGTCGCCATGCTGAAGCACTTCTGCGCGCAGAATTTCTCGGGCTGGGCGGTTCCCGTACAACGAATGGATGTCCAAGCCCGGCATGGCTGCGTTCAAAGCCTTGATGTGACTCGCCAGGACGTTCCACGTATGTTGCAACGACGATTCGTCCGCCAGATATTTCGCAAACTCATGTTGAACCAGGGGCGATGCAAAGCCATCATGTTGTCCGCTGCGGTAAATTGCCCACGGAAGCATGGCCGTCGCCAACTCGTCCGAGTGCTGAGTCTTGGCGCATTCCGTCCACGATTCGTGGTTGCTCAAGAGGAGCGACTTGGGCCAGTGCGCTGCCGCCGCCCCGCAGAGCAGCTGCACCACATCGAGCACGGCGTTGTTGGACATGTTGGGGGTCTCCAAGTACAACGCAAGCCGCGATTGCAAACGCGTCATGCCTGCGCTCGCGTCTCGAACAAACACATCTGTGGAGAGCGACGGGGGGGCGTAGTGCGGCTCTGGGGGCCATACCAGGTCGATGGCGATGCCGAAAATGTCGAGCATCGCCTGCTGGCAGGCTTGCTGGGTTGCAAATCCGTGGTCGACATAAGCCTGCGTGAGCTGGCTCCAGTTGTACGCGTGGCGCCACGAGATGGACCTGTCTTGCTGCATCATGTCTTCGTGGAACGTTTGGAATTGGTGGTAAATACTCAGCGGAAATTGAATGGACGACACGGACTGCATCAAGGACAACATGTCCAGATTGGACTTGGTCGAAATCACATTTGGCGGCAACAACGCAATCTCAATGCATCGGTTTCGCATGGCGCGACTAACTTCGCCAAACTGGGCATCCATGGCCAAGAAGATGCGGAAGTCCGGGTGCGGCTTGACTACGCGCAGGGTGCCGTTCACGACCCCACATTCATTGACGAGAAGTTCACCATCTAAATTTCAAAAATAATGTTAGCGGTTTGAAGGGAAGACATATTCGACGCACTGATTTCCAGCAAAGAATTCAAGCGATCCAATACAGATGCGCTGCAGAAATTGACATTGTCGAGCAGCAACCACTCGCCAGCTTCCAAAGCTTGCAGCAACGTGCCATCGACCCACTCAAAGCAACTGGAACGTCCAGCCGTGGACGCAAGGAGCTTGATGCTGTCGAGTTTTTCTTGAATAGAGTCCAGAGATAACGGCAGCACAATGGCGGTATGTTTGTCTACCACTTGAACCACCAACGCCAGCAGTTGCTGGAGTAGGGTCACTGTCATAGGATCCAATTCCGACTTGTGGCCCTTCCTGCTCGATATAATATTAGCATACAAACAAATAAACAACAGGGTCGAGAGATATGCGTACCAGTTGCGCTGACGCTCGAGCACGGCATACTCTGCGTCCGCTAGCTGGGCCACGGACGCGAATTCCTGTTGAAGGATGCATTGCTGCTGCAATTTCTGGACGGCGTAACTGAGCTCTGTTTGCACTTCTTGGACGCGACGTTGCACATCCACTTGCTCAAAACACCCGAGCAGCTCGGTGGCATCTGTGCCGGAGCTTAAGCCCAACTCGTGCAGGCGGTGGCCAGTGAGCGACGCCAGCAGTTTGACGATTGCCGATTTGCCGCTGCCGCTAGGGCCGACGAGGAGCGCGGGCCACTGCAGCCGGACGCAGTGCATCAACGCCTCGGTCGGTTCCAGCCATTGCGTCAACAAGGGCGGCAACGACGACAAGTCGCTGAACGAGGCTCGAGGCAGCACCGCCACGCCCACCTGCAAACTGTCGGGCGTGATGTGAAACAGGGGCGGAGGGACGTCGTCGGATGTGGCAGTGTCTCCAAACACTTGGCGCCACCGTCGTTCCAGACACACGCGGTCCTGCACGGTGCGGAACCGGGATGTGTACAGCATCGGAATGTACCACGTCACAGACGGCGTCGTCAACGTCGACGCCAGCGTACACCACCGAAACACATCGCGGAGGTTGAACTCCCACGGGGCCCCTTGGCGACCATACGATCCCTGGACCATCGTGTCTTGGTGCACCAGTGCATTGAACGCAATCATCTTTTCAATCGTGGACGGCTCAATCGACGGGTACAAGGCCGTGGCGATGATGTTCAAGTCGTCGTTTGCCAACGTATCCACTACAACGCGCGTGAATCTGTTCAAAAACGATTTGGGAAGGCCCTTTCGGCCCCCGCCTTGACGCAACGGATTCTGCGCCGCAAACACCCGAAACGTGGACGGACAGTGGAAACTCTTGTCGATCTCCGGAATATACACAGTTCCTCGATGATCCAGGCAAGCGTTGAGCCCTTCGAGCACGCTCTGGGACGCCAAGTTGAGTTCGTCCAGCAACACCCACTGCCCAGCCTTGAGGGCACGTAAAAACACCCCGTCGCACCACGTGAATGGACTCGTCGCGTCTGGATCGGTCGATGGCAAGTCAGATCCAAACAAGTCGGCGACATCCGTTTGTTCCGACAAGTTGATGCGCACCAGCGTTTGGCCGCTGAGTTGGGCCAGTGCATGGATAAGACTCGTCTTTCCGACCCCAGGGGACCCTTCCAACAAGATCGGACGCGACACTTGAAGTGCGCGCAACACCCGCTGCAGATTCTTCATGGTCGTGGGGGCGGCCAACGAAAATGGAAGCGGCACGGGGGCTTGGGGCCCCCGGGGGATGAAGAACGGAGACACCCCACAAATGGTGTCTTGGGTTTCCCACTGCGTAGAGGGCAGCACGTCCGGTACAGGGGGTGGAAGCGACGCCAGGAGCAAGCCATACGCTGTCGTGCGCGCCGACGTGGCCGCATGAAGCGACTGCGTCGAGCCCAAGCCAAGCCCGTCCAAGATGGACAACGCCGCGCCCTGCACATACGCCATCGACGGCGGCAACGTGGACACATGCATGAAGTTGAGCCACGAGAGCAAGTCTCGCAACGTCACCTTCCACCCGTGCAGCGAAAAGTGGCCATTGAAAGCTTGAACAAACTGCAAAACGGACGGCGCTAAGTGCACACTCGCGGCGGGCAGTCGGTCCCGCACGACAATAGCCAAGTCGGAGACACTGGACAGACTCGGCACCCAGATTTCCGTGAACCGGTTGCGTAGGGCCGGGGACAGCTCTCGCTTCCCAAAGTCCCCCCCGGGGTTCATCGTGGCAAGGATGCGCCACTTGGGGTCGGCAGTGATGTGTTCGGCGTCGTCGCCCTTTTCCGCCAGCACCAGCCCCCGCGCTGGTTCCAGCACGCTGTTGAGGCGTTCGAGCACGGCGTCGTCCGCCAAGTTGATTTCGTCAACGAGAAACAAATCGCCGCCCTTCATGGACGTCACAAGGGGACCGTCAACCCATTCGAAGAGAGCGATCGCTCGCTGCTTGAGCTTGAGCAGACTTTGCACCACCGTTTGCAGACTTGTGTCGTCGATATGTTGGGTTTTGGCCAACAAGGGTTCCAGAACCGGGAACAGCTGCATCACGTTGGTCGTGTCCACGGCATCCAGCGCACTCGTATCCACGTCGAACGACGTCGCCAACGTCGTAAACTGCTGCAGCAGGGTATGCAATTGGTTCAACACGGCGTCTTTGCCACGCACGGGCCGCAGACTGCCGAGAAAGTCGGCGGTTTCGGTGTGCTGATGGCAGTTTAGAATGTGGAGCGACTGGTCAAACAGCAACGAGTACAGCTGGCACACGGTGGTCTTGCCGGCGCCCGTGTCCCCCACGAGCAAGACAGGTTCTTGGTGTTGCAAGCACCGACCAACCAACGCAAACAGACGACGAAGTGACGACGTGATTGAAATGGACGACAGCCCACTATTGTTTCCCTTCCCATCGGTCGCCGACAGTTTGGTTTGCACTTGTGCAAAATGTTCTGGGGTGCCCCACACTAAATTCGGTTCATCCTGCCCGATGACTTGGGACAAGTCGGGCTGTCCATTGTACAGCGCATCTATATAATACAAGCCGTCAGGTAAGATTACCATGGGGGATTCAAAGAGGAAGAAATCGTACCCAGGTCAATGGTGGCGCCGCAGTGTTTTTCCAGAACTTGCTGCACAACGAGCTTGTCTTCGTCCTTGCGCAGACGCTCGGCCAAGAGGAAGTACCCTTCTTCCGCTACCTTTTGCTTGGTCGTGGGCTGGCGCTGCGCCCATCGAAGCAAGTCGCGGGTGGTGATGAAGCCAGCTTTGCCAGCAAACACGCTGCTTTGCGCTCGAATGCGCTGCAGGTCCAGCATGATAGTGATGAGAAGCGAGCAATAGCTTGGCGGGAGCGCGCTCCTACGTATATGCATCAATATCCCATGCGGTAAAACTGTTCAGACGTACCGTTCTTGCAGAATTTGCTGCAGTTCCTTGGGCGGGACTTCGTCCACTTGCAGCTCGATGAACCGGTTTCGGAACGCACGACTGAGCACCTTGCGACCACCGTACAGCCCCGGCGGGTTTTGCGTGGCAAACAGCATGAACCGAGGATGCGGCTGGATCGTGGTTTGCGTTTCAGGAATAAATAGTTCGCGGTTGTCGTCGAGCAGTCGATTCAACGCTTCCAACACTTCAGACGGCGCCAAGTTGAGTTCGTCGAGAATGATCCACCACCCCAAACGCACTGCTTGCACGAGTACCCCTATGAAACATCACCACACATTATTTCAATCACACGGAATGACCACTCCAATGATCGATCTACCTTCTTGGAACGTGAGTTTGCCGTCCTTGTCCGACACATATGACCCCAGGTACTCTTGAATGTCCGTGTGTTCGTGGTTGTTGATGCGCACGCACTTTTGACCAAGTCGTGCGGCGACGTACAGAATCAGCGACGTCTTCCCGGCCGACGTCGGGCCTTGCAGCAGCAGCGGGTACTTGCCAATGACGACTGACCGTGCGACGTGGCGCAGGTTGAGTTCCACGGACGGTGTCAACACAAACTTCTTCAAATTCGTCACGGGGTCTGCAATTGCTTGATCGAATGGCTCCAACGTGCCTTGGGGCACCCAATACGAGCTGATCAACTCAAACTCGTCGTCCACTTTTCGCGGTTTCGGCGGCGGGTGGTCCAATTCCTAGGCCGATTTGCATGTCAACATTGGGTTGGATATAGAGTCTTCAACAACCCTATACCTTTTGCTTGAGGTTCGGGGCAAACGTTTTGCGAATGCTCTTGACCATGAGCACCCGCGACGAAGCGTCCAATTGGGTCGCAAACCCCATCGAAAAGCTCTCGTACAACGCACGCTGGACACTGTACCCCTTCTGGAGCATCGTTTTGGTCATGAGGAGCGACCGCGACAGCGTCCGCAGACTGTATCTATACGATTGTTCAGAGTTTTGTCATGTTAAATCGAAATAGCCATACCTCGGTCGTTGCCTCGCGCCGTCGTTCAGCACATCGACTGCCATTTGCCGCGACTGCAAGTAAAACTCGACCGTGTCGGCAATCGGGGCATTGGCAATCTCCTTCCACTGGTGGTTCACAATCAGCGTCAAGTCCCGCGGACACACGCACTCGTCAACGTAGATTTGCGTGAATCGGTTGCGCAGCGACGGCGGCAGGTCCTTCTTGCCAACGTCCGTGGGCGGGTTCATCGCTGCGAACACGCGAAAGTTGGGGTGCGGCTTGAGTAGGTCCACGTCGCCCTTTTCCGTGAGCGACAGCCCACTGTGTTCGCCTTCGAGCACGCTCGAGAGCCGCTCCAACGTGTCGGCCGACGCCAAGTTGATTTCGTCCAAGAGAATCCAATGGCCGGCCTTCATGGCTTGGACGAGCTGGCCTTCGACAAACGCAAACGCAAAGCTCGACTCGACTTGTTGGTGTTGGCGAATGAACCGGCTCAAGTCGCTTTGAAACGCTGTCCATTGGTGCGCCGTGGTCGTTGTTGTCGTGGACGTTTTCTGCTTCTTCGTGGTCGCATCGGCCATCTTTACAGCCTTGAGCATGCCCTGACTCATCTTTTTGAACGACTTGGCGTCAAACGCTTTCTGGATCACTTGCAAAAACCCAGCGTTCGATGACGACGGAAACGTTGCCCCAAACAAAGCCACAAAGTCCATGTACAAAGGCCGGGCCAGCTGGTACATGTCGACGGGTTTGTACCCGCCGAGGAGATCGGCCGAGTCACTTTGGACGTTCAGATTCTGCACGACCAGCGTCTGGCCGAGGGCAGAGGCTAAGTACTGAATCAACGTCGTCTTCCCGCAGCCAGTTTCCCCGACCAGCAGCGTCGGCTCATGTGTGGCCACCGTCGCGGCCAATTGTTCCATGAGTCGAAGACTGTGGCCAGTCAGGACAAACGGAATTTGATGGCCTACGCACAAAGAGACATCTCGGGTTTAGCCAGCATGTTCAAGGCTCTAATGAGTCCAGAATTTTCGTCACTTTTAATCGAGATCATACCGGTGGTGGCCGACTGGTGGGTGAACATCGTTGACAGATGCACTCGACCTACTTGCACTTCTTTGTGGTGCGACGTAAACACAGGTCGGTGGTTCACCAGCTGGTGCTCGACGACTTCCGAAGGGACCTGCCACAAGTTGGCCACGGCCACGGCGGCTTCCACGCGCTGGACGGGGTCGCGGATTCCCATGCAAAACACGTCCCACGCCTCGCGCACAATCGACTCGCGGCGCTCTTGCGTCAGAAAATGCTGCGCTTCAATTGTTCCCAGCAGCGTTTGCAGGCGGCGGCACCACTTGAGCATGTCCCGCAGAGAAAACTGCCGGCCGTAGCTTTGGCGGATAGCGCGCGACGATTCTTGACTGACCACACGAAACGTTTCCAGCATTTGCGACACGACGGCCGCAGACAGCTGCGGGTAACCTTCGACCAGCACGAGTTGGATCTCGTCCATGGAAAGCGGGGTCAAGTGAATGTGATGCCACAACGAAGATGGAAATCCCTTGGGCATCGCAGCCATAGACTTGCGACTCGTGGCCAGCAGTTGAAAGCCAGGTGATGCCGTGATTGCTTGGCCTCGGATCTACACACGATTTTAGCTCGGTCCAAGCTGTCTAGAATGTGCAGGAAGGTAGTTTACCATCAGTTCGTTCGTGGTGAGCAGCGGAAGCAACGCCGCCAACACATCCATGGACGCGCGGTCAATGTCTTCAATGACCACCCATCGCCCTTCGGTCACGGCTTGGGTGAGCGCACCAGGTTGCCAGCTGAATTCACCGGGAATGTCGGTACATACATACGACCCGACCAGCGTCTTGCTGTCCATTTGGTCGTCCAAGTGCAGTTCCACCAAGTTGGTGTGGCCGGTGCGACGAGCCAAGTCGCGGATGAGGGCAGTTTTCCCACAGCCGTCCGTTCCGGTGACCAGGATGGCGCGCTCGACGCTGAGGGCGATGGCCAGCGACCGCAGCGCATGGGTGGTCGATGTCGTTTCAATCAAGGGCGGGTACGTTGGTCCAGCTGCTCCTGAGGTGGCTTTGAAAGGCACGACGATGCCGCACACGTTGCAAAGCGTTGGGGGCAGCGACTTGGCGACTGACATGACATGGGACCACGACGCCGGAAGGGCAAGATGCTGACTGTCAGTCGAAGAAGAGGCATGAGTCGTTCCTGCCTGTGGAGTGAGGAAGGCATTGCGCGTGGAGTTGTCCATGTGGAGGAGAATGCTGGCGGCAATCTTCGCGTTTTGTTGGGTGACGTGGTCGGTGGAATTGCACAGGGCAAAGAACGGCGTCCAGTTCCACAGCACTTTGCATTCGATGGGCTTGACCTGCAAAAACAACTTGGCAGTGGTCGCGGCGCGGCGTTGGCGCGACGTGGACAGCGATGCGAGCTGGACGAAAAAGCTTTTGGTCGATTCCAAGTATGGTTTCACGAGGGGCCACACACGGGTGGTGGTGTGCAATACGCGTGCAAAGGTCTGAGCCAGCACTTCGTGTGCGTCGTTTAATTTCACCTGCAGTAAGTGAGCACATAGCTCCAAAATGTATGGACGGAAGTAAACGCAGACGGCGTCGGCAAGCGCCTCGTCGTCGTCAGCCAAAAGCAGTGCTGTCGCGTGGAGAAGGTCGCTCGAGTGTTTGTGGTATACAGAGAGGGCTCTCTGCTTCAGGTGTGCCGGAAGGACGGTAGAGTCATTCTGTAGTACGTGCTCCTGGAAGGCCTTGCATGCAGGCTGGAGGTCTGACATGTTGAAGGCTTTTCCACGATGATTTTGTGTTGCAAGGAATTTGAGCTCCACCAATCAAATCCACGTGGTTTGTGACTGGTGCCCAGTATCGGCACCGTCGACGCCAGCCAAAAGAACCTAAATATTTCCAATTTTGGCGCAATATTATTTCACAAAAGCGTGAAAACTAAACATATTTGGAAGCTATGACCGAAAATTGACCTCAAATATGCACTTTATATCTATATAAATTGACGTCTTTTGTTAAAACAAACGGTTACAGCGGTTTCGTTCGATCTACTATTTGTTCCACGTGCACTTCGCAGTTTCCAAGCCAGCATGCGAACCCACGTGCTCATGCTTTGGTGTCTTGCCAGCATATGCTACTTAACACAAGGACACAACGCTGTAGCCAATGCGACGAGCTTATGTGGCGAAACGGAGGCCGTCCACACTGGGAGCCTTAATTCGCTCTACTACGTCTTCTACGAGTCGCGGATAGTACCATCCGACCACGCGCCGCTCGTCATTTGGCTCTCGGGTGGACCGGGCTGCTCCAGTCTTGTGGGCATGCTGTTTGAGAATGGTCCTTGCTTGGTGGGTGAGGACTCGTCCACGGCCAAAGTCAATCCTTCGTCCTGGACCAACGCAGCGCACATGGTGTACATTGACCAGCCTCGAGGCACAGGGTTCAGTTTGCCTCGACAAGACAGAGAGTACGCTCTTTTCAATAGTTTGCATGTTTAACATTGTACTCCTATAGAGACTGGTACGAATCCGATGTGGCGGTGGACCTGGTGGGGTTTCTTGATGCGTTCTACGACAAGTACCCTTCATTGGAAGCAAACGACTTGTTCATTTTCGGAGAAAGCTATGCCGGTCATTACGTACCGGACTTTGTATACGCCTTGCTACATCGACCTGCCAGCGTGGCAAACTCGCCCCACGCGAATCAAATCGTCAACAATTTGAAGGGCATGGGTACCGTACTGCTAGCTAAATCGCTTAGTCGTCACCCCTACTAGTTTCTAACTGTATATCGTTAGGCATTGGCAATGGACTCACGTCGCCTTCTGCTATGTTCAGCACCGTTGGCGAGTTCGCAGCCGGAATCTCCAAAGGTCAGCTCACCGCGGCGTCCCCAGAAGAATTGCAGAAGTGCCACATTGGTATTCAACGATGCCAAGAAGCAGCACAAGGAGGGTTTGGCGATTGCTCTATGGTAAATGCTACCATGATTTTTGACTTTATTGAAAATATGACTAGCTCCAACCGTGCGATAACATCATGGCCAATTTACTCGACCAAGTGCGTGGAGCCAATCTCAACTACTACGACCTCCGTGCCCACTGCAACGACGACGACGCGTTCCACCTATGCTATCGCTTTTCACCGCTTTATGACTTCGTGAATGCTCCATCCACACGAGCGGTGCTGGGAATTCAAGACAAGACGTGGACACCGTGCAGCCACGACGTCTTTGCACACTACGCGGTACAGTCAGCTGCTGTCCATGCATTATACGGCGGTCGGTTGCTTATAATGTGCCATAGAAATGTGATTACTATAGTGAAAGCGAAACCAAAGTTGCCAATATATTGGACCATGGGGTCCGGGTGCTAGTGTATGCCGGCGATCAAGACCTGGTTTGCAACTGGAAGTCGCAAGACAAGTGCGTTGAATGTACCCATGCAAAGTGCAGATTATTCATGTGGATATATTGTAGATGGACAAAAGACATGGCATGGGCCCATCAAGCTGACTTTGTCAAGCAACCACTCGGGAAATACATGTACAACAACACTGACGTCGGCGAGCTCCGCCATTACAATGGGCTGAGCTTTCTGCGGGTGTACAGTTCTGGCCATGTACTGCACAATTGATATCTGACAGCTCCGCCAAACTAACTGAATGATCATACATAGATGGTCCCGCTTGACCAGCCCGAGGTTGCCCTGGATATGCTGGAACGATTTGTGTCAAACCGGTTTTAACGTATCGTTAAATCGGTTTCGTTTCATTTTTTTGCTATGAAATTACTAGTAATATATGAATATCGATACTTCGATTTATTTATATGGATTTCAAATATCCGTGATATTAATAGTATCATGTGTCATCGTTAATATTAGGTCATATCCTAATTAGTCGAGGTGAGAGTAAATTAGGATAATGCTAGCTCATTGCATACAGGCCTCGTCCGGGAGCAACACGGCTACGGCCTACCTGCCGCTGCCCGACAAGAAGAAAAGATAAATCATTCGGTGAAGTGAGAAGCTTAGATCCGCACTCTCGTACGGCCGCGCTTGCGCAGACGGCCTCCCGGGCGCTCGGGGCCAACGTAAGGCTTGGTCATTACTTTAGGTTTCATCCCACAACTTCATCCACATATCATCCACGCTTTGACTCACTGTCAACAATTATATTATATTAACCATAGTATCCAAGGTTGGTGTTAATATTAAATGCTGTCCCGTAAGATTTCACCTCGGAGCCTTTATCCGGATAGTGGTAGTTTGACAACCGCTGACAGTGAGGATACAAACCTTTGGGGATCTTGGAAAGGCATGTACACTGTAGCATGGAGGCTCGTCGTCCTGTTCCTGCTTCTCGCTTGCAGACCAGTCATGGCGTCCATCTTCTTTAAGCAAGATACTGTGGAAGACTCAAGCCTTTGCGGCGAGCCTGAGCCGAGACACACGGGGTTCCTCAATGGTCTCTACTACATATTCTACGAGGCAAGGGTTCGCAGCGTGGTGGCCGAGTCTGTTCCGCTAGTGATTTGGCTGTCTGGAGGACCTGGATGCTCCAGCCTCGTGGGCATGCTGTTTGAAAATGGCCCATGCATCGTGGGCGAAGACTCCCCTACGACTATTTCATTGAATGTGAATTCGTGGACCCAAGCCGCCCACATGGTGTACATTGACCAGCCTCGCGGCACGGGCTTCAGTCCAGCCCGAGCGTCATTGAGGTACGAAAAGCCTACCATGTTGCCAGAAATCCCTCAGACCTTTCAGATCGTGGTCAGAAGCCACGGCGGTGGACGACTTGGTCTCGTTTCTGGACGAGTTTTACACTGCGTTTCCAACGTTTGCGTCCAACGAGTTGTACATTTTTGGCGAAAGCTATGCCGGCCATTACATTCCAGACTTGGCCCACGAGCTCCTGCTTCGGAATTCACGGGCGTTTCAGAATCTCAAAGGCATTGGTACTATAGAATTGGCAAACTACCTGCATGACAAAGCCCCGCATCATCATTGGTACATGTATGTAGGCATTGGAAATGGCTTAACATCGGTGGAAGCTCTATTTGACACCCTTGGCCCGTTCGTCAAGTCCGTCAACAATGACATATTGTTGACAGAGGCCAACGATTACGTGGAAAGCTGTGAAGAGGCCATACAAGCATGTCAGGATCCTGCCATTGGTGGACAAGGTGATTGCTCCAAGGTGGGATATACACGAAAAACGCTTAAAAGTTACTAGATAATTCATGTCATCATCAAGTTGCCCTTTGCAGGTGACAGTGTGCGAAGCCTTGTCAAGCAACGTCATGGCCCAGGTTTATCGACAAGGGCTCAACCACTACAACCTCGACCGCAAATGCCATTCCGACATGTTTCGGCTATGCTACCGTTTCCAGCCATTGTACACATTTGTGAACTCCCAAGCGACGATGGCCAAGCTGGGGATATCTGGTCACTCGTGGGCCCCTTGCAACAGCGATGTGTTTGCAGGTCATTTGGTACGAATACGGATCTATGTGCAAGGGTGGTTGGTCAAAGCTATATGAAGGACAAGGACTATTTCGAAGAAAGCGAAGGCAAAGTGGCCACGTTGTTGGATCATGGCATTCGAGTGCTCATTTATGCTGGCGACAAGGACCTTGTGTGCAATTGGATGGCCCAAGACAAGTACAAAGTGTAATTGGCGATTGCTCGTCGTTTCATATGGGGAGACTAGGTGGACACGAGAGATGACGTGGCACGGTCACGACGAATTCAACGGAAATGCCATGTCCGCATACGTTTTCAAGGGCGAAAAGCATGGCCAAGTCCGATCGGCGCAAGGGCTGACATTTTTTCGAGTGTACAACGCTGGCCATGTACGTTTATTACTACGTCGTATGACATTGCTCAAGTGTTGGCGCTTATTGCCTTTGTTGAGGTAGATGGTGCCACTGGATCAACCGGCGGTCGCGCTCGACGTCTTCCGAAAGTTCATCACCAACCATCCTCTTGTGTAGAGTCGCTACACTTTGTATTGATATCGTAATGACAGCATTAAACCGATCGATACATTAAGTAGGATGGTAAATGTGGTTCTGCTGTACTGTATGGTCGGGCGATTCATTCACAAACCCTGGCTAATATTGTACAAGATGCAACACGTGCGAAATAAAATCACCGCGGATGTTACATGTTAGCTAAGGTCCTACATAGTAACCTTTGGCTATAATCGTGGAATATTGTGCGATGCCCACCGCTGCACCATGCGATCGTTACACGTAGTATCGTGTTAATATCGAGGCTCACTCAATATATCGCGGGCTTTGCAATTACTAGTAACTAGTTATGTAGTTGTCGCCTTTGAGACGGCATTGCAAGTACATTTTGCATTTATTTACCAGTTAAAACGTCAGTGGTCGAGATTATCGTGTCTTTTGATTAATCCCGTTTCAAAAGTAACGAATGTGGCTATACATATTGGTACATCTTGACGGCCGCGTTCGTGTACTGTAGCAGGCGAGGATGACACCATTCTTGTCCGAGATCAACGAAGACATGCTGCGGCAATTTGAAGACGAATTTGACGCGCAAAAGTCCAAGGTGGAGCAAGCCCGCGAAATGCTAAAGCACAAGAAATCGTTGGAAATCCAAAAACAGGTCGAGAGCATGCGGGCCACCGTCGCAAACTTGGACAAAGATGTGCTGGAGTCGCGGGAAAACCGCAAATCCCTTCGGAACCGCCTGATGGAGCGAAAGGCGCTGATGAAAACGCACATGGCCGAGCACCAGGAGCTGCGACGATGTACATGGAATGTTGAGCGCACCCATCAGCTGGAAGGTGCGGCCCAAAGACGCCTCGACCTCGAGCGTCTGCAAGACGAACGAAAGCGAATGGTACAGTTATATGCAACCCTTCGAATCAGTCAGTGTAAATGACTTTGCATTAGGAATCCTTGCTGGATGCTGCGACGATTGAACTGGATGCAATTGAAAGCGAGAAGCGTCGACGCCAGGAAACGGTGGAGGTCCAAATGAAGCGAATACTAGACAAAGGCACTGTACTAAAGCAACAGCTCGAGGACGGACACTTGGATATTCCCGAAGTTCGCCGAACCATTCAAGACCACGGCCACGAGCAGTTCGTACAAGAGTGCCACGGGCTGCGGCGACTCCAACAACAGCAGCGCGTTCTCGACCAGCACAAACGGCAAAAGGAACTCAACGTCGAAAGGGCCAAGTTGGTTGCCGATGAAGACATCCTTCGCCAGCAAATGCATCTACAGGCGGCGGATCCAACTGGCTTGATTGGTGCGACAGAGTGCGACGATTGTGTGGACGACGTGGTGGCTCAAGCATGTCAAATTCTGGCCACTGGTACATGTCGACAGACATCATATACTATATCGTACCTTCTAGCCATGGTTTCGTAGGAGATGCGACGCTGTCCGCCTTGCAAAACTCGATTGTCGAAAAGACCAATGTGGTAAACACGAACGCCGCGGCTGCTGCTATCCCCCCAGCGTACAACGGATCGCTTGGACCGCAGTCGTACCCTCCATGGCTCGAGGCTTCGAGGGAGATGGCGCAGTCGTTGATCATGGAGGTCGTGACCGCCCTGCCGCTCTCGATGTTTGAAACCATGCGCTCGTTGAAACAACAACGAAAGCAATGGAAATGTACTCAAAGAAGACTCGGTCGAGCCCATCGGCGACTGGTTACTGCAACCGCCATCCAGACTTTTCATCAAACGCTCGTCGTACGCCCGTGAGAATATACAACCAGCGTCTGTCTCATGTTTCTGTGTGTAGGACGACGTAGTGGACGACATGTTACGTGATTTGCATGGGGAATTCATATCCGTCACTCGACGAGTGAGTTTATTGGTCACTACCTCCATCGTCAAAACCTTGGCAAGTTTTCGAGAACAAACATCCACTTCCGCACCACAAACTACTCAACTTGTCAGCGCTATGCAGGAAATGCAGCGACGGCGAAATGTCGAGGACGGCAAGCTTCATACGCCCGGTCGGCTGTTCCCACGTCACATCTTGACACAATCCCTGGTCGAAATGTTGCCCGTCGGGGATGTTCCCACTGGCGGAACGAAAAAGAAGTGGTTTGGGGGAAAGGGGGGCGATACTGAATCAGCCAAATCCAAGCCACTTCGGCAGCCCCCAACAACCCCCCCACACTTAAAGATTTCTCGTCAAGTGTTAATCGATGCGATTGCTCGTGTCAACGCCCTGCCTGACCTCGTACGTAACGTCTGTTCCCTTCTTTTACAAATTCCATTCCACTTCTCGTAGGTAGCTTTGGAAGCATCATGTTGGAAACACGTGCTGTTTCAACCGGTTGCTAACTTGGTGATGCCAATCACTGCAGTTTGCGTTCACTTTTGTCGCGTTCAAAACGAGTTCGTGTTGTGCGCAGGGGGTGCCAAGGGGGAGCTCGCCCTCGTGGACGTCGGAACGTCCACCGTTCTCCGCCAGCGGCTGGACCCACCTCAACCTGGACGGACCGCTTCAATTCAATCGTTTGGCAGCCAGTTCCTCGTGTACGCTCCGTTCCAACTTAAGCTTTGGACATCTCGGCCTGTGAAAGGCATGGCACTGTCGGTGGTATTCAACTTGACTAAGGCCGACTTGGCGCTGCCAGGTCGTGAGCTGCAAGATGTGACGACCGGGTGCTTCGTCCCAGCGGCGTCCTTGTCTGGCACGTCTTCGAGCATTGTCGTGGGCACCGCTGATGGATCCATCCTTCGTCTCAATCGATCGACGGACGACGTTCGACCTGTCTTCGGAGCCTCTTCGCTTGAAAGCCCTAACCCCAATCCACTCAATAATAGCCGCCAAGAACACTTCCAATTCCACCGCGCCGCCATTGTCTTTTTGGCTTGCGTTGGAACCACGCCGTCATCCCTGACAATTCTGAGCGTGGACGTCACGGGGATCGTGTGTCACTGGACGAATGCCAACTGGACAGGCTTTGGCTGGTTCGAACCGGCGCAATCATTGCAGCTCGTTGGCCCTGGAGTTGTGCAAAGTGCTCAGCTCACTACAGACAGCTCACGCCTCGTCGTGTTTACGTTCGATGCTGCCACGCGACAAGGGGTGTTTATCCAACTGACGTGGCAGCCTCTCCTGGCAGCGATGTCCACCGTCATTCGAATCGGGTGTATGTCGCCCCCGCCTCCATTTACTATTCTCCCGCCCCTCGCCGCGCTGTCGCGAACGGCCTGCGACAGCGTCCTCGTCATGGGTAGCACCCTTGCCATGTATTCTCTGGGCACCGGTCAAGTGTTAACCCCCGCTTCGGCGTCCTCTATGGAATGCAAATCCCAGGCAGTGTCGGTCACATGTAGCGATGGCTACGTTGTGGGCTGTGGGGCCAACGGCAAAATTATGGCGTTCCAAATGCAAGACTTGTCGTCCATCGATGCCGTGCACGCGGCGAGGCGCCTAGCGCAACCATTCAACCACCAGACTCAAAGACAATCTCGAACGGTACGAACTATTTCCTTGACCAGCGTCGTGATGATTTGCGCTTCAAACTCCATCGCTGCTTAGATTGTTCGCGTGCAACATGCAGGAGACCGCAACATGGTGCGAGCGATGGTGGTATCGATCCTGGACCGTATCCTTGTGGAAAGGTGGCAACCACCTCCCCAGGAGACGGTGGTGTCACCGTGGATGTCAGCTTAATCGATCTCGACATGCTGCAAACTTCTTGCATCCCACACATACGCCCAGTCTCCAATCTAATGGCGAGAAAGAGCACTGTACGAACCCACTGTTGTATCCTTGCAAATCGCACTGTAAACAACAGCATCGATTCCCAGGTCAAACTAACTTTTCAAACCAGTACGGTTACTATTTAGACAGGGGTGTATTCCTTGCGCTTGTTGCCAAGGTGACGACGCAAGAGTACGACGACCACGACTATGGCGAGCCCGAGGCCTCCCACAAACCACAAGAGGCCGTTGAAGTCGGTCGCTGCCACGTCCGTCGACGACGAGGGCGCAGCGCCTTGCGACACCTTGGGGGCCAAGGAGCCTGTCGTCTCCCCCGCTGTGGAAGGCACCGACGAGAATTCCGGAACCGCCGTCGTGGGGGTTTGGGTGGCCAACACCTTGACGCCCACTTGGGTAGCTTCGTGCGCGGGCAGTTGGAGGGACGCGAACGGCGCGTAGAAGTTGACAGTGGTGAGCACTGGGCCCTTGTTAAACAAGGAGCGTTCGGCCTCGATGATGGCCGGCTTGGGGGTGACATACGTGACGTCGCCCGCGCCGTTGGTATAGAGCGCATTCACCGACTTGACCACGGCGCGGCCGCCCCCCGTGATGGACACAGACGTGTTCTGGGCCTTCAACGATCCGGCGTACACTCCCCCCACTCCGGAAATCGAAATGTTGTGCGTGCCACACACCGCCGTGGGCAAGAAAGTGATGTTGCCCGTGCCAGACACTCCCGACGAGACTGTGGGCGCGTTGAATGGCTTGCCACCAAAGTACACGCTCCCCGTGCCTTTCACTTGGACGTCGACAGCTTGTGGCACGATTTCCGCCGGCGACGAGATCAACACGCTGCCCGAGCCAGTGGTGGAAACCTTGAGCGACTGCGACGCCACGCGGTTCGCGGACCATTGGACGTTGCCCGCCCCTTCGTTCTCGACCTTGATGAAGCGGGCCGTGATGTCGTTCGTGGAGACGAAGAGCGTGCCGGAGCCAGACACCTTGAGCGACAAGTCTGCGTCCACCGTGTGCGTGCCCGTGGCGACAATGCACGCGCCATTGCCGGCGCACTCGATGCCTTGCAGACGATGGGAAGGAACGGTCAATTCACCGAGGAACGTCGCGTTGGGGAACTTGGTGGCGTCGAACGACGCCGCCGTCACTTGGAGCAGCGGCGACCCCCATTCCGTGAACAGCTCGATGTTGTCCAGCACGGCTTGTGTGTCCGTGGTGACGCGGAACGTGAACGCATCGGCCAAGTCGCCGGCGGTAACAAACACGGGGCCAGGAAGGCCAAGGAGAACTTGGTGGAGTTCCGCCGCGACGTCGTTGTTGCTGTTGTCGAGCGTCCACGATTGCGAGAGCGACATGATGGCGGTAGCAAGAAAGTCAAAGAATGCCCATGGAAGTGAATACAGTATGTTGACGCGCGGCAAGGTTGAAATACCCTAACCAAATAGTCATCCCCTCGATTAAAATACCAGCAATGTACTTCGAAGTATTATTTATTATTGCTGGAGTTATTTAGTGGAGATGTTAAAAACCCTACGGTGGCTTCAACATTTTTTGCATGGTAGGGGTTGGTTTAAGTATCTGTACTAGATAAGGCAATTACACTGGAGATTCACTATAACGTCAGCTTATGGAGCCTAATCGAGGCGCGCCGTGGGGTCCTTGTGTTCGTCGTAGTCGCGGCTCTGGTAATCTACATGCACAAACGCTCGTTCGACTTCATCCAGCGCTTCGACTTTGATCTGGAGCGCCAAGCTAATGTCGTGGGACTCCTGTACACTCATGTCCTTTGGCAGCACCACTTCCAATTCCACCTACAACCAGCATCGTAACATTAGCATATATATCTATCGAAACGAGAATATATAAATATATATCCTTGTACCAAAAAGTTGTTGCCAAAGTGATAGGCGCGAATGATGTCTGACTGGAGCTTGGGGTGGTGGGCGTCGGCAATCGTGCGAACGCGGTCGATAAAGTCTTGGTCGGCCTCTATTAACAGCGATATATATATATATTCAAAACATGGCGAAATACATATATATATATATTTATCCGTACGCAGTCCGACGAGGCGTTCGACTTGCTCCTTGCCCGTGGCCACCCAGCTCAACGTGATGTAGATGGAGATGGCGATGGCACCGATAGGATCAAAGTACCACAACTCCGAGTTGTAGTGCGCAACCAATGACGTCGTTACAGCCACCGCGTTACTGAAGACGTCGTTGCGGTGATCCTACAAGAATATATACATGAAATAGAAATTCACGTTGAGGTTCACAAACACATCGCTGGGAAATGCGTGGCCAACACTATGGGCTGAGAACCCCCCCCCTCAAGTCGTCGGGTCGTCTTGTTCCGGCAGGAGGTTCCGCGGCCGTGATGGATATGGCAGGGAAAGGTACCTGGGCGAGGGCGGCAGCAGAAGGGGAGACGTACGCGATCTGGCCACAGAGGAACCACAGCATGAGCTTGACGATGATGGCGATGCCCAAGACAGCAACGGTGGGGATGGACATGTCCAGTTCCGGCAGTTGTCCGCCGAAGCCTTCGATGAGAGTCGTGACCGACTTCTGCACGACTTCCAGTGCTGCAGAGAAGACATAATGAGGTCGAACAAACGGAGCAAGGACATGGTGACGTGAAATGTACCTGCCATGCCCATCAACGTGGCGGAAACGACGACTGCGATGGGTTCCAAGCGGCGGCGACCGGCGGGATACTTGGCATTTGGGGTGTGCATGTACCGATCGGAGAACCAGAACAGGCCTTGCGACGTCAGATCCAAGATCGAGTCGACAAGAGACGACAACACGGCAAGAGACCCACTCGTGATAGCGGCGTACGTCTTGGCAATCGCCAGAATGACGTTGATGATGATCGACGACGTGATGGCCAGCTGCACTTTCTGCGAGGCTGCTTCCGGAATGCAACGCGCTTCCCCGGCTTCCTGTTGGAGAATCAAAGAGTGCGCCACGGCCGACCGCGCGGGCTTGTTGCTCGTCTCATGCGCCTTCTTGATGTCCAAAGACACAGCGCCGTAATGACCCAACGATGTGCTCATGTTTCCTGAAAATGTTGCGGTGACCTCCCGTTAAATCCTACCAGATTCAACCAATCAGTGGCATGAATTGTGGCCAATAACATCCCACCAATCATATACTGTCCGTTTGGGCGAGTCGGATGCAAAGAAATTTTCCACTGGGCCGATTTTAACGCAGTTTTTTTTAATCTCATCGTCTTCGATCAAATATTCTGCTTGCTGAAGCTTGAAGGCCCAACTACAAAACTGTGCTCTGCGTTCGCAAGCAACGATTTCAGCGATGAAACGTAGTATTTTAATGAAGTAGACTATTTAAATAGTTATATTTGCTCAATACTTTTAATAATTTGTACCTCTGATATAGTAATACTATAGATTATTTAACTTTTATTTTATTTTATGACTTAAGTATAGTATACTTCGATGTACCTGTTTTAAAAATGCGTTTGCATTAAGTACGTTCCATTAGGTGCTGAAACTTCATTTTAAACCTGGTGGAGTTGTATTCGTTTCCAGGCAAAATCCCTCACGGACTGCACGTTAAACTCCTGAATTCAAATATACCTTTGGATCGAGGAAATACCTCCTAGGGTAAAAGTTATGGGAGAAACCATTCTTGCATTCCTTCCGCCCAAACGGACAGTAATAACTTACAGTTAGTATTAATACTTCAGTACTTACTTACTTAATTAGTACTATTACTACGTAGTATGTGCATAGTAGTACTGTGGTTTCATTGATTTTACTACCCGGTAGTATATTACTTCGAAGTACTTCGAAGTATTAATATTATTACTACGTAGTAATACCTACTGCACTATACGTACTCCAGTACTACACTACTAATATTAATGTAGCATTACTAGTACAATGAACAGTTTCATCGTGAACAGTTTCATTATGAGGCAGCAGTGATTCATTATGTTGGAGCTAAACATACATCTATCAGCAGTACCGACCAACCAGCACTGTGTTGCTACCTACGGATTCACAAGTGAACGTGGTGCCATGGACACTTGTCCTTGGCTTGCGTTGTGATCGGAACAACTGCCGCCGAAGTGGGGGTTTTGACTAGCAAAGTTGCGGTGAAGAGCTGAAGCTGCGGGCCGTTCGTAGTAACGTTATATCCGTCGGTCGCCCCACAAGCATATGGATCAGTGGAAGGATGTCGTTGGTGAATGCAGCCGGAAATGCATCGGCAAACAACGCAAACAGTAGTGCAAACTCACGTTCGGTAATAGGGACGGAAGCATGCGACAACTTCGAGTCTAGCGGAAGGAGTTGATGGAGATGGCGCACATCGACGGGACGGTTGGAGGCGTGAAATTTTCTACGGTCGCCAACATGGTGGTGGTGAACGGTTGGTCCGATACAGCCAAAAGGTCTTACTCTTACAGTTGTAGTCGTTGGGGATGTTGAGGGCGTTCAAAACATTCAGGGCAGGCGTGAAAAATTCATTCTGGTATGAGCAAGGAAGCTAGCGAGGCGGAGTACCCACAAGTTTGGGATGGCTGATCGTTGAATCGTGTGGATTAAGTGCAGCTTACGATGTTCACTGCATAGGCGCAGCGAATTTGTGAGAAACGCGTAGGGGGATAGCAACTATCAAGACATTTGCACACCAGGGCTCGACGCCGGGAGAGGCAAATCTTACGGAAACGCAATGTACCATCGTACTACATGCATGTGCAAAGTAGGTGTCGTCCATTGCTGCAAGAGTTTGCATGATGCCACTGGAAAAGTCTGGAGTTGAGGTTGCTGGTGACGGTGTTTCGAGCCATTGGAAGGTCTTTTGTACATACGTTTTGATTGAGTGCGCTCGTTCCCGACGCCTGGAGCTTCGTGGTATCAAGTTCGTCAAGGCAATGCGACAACGTTGTCAAGACTCCAGAAATTCCGCGAATTGCCATTGGAATGTCCACTTTCCCGATTGAACATATCGTCGAGGCAAACGTGCTTGGGGGATCGTCAGCATGGTAAGACACTGGCGCCCCCCATTCTACTTCCCAAGCATGGACGAGAAGAAATGCGATAGCAGCAGTGATTCGCAGGTATGATCACGAAGTGGACTATAGACGTCATACTGTATGCTCTGAAAAGAATACTTTAGAGCGATGCTGTGTCGAGTGAAAATGCCGATGAGTGAACTTCACATATGCGCTACAGCTTGATTACGCTGCATATTATTGCAGTTGTGGACGCAACTACAAGCCATGACGGGAGAATCTGGAACGCTGCGTTGGATTCTTGTTTGAATGATGAAGGAGAGGTCGACGTGGGGGGCGTGGTGGTGGCTGGGTTTTTCGCAAGTGCAATCTCGTGAAGCGTGCTGGTGAAGAGTGTTAGTGCAGGGGCGTCAAAGTCATCGGTGGGGTATCCATTGGCCAAGTGAAAACAACTGGCGTTGTTGCGGACCATGGCTTTCATGCCTAACATGGCAGGACTATCACCAGAGGTGAAAATGGACATGAGGGGGCCTCCTGGCAAACACGAGTTGTCGTTGAAGAGTTGGGAAAGTGACAAGCCATAGGTCGACTCTTGGAGAATGGGAAAATTTCGAACCCAAGTGAGAAGGGAATTGGCAGGTCTTACGCACGAGCCAGGCAAAAAGGGGGCAGTGAACAATGCTGGTTTTGTGATATTGAGGGTCCCTTTGAACATTTTGCCCGACATGGCTGCAACCCCCTGGTCATTGGGCACTTGCATGGCGTTGAGGGTATTTGAAAACAACACGGAGGGGTCTTTCCTAGTAGGGGCAAGGAAGCTCTCCAGCAGCGTGAAAGCGCACGTTTGGGACGACTGGTTGTAAAACCCAGGGCTTTGAGTCGAGCAGACCACATCTGCCACTAATCTTGTTGCTTTGGAGACGATGACATCCAACGGAGCGCCGAAGTTACGCGCGACATCGGACAAGACCGAGGAGCAGCAGGGCTGAGATGTGACAAGGGGCATGACTGTCTGGAGCAGCACCGACTCCAAGCACGGAATCACGTCGACAAACGGAGCGCAAATTGCCTCGAACACTTTGTCGGTCAACACTTCGCCCGCCACAGAGACCAACGCCGATGACACTTCGCCTTTCCACGTCAGCAACGACACATAGGCCGTAGCGCACACTGGATCCTTCAACGAAGGCATGACAGCTGCCAAAAGATCCGACGCGTTCACAGATCCTATGCACTCGGCAATGGGGTGGGGGAGCATATCTGTGAAGTCGTGTAACGTTAGTCTCGTGGAAATGACTCCCATTCCAACTGCAGCTGCAGTCGTAGAAAAGGTACTGGTCGGGTCAGTCCACGACAGGCAGGAGGACGGTGTTACTTGGGCTGTGGCCACCGCTGCAAGTCCAGTGTAAATGGTCGCCCACAGAGACATGCGTGTCAACCTTGAGATCGGCGGTGAAGTTGTTGTTGTGACCAAATTTACATTACTGGAGGTTCTCGACGAATGGTTTTGCACATCATACGTCTAATTTAGGATGCAACACTTATAGCATGGCTATTTTGCATTGGATACCTCCGACTGTACAGTGTTCAGTGTCCCGTACGAATCTCCAGTTGGAGACGCTTCGGTAGCTTTTACAGTGTAGTTGCCAATATCACGAACATACTCGACAGGCAAAATGCATCATTTATACGTACGTCTAATGTGTGGGCTTTGGAAAAGGGCATGTTGAACATCACGGCGGTTACTGTCGACCGGTTACACTGTCGGTACATCAAAAACGATAAATGACGACAGGGCGTGACGTGGCAGATGCTGCTGCGAACATTAATATTGGTCCATGCTAACAACAGATGGCTTGCCGCCGTCCGCTCGAGGTGGGCATACTGTATGACGTTGCTGGTAAGCCAGCGTTAATGCTTGGCGGGCATTACTTTGGCGGCGAAGTGTCGATTATATACCTGAATGACACGCACGTGCTGGACTTGGAAACGTTGGGGTGGTATCAATTCAAGTGTCAACTATAAAACTGACGTGGTATCAATTCAAGTGTCAACTATAAAACTGACGTGGTATCAATTCAAGTGTCAACTATAATACTGACGTGGTATCGATTCAAGTGTCAACTATAAAATTGACGGGTGGAAATGCTCTCAAGGCAAACCCCCAGCCCCCCGATACAACCGCACGTCAACGTTAATCGGTTCGAACGAACACACCCAATTATTGTCATCAGATGAAGAAAAACGTTATCATGCAATCTCGATAGGGACGAAACGTTTATTTTTGGCGGCAAAGGCGCCAAGGGGGCGCTGTATCGCGACATGTTTTACTTGGACATAGAGACGTGGCACTGGTGCAGCGTGAATTGGACCACCGAGTCCCCGTCCGAGCGACCTGGCCGTCGGAAACAAACTGGTGATTTTTGTGGGTACAGCACAGTGCACTTTCGTTTATTGACAGAACCTCAATGATTTGACAACAAACACAAGAATACGGCCACCCTCTAGGAGTACCATCGTGTAGCCGTGCGAGGAGGAGGCGGTCTCCGGTGTTGACCTGGCTGTATTTGTTGCATGAGGGGAAATGGGGTGGGGGTGCGGAGGGGATGAATGACATCGGGGGGTGGGCTGACCTGACCACAACACGATTCGAGTCGATTGAATCATATCGACGCGTGCGTGGTGTATCGGCATGATGCATCACCGACAGATCGAGGAAACGATTCATGCTCGTGATTGGTTGAACGATAAATGATCAAATAAAATAGATGTGATGTAAATAGCTTCAGATTATGTACCCAACACTAACATATATGTTTACGAACAAGCCATGGGGGGGAGATGAGGTCCACCGCCGCCAGGGGCCCTAGGAATTCGTGAAGCATGGTGCTTTCCAGTGAATACAGAAGCACTGTCCCAACCTTTCGGGGTTGGGGAGGACGTTGGTCAAAATGGCTGGCATCGGACCGCACGAGGCTCACGGTGAACATGGATGCGTAGAAGAGCAAGTTGACCATCCCAATGGACGCCACAATGCTCGTCCACACGGACGACCCCTGGGCCGGGATGCTCTTGATGGGCACGACGAACTGTTGGACGGCGTTCACAATCATGATCGTTTCGTGTAGCCCTGTGATGTATGCGTTGTTCCATGGCACGACAAATCGCGATATGTTGCAGCGTCGGCGTCCCGCCGACGTGGACCTGTCAAACCAAGCTTTGCTGTAAGTTGTTGGGTCGATGGCCATCCCAAACGCCACGTCGAAGCGGCGACCCTAAATGGGCTCCCATGACGAGTACTTTGTATTCCGAATCAATGGCTCCATGTACTGAACACCACCCCATCATCCCTTGCTTCGCGATACATCGCCGCTGTCGGGGTGCGGTGATGGCGACCTCCATTTGCTTGCCGAAATCCACCCAGCACAGGGCGACTAGCGTCCGGAAGCAGATCGACGCTGTCCCTGGCGCGCATCAACGCCACCACTTTGTCAGTCGCGACATCTGCTCCATCACAATCCGTCTCGGATCGGTTTGCTGAATCGAAATGACAGTTTCCGTCCAGTTGTACGTTTTCTCCATCGTCATGTCGTGCCAACCGTGTTCCATAGCCGGGTGTTGAATGCGTCGGCCACAAAGGTATGTGTTGAAGTCGGTCCATAGGTAGTCGTTCTGGACGTACAGCATCAGCACCCTCGAGTACAGTATGTAGCAGCCCAGGGATACCAACCAGTAGAGCACTCCCACAACTTGCTCGGCCCACCACATCGCGGTCCCCGGTCAAGTCCAGTGGTACAAGGTAGTTCATCAACTGTACTTGTGTGATAACTAATGCCCCCGAAGCGAACGCATGTTCGCAACTATCGTCGTTCATTTGATATCGGTAGTACCAGGTATGCGACCACTGATTTCTGGAGGGAGGCGATAACCCCCATGTGTAACAACTGCCAGTGGTGAAACCGCCACGGAGTTTCGGGCGCGTCGTTGAAGAGTTTCTCCATTCTTGCGACAAATTCCACCACCGAATCGGGTCGGGGTTCTTGGATCCCCCAAGGTGCAGGACTTGCTCGCTTCGACCATCCAACCAGGTCGGTATGACCAAATCTTTGAAGTGGATTGACATACGTGAGTACCATCCGTAGCATCTTTAGCGGCGCGACACCATTTCTTTCGATGGCCCATCAACCACATATTACACCGTCCTTCACTGCAGCAATTGTCCATGAGTCCATTCAGTCGCTAGCTAAACAACACGAAGCGCTGTCGTCATGAGCGACTAGTCCAACGCCACCACTGTGCCGCCATCACGCTATTTCGATATTGGCACGGGGCATCCATTTCTATGTTGTTTAAGTGTTTATACTCCATGGACGACCTGACTATGCCTCCCCCAAAAAAGTATGTTTTAGGTACTGTAGGGTGGAGACCTCGCGTTGACTTCTGGTAGAGTACTTGGTCGTTTTTCATAACGTGGTTGTGCCGCTACGTATGTAGTAGTACTGCCGCGTGTAAATTGGGAGTGTACTACGGTAGTACACCATAACAAACAGGTACTACAATCGCTGTGTTTGCAACACCTGTGTGCCGAAATCCATTTCGCCATTTACTGTTAGTTCTCGACAAGCTGGGCAATGGTGAGCCCATCCCACAACGGCACCACGACGCTTTGCGTCCGCGGGTCTTGCGCCACATGCTGGTTAAAGGCGAGCAACTTGGCCGCGATTTTCTCCTTGACGTGGCCGCGGCCGTTGGCGTGGAGCACCACCTGCCCTCGGAACAACGTGTTGTCAAACACGACCAGTCCACGTGGCGCCACCAGCTTGTGGCGCACGATCGCGTCGTACAGCGTCGCATAACTTGCCTTATTGCCATCGACAAACACAAAGTCAAATTGCCTTTTGTCGGCGGCGAGAGATTCCACGGCTTGGAGCCCGTCTTGGAGTCGCAGGTCGATGGGAATGTTGGCTGAGTCAAAGTACTTGGCAGCCCACGCATGCGCGAGGGGGTCGATGTCACATGTGACCAGCTGGCGGGGGTCGGGCAAGGCCAAAGCCATCGCCAGTGCCGAGTACCCGACGAACGATCCGATCTCCAGCACCGACGCGGCACCAATGGACCGAAGCATAAACTGCATGTACACGGCTTGTGCTTCAGGGATCATTTTCGCCGTCGACGCCACGGGCCAGTCGCTGTCGATGGCCGCTCGCAACTCGCGCAGCTTTTCAAGCATCTGCTTGTCCCCACTAGCTGCATGATCAACCACAAACGCGTTGAGGTCGTCGGACGGCGCCACGGCGTACGTAGAAAATGATCGGCCGTGAAGACGACGGGGGGTGGAAGGGCCAGGTCGGCGAAGGCGACCGTTGGGCACCAAATGGGTCTGAAACTGGTACGAGTATTGCTTGGCAAACTTGCGGCGGACGTCCCGAGGCTGCTTGTCCATGACATACTTCATGTTTTGACACTGAATGGAGCACGCCCCGTCCAACAAAGTCGCGCAGGATGGGCATTGCAACATCAGACTGTGGCACAGCGTGTTGCTGCAGTTCGTGTGCGAGTTGGTCGGGTCGCCGCACGTGTAGCAGTGCGCGAGGACGTCGTCCGTGATGGCCGTGTTGGAGTTGGACAGCCGTTGGTCAAACACAAAGTTGCGACCTTTGAATTTGGACGTGATGGTGGCGGCTTGCTTGATGTATTGCGCGTAATGGACAATGCCGCCTTCGAGACGCTTCACGTCCGTGTACCTAACTCAGTCACAGCTCTCGTCATCAATCGATTACCAATTGAATGGACAGGACGACAGAGAGATGCTACATATCGAATGATCATCATGCAAAGGACACACGAGTACCCTTTTTGAGTCAAGTACGCGCCGACTTTTTCACACCGGATGCCCCCGGTGCAGTAAATCATGCACGTCGTGTCCTTGGGGGTGTCGTGCAGCATCGCGTCCAGTGTATCGAATGTGTCCTTGAACGTTTCCACCATGATGCGCTCCGCATGGTCAAAGCGGCCGATGTCGTGCTCGTAGTAGTTGCGGCAGTCCAGCACGCGCTTGGGTCGGGGGTCGTCCAAGGCGTCGTGCCACTCGCTAGGAGACAGCTCTTGGCCTCGGTTAGACATGTCCAATGGGGTAGTCAAGCCATCGTTGGCCAAGTGCGGCCGCACGCGGACATGTAGGGTGTGGAACGGCTGTCGGTCGTTGTTGTCGTCGGTGAGCTCGCCGCCCGAATTGAAAAACACGTCGTGAAAGACAGGGTGCGGGTGATTGCGCAAGTACGCTCGAAAGGCTGTGTGCTGGGACACGGGCACGGTGATCTGGGCGTTGATGCCTTCCTCGGCAATGTACACTCGACCAAGGACGCCCATAGCGCGCCATTCCTGGAGCATGGACTTGCGCAGACGCGGCAAGTCCATTGGATCCACGATCGTGTACTTGTAGAACGACAGGTATTGCTGGTCGTGCGACGTGGCGATGGACATGGTGTTGGCGGCCTCGGCTGTCCGTGCAGGAGACTGGTGTGCGTTTGAATTCGACGAGGTATAGCACACGGATGGAACATTCATTGTCGGCAATGCTTGGATGGAGGGAAACCTGTGAACTAGGGTCCGACGCCGCCATGAAGCAGCCAGACGGCGCGGCACGATCATCAACGTGCGTGGCAGCATGCCAACTTGATGAATGGCGCGAGGTGAGCTTCAAGAAGGTGCATAAATATGCCAATAATACTCAATTGTGATTGGATATTGAATACATCCCGATAATTGGATAAAATCAGTCAAATAGTAGTGTTGGATTGGCTAAATTCAAATCATTTCTCGCTTTGGATTGGCGCAAACCTGTGAACCAAACGATCCCAACATCAGAACAGATACCCCTGGTCTTAACGCCTTAGGTCGACGAAGGAAGAAGGTCCAACACGATGCGTCTGACTGCCGAACTCATCTTGAGTGCCCGTGCGCACATCAACCCGTTGAGGGAACGGGAGTTGGATCTACGTGGTACGTGATGGCGCCATGTACCTCTCTCGATCGATGAAATGCATGTGAGCGTTCGATGGTGTGGTGTTGTAGGATACAAAATTCCAGTGCTGGAAAACTTGGGGGCGACTAAAGTACGTGCGATCTGTGTACCAAGAGACTAAGCCATGATCTTCCTTCGTCCTTGTGTGCAGGACGGGTTCGACTGTCTGGACTTGTCGGACAACGAGATCAAAAAGCTAGAGAACTTTCCCCGCCTCAAGCGGCTTCGGATGCTGCTCCTGCACAACAACAAGGTCCATCGCATTCAAGACAACCTCGCCGAATCGATTCCGAACCTGTCCGTGCTCCTTTTGACCAACAACAGCATCGCCAACCTCACCGACGTCGACACATTGCGCTGCTTCGAACATTTGGATATCCTTTCGTTGCGTTTACACCCCGTGTGTCCATCAATGTACCACCTGTATAGTTCCTTAACCCCCTAGCACATACGTTATCCCTTGTCGGCAACCCCGTTGCGCGCAAGTCATACTACCGCGAATACGTCATCCACACGCTGCCCCATTTGCGCGTGTTGGACTTCAAGAAAATCCGTCCCGTCGAACGCGAAGAAGCTGTCCGATTGTTCAATTCGTTGGCGGGAAAGAAGATTGTGGAAGGCGCTACTGCGGATGATTCCACCCACACAAACGACGCTGTGGCATTGCCAGCGTCGCCACCTGCAGCTCCAGCAGGACGACCCACGTTGACACAGCTCAAGGTATCGATCGTTTCAACATGTCGTTCATGTTATGACGTCGAGTCGTTAGAATGCCATCGCTCAAGCAACATCCCTTGACGAAGTTAACCGTTTGGAAACTCAAATCAAGGTAGTCACTTCGTCGATGATGTGTGAGCGTACTATTATACCCTTGACACACGTCGTTAGGCGCTGTCCCCGCCGCGACACGACCAATCCCCCCCGCCAGCTACATCTTCTCCTCCACGAGTTGTAGTCACTGCTCCTTCCGCACCAGTTTCCACAACATCCCCTCGCAACCAAGCCGCGCCGTTGTCACCCACGAAGAAGGAAGCAGCAGTTGTGCAGTCGCCACCCCGGAAAAAGGCCGCCGCGGATGCTACACCTATCCATCCCGTGATTGCCCCTACAGTTGTATCACCCAAACACGAGGTCAAGCACGAGAAAACTCCAGTTCCGGCCGTGCCGTCCCCCAAACAGTCGCCTCGAAAGGCGGCGGCGATGCCAGCCCACGCCCCGTCCGAGGACATGGAAGTCGATCAAGCCCCCCCAGCCGCCGTACAGACTCCTGTGAAATCCCCCGCGAGCAAACGCGCCAAGGCCGCGTCGACCCCAGCGTCGTCGATGAAAGTGATTGAACTCCGCGAAGAACTCAAGCGTCGTGGGCTGCCGACTAAAGGCAACAAGGCCGAGTTGGTGGCTCGACTGGAATCTGCCAACGAATAGCTAAATAGCTACTAGCTCTCCACAACTTGTGTCATGTGTCAAGTACCATATTGTCTTTACTCAAGCTTCGCGCGATGGATCTGGCGCGGGCGCGTCGGTTTTCAGTCACCACAGGAACCAACCTGCCCCCGTCTTCGTCAACACCTTTTTCAAACGCATACAACAAGGGCACTCCTACATCAACATGTTGACATGATGTTCCATAAGGTGAATGAATACTGTTGTACCCGTGGGGGCAAGGAGGCGGCAGGCTTCTGGGTTGGACTTCTCCATGGCCATGTGCGCCAAGTACGTGGCATCATCGAGGCCTTCGAGGACTTTGATCAGGGTGCGGATGACAAACCCGTGGGTGGACACGAGCACGTTCTTGCCGGCTGCCAGGTGCGGCTGGATGCATGCGACAAAGAACGGCATCACCCGCGCCTCGACGTCGGCGCAACTTTCGCCCTTGTCGCCAGGAAACTTGAGTCGGTAGTCGTTGCGGATGGCGCCGCCGATGTCGGGGGGGTGCTGCGTGCTCGGGACCCCTTGGAGCGAGCCAAAGTGGCGCTCGTTCAAAGCCGATGTGACGTAAACGGGCAGGACGAACCGCGTCGGGTGGGGCTCCACGAGGTCGTCGAATACCGGCGCCGATAGTGGTGATGTGTGCACGACCACAGGTGTCTTGCCGCTGTCGTGGGAAGAAAGAGCTAGGGCGACCTACGTAATGACGAGGGGGGGTGAGGAAGGACGAGGCGTGAATGGAAAGGACGAACGGTGGTGCGTGCACGATCCATCTGCGAGCAAAAGACCAGGTCCAACGGAATATGCTGGAGAGCATGACCCGCTTCGAGCGCTTCCTGCATCCCCACCTCGGACAGCGGGATGTCCACCGTGCCAGCATATCGCCAGACAAAGTCTGGACGCGCAGGCTTGCGGTTCCACACGGACTGGCCATGTCGCATCAACACGAGCATACCAGTACTTCGTTGGTCCTTCTCAAAGTACGTCAGTTCTTTGTCACTCCATGAGTGGTGGCGATGTGCATGCTTAATGGGATCGGCTAAGTCGACGCCTTCCTACAATTGGTTCCAGCATTCATGCTTTAAAGTGGAACAAGGAGGTGGATGTGTACAGTACATTGGCGTCCCCGTCATGTGACGAAGAAGACTTCTTCGTTCGTATCACTCGAAGCAGCGCTTGGACTTGCAGGGCAACGCACACTCCAACCAGAACCAACGCCCCGTCCTTGAGCATCGTGTCGGCGATCTAAACACTTGGCCGCGCCGGTTCATAATACCTTTAAAACTGATTTCCTGTTAAGATAATAACCTCCATATTCAGATATTTTTATTCAATCTTATACTGCCAGTACTACGGTAGTACACATACTAGTGTATGTATAAGTAGCTGTGCACCGTAGCACCCTGAAAGGGATTGCATGCAGACAACCCAGGAACCATAACCAGCCAGCCTTATCAGTGGATACTGGAAGTGTCCAGGCATGATGTGGCCAAGGGTGTCCTTGTGTCAAGTGATTTGATGCGGCAGAGGTTTGCTGACAAAAATACATTGAGTTCCGGATAACGTCTTATCCGAACAATTTCGGGCAGTGGAGGCGCTGAAGAATCAGGTGCGGTGATCCATTGAGATGCTGGCCACGGACAAGACCGCTGGGACCACCAAATGGAACCATACACACTCCTTGGTACGTATGTGGCATGATGCAATGCATGCATGCCCTGGGGCTCCGTGGAAGTGATGGCATGCATGTGGTGGACATGTGCATAGGAGGGGGAGAACACGGTTCCACTGTTCGAACGAGAGCGGCGGCAAGACACTCAGCTTGTCCAACGCTTGCAAGCGGAATTGACCGAAACAAAGCGGCTTCTTGAGACCCAGACGCGACGACAGAACGACTTGGAGTACGTGAACGAAGACTTGGAGCGTCGACTGGAGTACGAAGCGCGGGAGCGCATCAACTTGGACGCGATGAAGGCAGACGACGAGAAGCGGTGGGTGCAGGAACGATTGCATTTGGAAGAGGAGCGCAAGGTGTGGGAGCGTAAGTGGGACGACGAGTGCAAGCGAAGGGCCATCGTGGAGGAGCGCTTACGCCGCGCCGAGAAGGAGTTATATCGCATGCATCAAAAGAAGTACGACATCGAGAAGACCGTGCGCCGCGAAGAGAGCGAGAAGCGAAAGCACGAAGTGTACATCGTCCGATCGATCGAAAAAGACAACAACAACTTGTATCGACCACGCCAGTCCGGCGCTTCCTCCGCGCCGCCATCGCAAGCTGCGTCGGCGGCGTCCTATTTATCCATCGCACCTCCTCCTTCATCATCGTCCACATCGATGCTCAATCCCAGGGATGCCAAACCCGCCACCGTCCGCCAGCGCCAAGCCCTGAGCTCTGCCATGGACTTCTTCGGCTTGTAACCATCCAATATACCTTGTGTCTTCCACTGCGTTGCTAAAACCATAGTGCAACTAGCTCCACTTGTATATATGGACATAGCTCGAGATGGTAGGACAACGACGACGTCACAGTGACATTCTTCGTGTGTACACTTGCCATCCCACTACAAAAAGTTGGAATGATGGACCTCACGGCACTACCCAGTAGCTTTAGCGTGGTGGTGGCGGCGACAGGGTAACAACGAGTGGATATGCGACGCTGTATAAATGATCTACCTGGAAACCATTCAAACATCAAGTCCTAACACTGGGCTGCTTTGTGTCTGGTTGGTGTGCTCTGGGCGGTGTGAATAGTGTGTTCATTTGTTACCTAACTAAAAGCCGTGTCGGTCGTTGGTGGTCTGGCTAGCAACTCTTGCAGCAGTTTCTCCATGCGGTCGAGCTTGGCGTCCAATCGATGCAGGTGTTCCGAAGTTGCACTAGTACCGTGTAGCAAGTCTGGAAATGATGTGGCGAAGCGGGATGATGTCGAGCGAATGGTCCGGGTTGAGCGGGCTCTGGTGGTGGTAGCCGACTGCTTCCTCGAGTACGAGTGCTGATTTAGCAGGGCGGCCAGCGTGGAGCGCCGGCGAAGCGGCGGAGGTGCCGAGTTGGCTTTGAGTGAGGTCAGCTTGACTCGGGACATGGATCGCTTGCCGCTGGGATTCGTGGGGGTGTCTCGCCGCGTGAGGGGGTCGTGGCTGCGCTCGGCCACGAGTCGCTTGATTTCGTTGGCGAAGGACGGGAATTGCTTCATTACGAGCGTGAAGTCCTTCTTCGAGAGCACCCCGAGCTCGCAGATGGACCCGGCAACGACCGTCCGCGTGCGCTCGACTTCCATGAGCAACCCCATCTCGCCAAAGAACGATCCTTCCAGCAGCACCACGTCCCCCCCATGTCCATCGTTGCCTTGGGCGTATTTGGAGGAACTTGCACTGACGACCTTGGACGACGCGGTGACGGACGACAGCCGCGTGATTGGAGGCACGATCGAAATGTTGCTTTGCTGCTGTTTCTGTTTCAAAGTCAGCTTGGTGATCGTGCTGTCGTCCACGACGTCGCCGGCTAGCACAATCACGCACCCCCGGGCGACAATGAACAAGTCCTTGCCCACTTCGCCGCGGGTGATGATCTTGTCTTGGGGGAGAAAGATCACGGTGGTGAGGCAGAGGCACACAAACCCAAGCAGTTGGTCTGACGCGGTCTCGAAGAGCGGAATCTTGGACAGCATGTCTCTGTACATGAACACGGCAATCTCCTTGCGAAGGGGCTCCGACATGCCCTTGTCCTGCAGCAGCGTCACCTTCTCCGTGGCGCTGCCTTGGTGGGTCCACAAGTACTGATGGTACGCTTTAATACGCATCTAACCAACGCCATATATGATTTGGCTATGGACCACAAATGCAAGATATGTGTTTGCGATCGATTGTCGTCTTACACGAAGGTACTCTGGCAGCTGGAGAAACTCCATTTCATGGTTGATCATGTCGATGCGCTTGCGGAATTGGTACCCCGCACGATTCCAGCTCTCAACAACAAACACGGAGCTGCCGATCACGACGGAATTCAAAATCACCCCCACGATGGCGTATCCCGTGCTACAAATAACCATCATCGTGACAAGGAAGAGTGCATGGGGAAGCTACCTCAGGGCCAGGAGGGCAGACGGAAGCGGGTCAGTCGCAGCTGGAACTATCACGGCGGTCGAGTTGGAGGACTCGCGGTAACGCCCGCAGAGGGGGTTGTCGCTTTCAAACACAACGTCAAGGGACATGGAAGTCATCATCACGACGGTGTAATACACGCCCAGGGAGTACACATCAAACACCTAACAACTAGATCAGACCAACGGAGGGGGAAGCGCAGGGGGTGGCGGTCAATGGAAGGTGGTTCTAGTAGCAGAAAGCGCAAGAGTTCTATACAAGGACGTACAGCGTTGGGATTACAAAAGCCAGCCGCCAAGTCCCTCGACAAGGGCTCGTCGCACGGGCTCACCACGGCAATCCAGATGCACCTAATGCACACTCGTAAGACAAGGCCTCACGCCGACGGACGTACGCTGCAATGTGCAGCACAAACACAAACGCGCAAAGAATCGTGAGCGACCCTTCGTAGCGTTGAAAGCGGCGGAAGCGGCGCACCAGCTGCGAGAGGCGAAGCAGCTTGGGCAACTGCAAATATAGTCATACACCCGTTATGCTCGAGGCGTTGGATTAAGGGGCGGTACCTTGACATATTTGAGCATTTTGACGCCTCGGGTGCTGGTGCTGGAGAGGCTGTTGTCTGGGAAGAGGGCCGCCACGACCACGTCCGTGGGAAAGACGGAGATGAAGTCCACGACGAACCACGACTTGACGTAAATCTTGGCGACGTCGCGGGGCTCTTGGACCAGTTCGCCGTACACGACGACCGCCGTGCGAAAGTTGAGGAGGAGGTCCACGACGAAGAAGATGTCGAGCGAAATGTGGAGCCCCTCCACGGGATGGGAAGGCGTCCACCACGTCATGGCCAGCGTGAACGGAATGAGCCAGCACTCGTAAATGACGGCAAACGCCAGCACGGTGTCCCAGAATCGGCGAAACCGACTAAGCGGGTGCAGCATGAACGCGTGATAGTGCCACGACAGCGGCGACTGATCGTGGAGACGTGCAAGATGGCGCGTGAAGTGCTCTTTGCAGTAGTGGATGCTTTGATTTGCCCGGTGAGCCCACGGAGGAGGAGTTGATGGCGACAATTTATTGTCGGGGATTTGCAGGCCCAATGACATCGAAACTCGAACGCGACGGACAGTGTGACGGGTCCAGCGTTGAATCCACAGACACAATGATGCAGTCGTCTGTGGCGATCACAGCCGCGTCGGGACAGCTGGCTATACCAGCAACCACAGGGGCGTACGGTCGGGGTGTGACCGATTTGACGTTTCATCCAGCAGTTACACTGAACACGCACCAACTGCAAAAAGTACCAACCGTCAGACAGTCCTCGCGTGCGCACATGTACCCGAAGACTCAAGATCTGTCAGAGGTGCTACGGCGACTAGATTGACAATGAACTGCGGTCGAGCGTCGAAACTCTCCCGCCCACTCCTGACGTTAGTACCGTAGTATGTACTAACAGTTAGTACTTACATGATGTGTCGGTTCTAGCCCCAGACGAACGAAAACCAAAAGTGTATGCCAATGCGGCTACCGTACACCTACCTTTGTGTGGACTCGAACAAACCTCGCGGAACGTTGGTTGCTGCTTTGTCGAAGGAATTCACAGCAATGACGGCGATTTCAAGCACACCCCCGCATCAAGAATCAAACGTTAGCTGTAAATATTGCCGTCGTCGACCCATTCACAGTGCGCCATTCAAGGAGGTCCCAAGCTAATGAGTTGTTTGGGGAAGACGAACGACCGTTGGTTTTGAGCACATGACACGGACCATACAGTATTAAATAAGAGTACGACTGACTACGCTGTTGTACTACTACGAATCTCTAGTTGGGGTGGACCACACGGTAGTGCTGCGTGCACATGCCTTGCCGACGAGCCTTCTTGCCGCAGTTGGCCACGTCGCACGGCCGTCCGCCTCCGTGCCGGATGCAGTAGCCATTGCCTCGGTCTTTGGCACGGCATGACTCTTCTTTGCACGACCGCTTGCCTCCATGGCGGTGGCAGAGCCCGTTGCGTTGGGACACTCGCTCGCAGCTCTCGACGGTGCAGTACTTGGAGAGGCGCCATCGAGGCTTGTGGGTGGACAGGAGTTGATGCGGAGAACATGCGACGGAGTTTGGGCTGCAGGTGGCGTCGTCGTTGTGGAGTGTTTGGTACGCCATCGCATGATACAGTGAGGGTTGTGGGCTGGTGGAATGGCAACCCGTGTCGGGGGAAGGTGGATCCGACTGGTGGTGGCGGTGGAGCAGGGATGTGATCGAAGGCAGCGATTGGTGGTGTGGGTGGTGGTGACTTTGCAGCGACATGGGTGGTAGGGTGGTTGCGTCGAACGATTTGACCAGCGACGGGAGCAACACCACGTCGGATGGGCTAGCCCAGTGACACCGAAGCGTGTCCTGAACGGAGATCATGGCTGGTTTGCGCTGTACCGTCCAAATTCGAGATTGACGAAGTGTTTCCAGGCGTATCCCAACCAACAAGCTGGTTTTATCAATTGATCAACACAGCGTGAGTACAGCCAGATGGTCTAGATGAACGTGGGACGTGTATGCTGAGAAATGAACGGCGGTACTGGTGGTGCTATCCCACACCTGAGATTTCCAGAGGTAATCCACACATACTATACTACTAGTAGTACTAGTACTAATAGTACCTTGCGGCCTATACTAAATTGACGTCGTTTTGCATTTCAATGTAGGATGTTATGTACTAGTACTTCATAGCAACGATCGCGTGGAAAGCAGCCCTGCTATGGTTTCTGTGTGGTAGTAGTGCGCTGTACCATGGCAACGATGGCGTACAGTACAGGCAATGTGGTATCGCGACATGTCCAAGGCACAACCTTCACTTTACCCCCACCACATGCTGCGATATGAAAAGTCGGACGCGTTGCTAGCCAGTAAAAAATGCCACAAGTAGACATGCTTGAATAGAATGATCGACATGGTGGAATAAATAGTACAGTAGAATACGACACAGATCGCAGCACGCACCAGGTTGGCATTGGAGGTGGAGGATGCAGTGCAAGACCCCACACGCTGTTGTCCGAGCCTGCGTGCGTGATGCTGGGGAAATGGCCATGTTCTTGTGCGACAAGGAGTCGAAAAGCTAGTACTAGTACTACTTCTACACGTATCTCATCCTGTTGACAACATCATTGCTGTTTGGCCAAACAAGCCACGTCAACGTGCACCTGTTCGAGTTGCGATCATCGTTTCAGACGTCATTTTGGTGTCACTTTGCCCTTTTCCGAGCGCGTTTCGAACACTGCATACTTTCGGTGCAGACCAAGGGACCAATCACCACGCTTAGCTGTGTCATGGTCTCACAGTCAGTCAACATCTGATCGGAGATTACCACGGTGGTTCAACAAATCCAATCTATAATAAGTCAGTTTGGACTAGTACAATTGCGCTGCCGCTTTATGGCACCTTCCGGTGCTCTTGATGGCTGTGATGAGTTGACGGAATCAAAGCCCTTGGCTTACTTGTTGGTACTGTATTGGACCAACGTGATAGGGAGTGTCAGTCACAATTGCATTGAGGACCTGATAGGTTACAGCATGTTCAGTCGTCGTACCACCAGCCAATGCCAGCTGGCGCGTCAAGTTACCACCATGTCAACACCCACCTCTGCTTGATTGATTACCTAGTACTACTAGTAGTAATACTAACGTACGAATTGTACTGTAGTTCTCCGCGTACGTACGTGGTTTCATACCGGTAACTTACTGTCCTAACGAACTGTAGTCGCCACCACAAAAGAAGCGAGAGCACCAAACTACTAGTAGCTCTCAGTCGAATGTTTCCATTTCATGCTGGCCATGAACATTATTTCGTGACATTATTGATAATATGTAGTACTATTAATAGTAGTAATCGTAGTAGTACTTTCCTGGTGCTTGAAGCACACTCCAGTGTAATGATGCCACATAGTACTACTAATAACAGTAGTAAATTGTGCAATTGACTCTAGTAGTCCTACGGGCCGATGTTCCCCTCAAAGTATATAGTGGTGTCAACAACGTTGGCAACACACTTCACTTTGTCCTCCGCCACAATCTCGACGACGTCCCACTATACAACGAACGTCCTATTTGATAGGTCAGACACTTCTGATGCGATGAACAGACAGACCTTACTGCAACCGAGAGACTGCGTTTGGCTGGTGCAACGGCAACGCATAGCCGTGGGCATGTGCTTGGATGATCTTGACCACACTCGTCCGTGCATCTTCTGTCAGCCCATGGAGCACCACGACCATGTCCCCGTCGTCGATCCAGCCCTTGGATTTGGCAAACTCGATCGCTTTCAAGATCAAGTCGTCCGTGCCGCCAGTCATCGCGCGAAGCACCGAGATGCCCCTATCACGACATTTAAAAAAACAGAGGCATAATTTGTGTACCTCGAGAGGCCGGCCAACTGCCTCGCGACATGCGCCGACGCCGTCACAGCCACCACGAACGCTTCCGGGCGGTACTTGGCGATCTTCAACGTGGAAGATCCCGAGTCGGTCAGCGACACTATCAGCTTGGCTTGCACATCCAGCGCCATTTCCACTCCCGACGACGACGCGGCTTCGCAGACACTCACAGGTCGCGGCGTCGCATCGCGCGTCTTGGCGTACAGTCTCGAGTAGTTGAGCGACCCTATATAACCCCATTGATGATGGGCAATCTAAGTCTTCTCGACGATGCTGTCACATCGAACCTTCGGCCTCGATGCAAATACGTGACATGGTCGCCACCGCTTGGACGGGGAACTCGCCCTTTGCCGTTTCTGCCGACAACATGACCGCGTCCGTGCCGTCGAGCACCGCGTTGGCCACGTCCGAGCACTCGGCGGACGTTGGCGTCGGACACTTGGTCATCGACTGCAGCATCTACTCGCTCGTGTATGTGGTGGATGAGAGCTCGATCCAACCCGATCGGATCGGGGGGGGGGCTTGTCTACCTGCGTGGACGTAACGACGGGCTTGCCGGCGATGTTGGCTTTGCGAATGATAAGCTTTTGAGCTAAAAACACTTGTTCTGGCTGCAGTTCCATGCCCAGATCACCGCGGCTCACGTGGATGCCGTCGGCTTCGGCGAGGATCTCATCCAGGTTTTCCAGCGCTTCGAGGCTTTCAATCTTGGCATGGATGCGAATGTGTTTGCCTGCGTCGCCCAGACACGCCCGAATCGCTCTATCGCATAGTCGTCATCATGGATGGGACAGCGTATGAGTTTGTACCGGACGTTGGCCGCAGATCGTACAAACGACCCCGACACAATGTCCACGGCGTACGGAAGGGCAAAATGCACCAAGTCGTGCTTGTCCTTGTCCGTGATGCCAGGAATGCGAATCTTGGCCCCAGGGAGACTCATGCTCTTGCGTTCTTCTAGAACGTGCGAGTTGAGCACCTTGACATCGACCTCGTTGCTACGACACGCTGTTACATCCAGTTGCAGCGTGCCGTCGTCGCACAGAATTCGCGACCCAGGCGCGACGGACGTGGCCAAGTGCGGGTAGTTGCATCCGATGCGACTTGTGTCGCCTTCAAAATCGCCGTCTGTTGTGATCGTCAGCGTCTGTCCAGCTATCAAGTGGATTGGTGTGTGGTGCTTGAGCGCTCCTGCAAGACGACATCTTCACATGAGGAAGGAATGGTTCAGAGAGGCAGGACGTACCCGTGCGAATCTCTGGGCCCTTGGTGTCCAGCAGCACCGCGCAGTGGCAGTGCTCCCGCTGCGCAACCGCGGCACGGAGGTTGGCCAGCGCGGTGCCGTGGACAGTGTGGTCACCGTGGGAAAAATTGAAGCGCGCTACGTTCATGCCTGTATTTCTTAGATGGGTGAATGCTCGACAACAGATATGATGTACCTGCGTCGAGGAGTTTGCCGAGCATGTCCACGGACCAGCAGCTGGGCCCGATGGCGCAGATGATCTTGGTCTTGCGCTCGCGGTGTCTCGTAAAGTCACGATCCAGGATCTGCGACTCGGAGATCTCGAGCTTATACTTCTAGAAACACCATTTTGTCAGTGAAAACTGGCCAGCATGCGGCTATGGAGCCACAAACAGAATGACACGTACGGGTACATCGCCGAAAGTGGTGTTGGTCTCGTGCAGCTCGGCCGACATACTTCGAGGCCGCTGGCCCCATCCGCCTCCAAGGACGAGACGCGAGCGCGGTGACAACGTCTGGTTCACCGAGTGCATCGAGACCCAAGATGATGTTGGGTCAACGAGGTTGAGATGGATGAAGCGAGCGTTTCAATGTGTATAGAGAGTAAATAGCAAGCAGGAACAACACCGACGGAGCTGAAAATAGCGTCGTGGGTGTCCGGATAATCACCGTCGCACCAACGAAAATGTCTGGTATCCGGATCACTCACTCATCACATATCTGACCTGTTCCGAGTTTCACAACTGTTAGCTGCTGCCCATGTACATACAAGTATCTGTAACTGTGTGGCTTCTTATTGGAATACTTTAATCACGCTGTCCGCGCCGCCAGTGGCCACGAATCCCCGCGTGGCATGGTGGGCGACACTGTGGACTGCTTCGGCGTACTTGGGTCGGTGGGCCGACTGTTCATGGACACAGGTGCGCTCGGCCACACTCCAGAACCGAAGGGATCCATCGTGGCCACCCGAGGCCACATACAGCCCCGACGCATCCAGTGCCAGCGACGACACGGCATCCTGATGGGCCACCACGGAGGCCACGCATTGTCCTAGCCAATACCGCACAACCAAACAACATGGTCACATATTCCAGACAAACAGATATAAGAATTGGGAGGAGGACGACGTACCCGCACGGAGATCGTAAAAGCGAATGCGGCGATCTTGATGCGCCGCGACAACCAATGGCATCGTCGGATGCGACACCATCTACCCCCCATATATCCACAACACCATGATGACCACATGACGAGGATAATCATCACACGTACGCAGTTGACTTGGGCTTCCCGAAACGCTGTTATTCGCACGTCGGTTTCCGACGGCACCATCAGCTGAATCAACCGCTCCGAGCTGATATCGTATTGGCCAATCTAGTCACATGAAAGATGAGTGACACCACAACCAACCACACGACCAAAACCACCTAGCTAGCTAGCCCACCCACAGATATGCCAACCAGTGGTAGCCAAACGAACGCCACCAAAGAGGTGGTACCTTGTGCAGTACGTACCGTGCACGACGTGTACCCTGCAATGACGGTCGCGGCATTTGTCGGGACTGCCGACACGCAGGTCGGAACGAGGACGCCATCGATGTTGTGACCCAGGCCGGACGGATGCTGCCGCACAGACGCCCCCAACGTGCACTTGAGCGTCGGTTCTACACGTACGATCGAGCCATGTCGTTAGAAATGCAATCTGTGGTTTAGTATACAAACAAAGCCAATCTGTTGTTGCTATCTCGTGCTAGAGCTAGAGAATGAATGGGCCACAGGTTTTACCGGCAGAGATGCCCCACACGCGGACACAGGCGTCGGCACTGGCGGAGAAGAGCAGGTTCGTGTACGGATGCGCATACAGACCCCAGATCGCGTCTCGATGTGCTTCCATTCGATGCACGAGAAACTTGTAGTACTCTACCACATTACGACGTCACATATATAGTCCATCAAGCAAGCGGACATGTACGTACCATCATAGGCCAGTGGTTCCACGGGTTTGTCAGTTATCTCAGGAAACGCAATCAATCCGATCGTGCCATCCTTGCTTCCCGTGGCAACGAGGCCGTTGCGGAACCCAAGCCCGCTGGAATGTTCTGGCTTGATGGCAGCGACGGCGAGCACGCTCTCGGTGTGCAACCGCAGCGTCGCGACGGGTTCGACTTCTGTGTTCCTATCACCAAAGTACGCAAAGAGTAGCGTCGGCGTGTCTCAGTGGGTAGAGGTAGATTGGCCACGTACTTGGACGCAAGGTTCCATATCTTGACCGTGCAATCTTCGCTGCCAGACACGAGCAGCGGGTCCGTCGGGTGAAAGCAAATAGCACGCACGCCGTCTAAGTGGCCACTGAGTTTGAGTTTCATTTTGCACGCACGAAAGCTGCCATTCACTTTGGTCGTGACTTCGACAGGCGGCGGCCCTTTGACCGGCGCCGCGACTGATGGCGGCGGTAGTATCTTGTCCGCTTTGGAATTGACGCGTGGCCGCGAGATAAACGTCTCGCCTTCTTTGCTCCTGGTCACAGACACGTCGTTGCGAGAAATCTCGTTTCTGCCGCCGCCTCCTCTGGAAACTTCCGACTCCCCTTTGGTTTCTGAGTGCTTCAGCGAGGCATTCGAACTACTAGAGGATAAGTTGGAGCTGCCCTTGCGAAAGACCGTTTGCTCCTTGCCGCCTCCACCTCCTCCGCCACCTGCATTGCGAGGACTGTTGAAGGGGGATGTGTTGGCACGCTCCACGCGATTGGTGGCCTTGTCCTTCGGCGCAGGGATTATCGCCATGTACCGTCCTCGCTCTTGTTGCAGTGCATACTCGAGCATTTTGACCTGAAGCACCAGTTCCTTGGCATAATCGTCCTGGATCTTCTTCTGTGCCTCGAGCTCGTGCAGCTGCGCCTGGAACTGCTTCTTCTCATCTTGCCATTGCACTCGCGCCACATTGGCGCTCTCGAACTGCTTGGCCAAGTACTTGAGTGCGTCTTCCACACTCTCCATCGATGCTCCCGTGCTCGTCGTTCCTGTCGACTCTCGGTGACTTGTTTCCTGATTGACGAGTGTTGTCACTGTCCGTTTGTATGGCATACTGGAATCCAGTCTCATTGCTCAAAGTAATGCGATCTATTTCCCTCTCGCAATGGATATTCCGTTTGGCCTTGGTGTCGTAAACCTGTGACACTTTATCCGTACGACATTTCGCATTTGTGACGTTATTCTATCTACACTTGTCTACAAAGTGCACATTCAGCTGCGACCGGTCAGTTTGGTTCAAACTCGTGGGCGTCATTTGCTGCAGCATGTAGTACACGGACAAGGCTTGGGTGGGCGGCAATGTGATCACTTGGGTGGGGACGGCCAAGTCGGCAATATCGCTGGGCTTGTGGTACAACACGATGGTTTCGGGGCTGCAATACGCCACGACGATCAAATCTATCTCGTGGAAACCCACACACAAAACAGTAAGGTCATATCGACACGCGAGGTACTGTACGTACCGTCGCTGAGCACTTCCCAAGAGATCGTGTACGTGACCGAATGATGGGGATGCAGGTGCACTTGCAGGCTCAACACGCGATGCTTGGTCACGAGTAGGCACCCGTGGCGCTCTGCCGACATGATGTGGCCGACGTAATCTTCATGCCGGGCCTGGACAATCCCGTACTTGATGTCTTCTCCCGACGCATGCACGTACGAGTATGACGTGAGCAAATGCGTGCGCGGGTCGATGTATCTACGGTTCTCGTTTTAATACTATAACTAGCATTGACATAATTTCTAGATAATAGTTGATCTCAATTATTTAAAAAAAGTATATTTTTCTTCAATAGTAGTAGTTCATGGAACAGCACCTTGAAATAATTATATATATACATAGATTTTTGATGAATATAGACAAAAATTCTCTAAAATATTAATGAAATCAAAGTCTATATAAAAAATATACTTATCAATCTATTTATATATAAAATATAGACAAACACATATGTACTCGAACGTTGAAAATCCATCCATCTTACCGTGGCGGTCGCATGCGCATGACATACGCTTGCGTGTCATGTTGGATCCCATCCCTACGACAAATATCTCAAGGATTTATATATTGTATACTAGCTAGCTAGCTCTTCGCAACCGACCTCAACGTCGTGGTGGTGTTGACGAACCCCTGCGTGAACCCCCGCAGCGGTTTCAGCACAAGTCCGAGCATGCCGGCCAACACTCCAGGCAAAATGCCACTCCAGCCCTGCACGTCGTACGAGTGCATGGGACTCACCTACCATAGGTACATGTGACAATTAGAATAACATCTATTGAATAAGGACCCTGTCGTAATCATTTTTAAAGTAAATACTGAATATTCAAAAATAGGAGAACATCTAGCCACTAAATATACCCCAGCTGTAACCATTGTTGCTGCGTGAATTAAAGCTGAAACTGGTGTAGGTCCTTCCATAGCATCAGGTAACCATATATGTAAAAAAACTTGAGCGGATTTTCCCATAGCACCAATAAAAATTAAAATACAAATTATATCAATAATAGACCAATAATAATTTAAAAAAATAAAAAAAAGTATAATTTTGTAAAATAGAAATTTTGGAGTTTGACAGGTAGCTACTGTATGTACCTACCACGACACCCGATGCGCCTTGGGCAATATCTTGGTAAAATGTCTTGGCAACGGGGTACCCCGTGTACGTGTCGATGCGATGGCATGCATCCGAGAGCCCCAAGAGCATGCTGCTGGCAATGCGAGTGTTGAAGTCCAAGATGGCGTACACAAAGGCTCGGAACAGCAACGACGTTCCTTTCACCAGGCCAAACCCAAACGCTTGCGGGCTCTACGGCCCAGCGAAATACCAATGAATACATGTATCCATCCATATTTCGCAGGAAATATCCTCGTTTTCGATATAGAAATGTATCAGTTCCCTTGAATATTTTTAAAATATATATTATGTTTCCAATACATATTAACCAATTTCATAATAGATCGAGTTTGATAATATTTTTCTTACCTCTTGCCACCCTCGCAGGGGCTCCCACACAAACGATTCGAGGCCCCCACGTAAATTATGCCACACCTTGACGGGGTTGCCCAATACATCGACCGACCCAAGCAACACGTACGCTTGGCGGTACGCTTCGTGCTGGTAATGCAAACTCATTTGGTTCAACATGGTTTCCCTCGGCACAAACATGTGCTGCCACCGAAGTGCGCGCCAGTGCAGCGGCGCATTGTGAATCTTGGTGAGGGTCTTGCCCGCAGCCTGGAGGATTTGCCGGACGCCGGCCACTTGCACGGCATTGGTGGTATATGTGTTACTACTGCTTGTGGTGGTGCTGCTGCTGCTCGTGGCAAAGCTCAGTGACGCCTGGATAGGCGCGAGTTCAAACTTTTCAAAGTACAATTTCTTGGACACGGTGGTTTCTCGGGGTACGCCCAGGAGGCCCACAATCGACGCATCAAAATCCCGCACACGGTCCTACAAACAAAAAATATTGACCAATCACACGACGCCACGTGGAGAATCAAGACCTCGCGCGTCGGCGCCGTGTTGTGCTGGACGTCCTCTGGACTGACAAACATGGCGGCAAGTTGGTTGATGAGCGTGCCATCGATGCGCCAGTGCATGGGCTGCAGCATCACGTTCACGTAGCGAAGGAACTCGATGCTTGTGTACGTTGTCTCGCGCACGATGGTTGCGTCGAGGGCGGGGGAGTCTGTAAAGTTGAGCAGCACGGGGTACCGCGTTGTGCGCACTTGGTTGTCGATTTGCATGGAGTGGACCGACACGTGCAGAGCCAGTTGGGCCATGTGCTCGGTCCACGTGGCCTGAAAAGCCACCGTGTTCCACGACACGTACACCAGTTCGCTCGGCTTGCTATCGACCAGTGACACACTTAGGCTGTGCAATTTCAACTGAAACTCCACCACGGGGCTCCCGACGTATTGCTGCCATCCTACCACGTTCATGAATGAATCGATCATATATATACGTAGAGGTGGCGTTCGCGCATCATCGACAAATGCCAATTATAAGTATCGTGGAGGTATAAACCAAATACCAACCTGCGGGCTCCTTCTTCCCCATGGGGGGCCTTGGAAACGGCGTCATGACGTCGGTTAGGCGCAATACCCGCGTGGGGCCGTCCGCGCGCACTTCGACGGCCAGCGACTTGGTCGGAAACGTGGCAATGTCGTCCATCGAGAAGACGCCGATGCGGATCGGTCGGCTGTTGTCGTCCGCTTGCGACGGCAGCATGTCCACGACCAGCAGGTGCGGCTTGAGTGGCTCGTCCCACGTGTACTCGCATGTTTGATGGGGCAGCAAAATGTCGGAAATGCGCACGCGAGACTGGTGTACGCGAATCGTTTCAAGCGAAAAGTTTTCAATGCGATACGGTGGCACGTTGGTCGAGCTGCGAAACACAATGCGGTATTGGGGTCCTACAGGATCGTCACTCGATGAGCAGCGTCACACACCACCGAATCATGATGATATATATAAATAATAATATGATATTGTGGCGATGGTTGGGTACCTTCTAGCTTGATGGATATGCGAATCAAGTATGTTGTGCGGTCCACAGTGTTGCGCAGTCGCAACGTCTGGTCCCCCGTCGTGTGCAAGTGAAGCGCGCCACTCCACACCTACAATCAACCCCCTGTTAGATTGAACGCATCTTTGTTCTTGTCAAGTAGTCGATTTGAAATTCCAGTGAGGGGGGTGCTCAATATCGAAAATGAACAGAAGAACCGAATTGGCAGATAATCAATCGATCGACCAATCAAAACCCAGAATCACTCACCAAAGTGGCCAATCAAATACACTCTCCGCCATTTTAACATTAAATTATTCGTGTGCGACTGAAATTAATGTGACATTGGACGTTTTTACATTCAAAAGCCAAAGAATCGATGGATACGTTGTTTGGCGACTCAACCAGCACTAAAGTCCAAATTTAGGGTAAAAGAAGTATAAATTTCCACTGACAACAGGATATGCATACCCATCCTGGCGCGGCAAACCGAATACGAATCGTGTTGCGATGATGGGCATGGGCAAAGTGCCAAGGCAGCTGCGCGTGGCGCTCCAACGTCGCCGACGTCGACGTGCTTTCGTCCATGAGAACGTCCAATGCGTGGTCGTCCAGGGCGTTGATGAGGAGGAAGCGCGGCACGAGTGTGAGCACTTGGGTGCGGTCGTACCATCCGTGGCCATGCTCCAGCACAAACCCCACCACGTACGTGTGCCCGTGGTCTCGCACCGTGCATTCGCCTACAATATATACATAAAAGGTTGTCACCAGTACATTATTTATTGATGTGAAATGACGGCAAACCAACCCGTGGCGCCGCTGATATGACACGAAATCACGTTCGACCATGCGGCACTTTTCCCTTTGAGTCGCAATTGCATCTTCAATATGCCGTGGCGTTGGTGGGTGTGGCATACGGCCAGGAGCGGCGCACTCGTCGACGCGATCGACACCTTCTTTGGAATCAAGTCCAAGAGGCCGCGGTTCGGAGGAATCGACGGCAAAAGCTGATGCTTTCGCTTCACGGCCGCTGGGGGCACCACCACGGACTCTGTGTCGGCCAACGACGCTTTAGGCATGGCTTGGCCTACGCCATACATATCCACATCATATACACATCGTTTCGATATATATATATATATATATATTGTTGTGTTTAAACTGGAGCGACATGGAGAATGAATCGACACAATCAAATATGTACACAAGAAACATCGGCAGAAAAATGGAGCCAATCCGATTGCAGGACACCATCACCGACATCGAATTAGTGTGTGATTCCAATTAGTGTGATACCAATCACCCCCGGACACTATTTTACATATAAAATCCAGTACAAAGAATCGATCGATGGATTTTGGCAATTCAGCACAAAGTCCAAAGTTTGGGTAAAGCACAATATATATATATATATACCGGCCGCAAACGGGTTGATGTGTTCCGTGCCGAGAAACGCAAGTTCGTGCTGGTATTCCAAGTCCAGCCCAGTTTGATTGAGGATCCAGTACGGGACAAACACAGAGACCTCCCACTGCGCCGCCTTGGACGTGTCGACATCGATCGTGACAAACAATACACTGTGGTTCATCGGGTCAAGCATGGAAATGGTGCCGGCCGCCAGCTCCGTCGACTGGCTCCACGAGAAGCCCTTGGTGCGAATTTCCAGCGTCAGGCCGTCGTGCTCGCTGCTATGGTACACACATTTCTCCCCCACATCCAATTTGCCCGATTCAAAGCGCCCCGGAGCTCGCGTGAGGCGGTATTCCATGGGGGTCGGCAGTGCATTGTGTAGCACGAGCGGGGCGCAAAACGACAGAACCCGACGCGTACTCGACCTGTCCGTCCACGTCGCATACAGCACGAACGAGGTGCCGCAGTGTACTACTTGAGCGTCCACCAGTGTCCACGTCTGCACCCCGTCCGGCTTGACGTACACGTGGGTGCCCCGAAACGACACGAGTGACATGGGCACGGCCAACGACTGCTGCGGCGCCAACGTGCAATGGTACGGCGGACGGGGTATGATGCCGCCGGTGGGGAAGATCAGCTGGACGTGCAACGGTGTCGCAGTTTTGTTGTCGAGGAGCCACGTGCTTTGGACAACGATCAGTTTGCATCCGTGCTGGACACTGATGTCGACCACACAGTCGACCGCGGACGACCCCACGACGGCCACAGACGATAGACGGTACACCCGCCTGCCCAGTTCCGACGTCGGAATCTCCAGTTGCTTGTATTCTGGGAACCGGAGGTGCAATGTCGTGGACGGTTGGAGCGGCAGGTCGAGGCCAGGACCCATCTCTTGCGGACCCGACGCTGTCCACACCCTACGCAACAACTGGTTCACATTGTTCAAGGGAAATATAGTTCGTCGTACTGAAAGGTCACACCGGTGTCGTTCTTGAGCACACACGACGCCAGTTCCTTTTCCAGCGTCATGCGCGTCAACAGCCGCATCGTGTCCAGCAGCGCGTGCGTGCAATTGAGTTTGACTTCGTCGACACTTTTCACTTCAATCTGCAGCGGCGTCGCACCCACCACTTGCCACCATTTCAAGTGCACAGTCATGGGCTCCACGGCCGGTTCCATGCTCAGCAGCCGATTGTTTAGGTACGTCGCATGGACATGCCATTTCCACGTCAACGAGCGCACGTGGGGTGTGTGAATCCACTCGAATTCATTCGGTTCAATGTCGAGGCAAAGCAGCGACGACGCTGCGGCGTGCCCCTCGACGCTCACTTGGATTGAAGGGAGGTCGATGCACACATGGCGCCACACGTGTACTGCGGATATAACATGGCCAGCGCCGCCGCCGTGCAAGTCGGAGTGCTTTCGGTCCTCCTCGGACAACTGGTGCAGCAACGAATACTGCAGACGGTCACTATTGTTGAGGGGGATTCCTTCTCCCGATGAGCTGGGGGGAAACACGTCGGCCTGTCGCAGCTGTCGTTTTAGGTCGTCCACGAGCGTCGTGAGCGTGGAAATCGAGTCTGAGATCGCATGCATGTCTTGCAAATGGACGCTCACAGAGACGGGGCTGCACTGGACGGACGTGTACAAGAGCGTGTCGGGCTCGTGGGTGTGGTACGGACGAAGGTTGTGTTGGAGGGCCGCATCGATGGGGAAGTGCGGTTGGTGGCGAAGGGTAATCTCCAACGGATGTAGGAGATTATTCGACCCGCCGCCGCCGTGGGGGGACGTAGTGTTCTTGACGAGCACATGCTGCAGCCGCACAAACAGCTGCGACGGGTCTTGCTTGAGTGCCAACTGCCCCGCCAGGACAAGCGACCCCAACTTGATCTGCACCAGTTTGCACGCCACTTCAAACTGCCACGACGTCGTCGGCACTGCCACCGATGGCGGGGCGTTGAGCACGTGGATGCTGGACGCGATGCTGTTGCTGCGACCCCGCTCCGTCCACTGGTACTCGGACTCTGTGTCGTCGTACACTGACGACGCCAATTCCGACGTGGCTGTTTGGTTTTGATGCCGGGTCAGCGTATGCTCGACATGCGACACGGTTTCGACCCCCACCACGACCACCCGTTCGATAAAGTCTGGGGCCACAACCAATTGGATCGCTTGGGCGTCGCACGACCACGAGTGGCTGTGTTTTGCGGTGTGGTGGCGGTATTGAAACGTGCAGCCTGGACTTACGATCGAGTGTTGGAGCTCCAGTTGGGCAATCGTCACGTCCACAGACGTAAGGTGGTGCGGGTCGTGCTTGGCAGTAGCTTGGATGCCGTGCACAGTGAACGTGGCCACGGGCGTCGTGTCGTGGGGAAGGAGCGCAAACATATCCAAGATCAACCCCCAGTGAGACGAGTGCGGGGCCTGATCATCATCGTCGTCGCCGTCGGCTTGCACGAGATTGTCGCCTGTCGTCCGCACGGTAAACAGGGAGACCCCGACGGCATCGCAAGTCACCGCCGCGTGCCAGGCCGCCTCCGATGTCGTGGTAAACTGGTGACGATGGGATGAGGATGCGACGACGGGGGTGTGATTGTATAGAGCTAATGGCATGAATCCTTGGAAATACAGTTCCACGAGCATCGCTGCGTGCACTTCACTGAGCTGAAAATGCAAGTCCGACACGTGCAGTCGCACATGCCGAGGGTGGTCCAGTGCAAAGTGCACATGCAGTGGCCGAATAAACTCAAAATCGTCGTGGAGCGACCGCAGCACCAACTTGTTTGTTTCCACACTGGTCTATATCCACCAAAGAATGCAATAATAAAGATATAAAACGATATGAATCCCCTCCTCTCTATATATCGAGACCAGAAACTTAAGTACCTTGAGCGGACTCCACGACGCCCGGATACGTCCGAGCTGCAGCACAACGCCGTGGGTGAGCTCCAACGATGCATGTTTGGCCGATTTGTGCAGTGGAATCACCAAGAACGGGTCATGCATGTCGACATCCAGAGTCCACTTGATCGTTGATGACGGCACATCGAGGGCCGCGGGGCGTGGAGGATCATTATGAACGGGCACGTCGTCAAACGTCAAGGCGGGGGAGAAGAACACGTCTCGAGCGGGGCCACGGGTGTGCTGCATATTTGGATTCCGCACGTGGTAATTCGCACCCAAGTGCTGCGACAGGGCAAATGGTTGCATAGGACGAAGCGACTGCGTCGGGTGACGAAGTAGGTCCATGAGCGGCCCTTCGCACACGTAATGCAACAGCTTGAGCAAGAACCTCGTAGACAAGACACACCGAACTTGCTCGACGTGGAGGTGGACATGTCCTTGGTCAGTGGTTTGGGTTAATGTTGCCGTAGCGAGGGAAGGAACCGCACTGTCTTGGGACGCAGCCAGCCCAACCACTTCTTGAAACAAGAACCGCTTGTCTTTTCGCTTCATGTGAAGTTGGTCAGACGACACGAGATCGATCACTTGGATGTTTCCCACGCGTCCTATACGCACACAAGGTTTATATATATATTGTGCTTTCGAGTGAAATTTCGTGTTGTGGCGTGGTTTCTCGTTGGAATTTAAATCGATTTGATTGGCTACCTCAGATGAGCTCAAAATTATTAGCCAATCAAAACCTTCTAAAAGAAATTCAACCAATCAGATCGATTGTGGATCGGTTTGGTCGGCGCGATTCGATTGCACCCCCTCCCCAAATTTGTATCAAATCGACAATATGTATGTATATATATATATATGTTGTATATAATGTCAAGTCGATTCGAAACTGGAGCAAGGTGTGCTGAATCGATCGAGCAGCACCAAATCGGCAGACATAATCGATCGACCAATCAAAACAGAAACATGAATCAACTAGCCAATCCAATCCTCGCTTCAACCATTCCACATCGAATTAGTGTATGACTGAGGGCGACACTTTTTACACACAAAAATCAGTAAGCAATCGAGCGATAGATTTGGTAACTCAGCCGAAAAATCCACATTTTGGCTGAAAGCAATATATATATATATATATACCGCCGTCATTGACAACGTAAAACAAGGTAAGTCAAACCAACCTGTGGCAGCTACAGATCCTTGGGCCAGTGTCACATCCAGACGGGCATCCAGCAGCGCCATGGACATCAACGGATCGTCCATGTGGTTGCTAAAGCAAATCGAGAGCGACCGCATGTGCACTTTGACGTTGTACACGTTTTCCGACACGGCAGTTTGCTCGTCTTGTTTGGCTTGATGGAGCAGCGCATGTCTTGCCTTTTCCAAATCCAGTCGGACAGATTCCGTCAGACTCATGGGCGGACCGCCGCCGTCGTGGGGACTCGACATGTCATCGTTCAAACTCAACGGCGGTATGAACGCTCCATCCTTGGGGTCCTCGATCGCCGTCGGGTGGACCAACGGGAGGACAAACGCCGCCAACGCTGCGATCCGGGATTGGTCGAATTGAACGTGCAAATGGCCAAACGTCACGTCCAGCTCGGTCGGGTCGTGCATTTCGCTCGTGAGGTTGATGTCCAGCAGGTCATCCGCAGACTCGACGGACGACGTCGGCGGCAACCGATGGGCCACCTTTTGCCGCCGCCCGCGCCGTCGCGCCGTCTTGGGTAGTAGCGACGTGTACGGCAACACTGGCTGCGTAGTTAACGAGAACAACACGTGGTGCATCGGGACAAAGTTGTCGGCATGATCGTCGACGGCGAGCGACCCCAAGCGAAGGCGCAGCGCTGTCGATAGTGTACGCTTGGCGAATCGCAGCTTGATGCCTTCCAGCACACACGTGACCCGTCCGGCGGCCGCGTCCTCGTCGGCCTTTTGAAAGTGCACTTGGACGATGGGAATCGTCACTGTGCACACGCATACCCGTCGGTCGAGTACTTTTTTGAGCCCTCGGACCGGGGCGGCCGTCGTGGGTGGATGGGGTCGGTCGGTTGTTGGCACCACGGCGGGGGGGGGAGGAGGAGGCACGACCACGAGTGGAATCACGGACGGGTCGGTCACGATGATGGAGCTGTGCGACGAAAGCAACCCCCCCGAGGGAAGCGACATGCTACGGCCGTCGTCCATGGCGGTGCCTTGTCCGTCGTTATCTCCGTATTCGACACTGAACCACGTGTCATCACTCATGACACTTTGTGTCTCGACTTCGCCCGTGGGGTTGCAAGCATCCCAAGGAGGCGGCGACGACGGGGGAAACCGCGGGGTGAGCAGGGCCGACGACGGACCCGTCGAGGCGGCACGAGTCGGGTCTTGGTGCTTGAATCGAGCGAGCACATTGGTCAAATGGCGATACTGCCCCATGGACACGTGCAGCGTGAGCGCCGGGAGGTCGACATGTAAGTAGAGCTGGTACAGCGTCGCATCTAGTGGCAGCACCGACTTTCGCATGGTGAAGTTGATGTGGAACGGGTCCACCAAACTGAACGGCGTCGTCGAGTGCATCAACAGTTCGGGCGAGTACGGCACCGACGGAGGCAGCAGCATCACGTTCAAATTGGTCATGGCGCACGTAAACTTGTCATAGAATTCCTCTTTCCACCGTGTCGCACCTGCCCAAGATGCTTAGTGTCAATTCGAATCGAATTGTGCTCAATGAACCACATCTCAGACAATATCGACCGATCAATCAAAACCCAGAACACTATTTTTCAAATGGCCAAAATCATACTCCTGCAACCTTCAAATAGTGTGATACATTTCACATCAAAAAATTGTATTCTGTATATTGTCGATTTGATACAAATATGGGGAGGGGGTGCAATCGAATAATCGCGCCGACCAAACCGAACCACAATCGATCTGATTGGTTGAATTTCATTGAGAAATGGGTTTTGATTGGCTAATAATTTTGAGCTCATCTGAGGTAGCCACTACACGAAATTTCACTCGAAAACACAATAACAAATCGACCGACGGATGTCATCACCATCCCAATTTAAACGCAAAAGAACCCAACCTCCTAAAGTAGTTGTACAAACCTTCGCCGGATTCTGCTTCGTCGGTCAATTGTTTGGAAAAGTTGGTGCTGTTGGTCATCATGACCGATGCCGCCGCCCGTTGGTGATGGCCACTCCCCACGGTGGTCGTGCTGATGCTCGTGATGTCGACGTTCAAGTTGCTTAATCGCTCCGTGCGGAAATGCACATGACCCAAGTCCAAAATGAGGCGGGCTCCTTGTAGCATTTCTCCGTCGGACGATGGCAAGATGATCACTGGCGCCTTGAATGAATCGAATATACACACACATGTCATGGAGTATGAAATGGATTTTGAGTGCTTTCATCACTTTTGGCAGGTTATTCGGCCATAGAAAGACATGTGTGTCGTTCACTAACCTGGATGCGCACGTCGACGACAATTGGAATGCGATGGGCCATCGCGTACTCGACCTTGGCTTCGGTTCGCGCCTTGACGTTGACAAACTCATTGAGCGCTTGCATTTCCATTTCGGCCCACAACCCCAAAGCCTCGGGGGCGGTCGAAAACGTGCTCAAGTGCGCCCAGCAGATGGCCGTGGGCGAGTAAATGACCTCCAGGGGCTCCATGAACAGCTTGAGCGTTTGCTGGTGCTGGCCGTTCTCGTACGAGAGCCGAAACACGGGCGCGACCATCGTGATCTCGACATTTAAATTGGACACGGGCACGCGCCGTTTGAGAATGCAGTACCCGTCCATACTCTCGTCATACAGCTCCACCGTCTGCAAACTCACTTCCATATTCATGTTCTCCCCCGATCTCTGGACAATATCCGTGTGCACCTTTCAACAGAATATCAGCGCCGGTAGATATATCCTGAAGTATATATATATATATTGTCAAGATATTCGATTCGAAATTGGAGAGTGGGATGCTCACAATCGAATGAGCAGAAAAACCAAATCGGCAGACAATCGATATACGACCAATCAAAACCCAGATCAATAATCAAGTAGCCAATCAAATTCACTCTTCGACCATTTCAACACTGAATTAGTACGTGACTGAAATTAGTGTGACACTGGCCGATCTTTACAAAAGTCAGTACAAAGTATAGATCGATTGATTTGGCAAAGAATCAGCACAAAAGTCCAAATTTTGGGTAAAAGGGTAATATATTGTGATGTACCTGGGCGAACAATGCCATGAAAAACGTCTGCGGGTTGTACCGTCGAGTGTATTGGCTGGATGTCCGGAGGTACTTTGTGTCAGGGTCATTGAGCAGAGCAATGGATCCTTGGTTCAGCTGGATCGAGATCACCGAAAACTCTGTCGACGATGTCGAAGGAACCGATTTCTCCGTCGGGTCATACCTGCCAGAAATATGTAAACATTATTATCCATATAACGAACTAATAACATGCCCATTTTTGCCCAATTAATAATATATATCAAAAGGTTTTCAAAGTCATTCAAACAATTTGGTTGTCACCTATTTTGACTGTCTGGATGAAAAAATAGATTTGGAAACAAACTCAGGTACGTCTTTTCTATTTTGGACAAAAACACGCGATATTGGACATTTGGCAAAATATCAAATTCTCCACATTTTGGACCCAGACAGAGAATTTTTGACTTTATGCCGATTGTAAGAAATTGTCAAAATATCGAAGATTTTGGTCAGATTTTCACCCTAAGTAAACAAATATATCCAAAAATTCAATCAAGTTCAACGCATACATGTCAAAAGTTCTCGCTATTTGGTTCGACACATACCCTAGAATGCGATACAGTTCTTGTCGTTCGAGTTCTTGGCCAGACTCTTGAGCTTCTTTCACAGACGAGTAGTCCAATCCGGTCCACTTGACCAGGTTCCACAATGAATACGAGGACGACACGGCCGCCGCCGCCGTCGTCGTCGTCGTCGTACTTGCTGCATGATGTTGCTTCAACTCGACGTCCGCCAAGTACCGAAACAGCAACACATCTTCGACACTGCGTCTCGATTCGATGGCGTCCACTTGCAACTGCAGCGCGACGGCTTGTGCATCGCCTAGGAAATGCTCGGGCATGGCCGCGAGCTGCAGCCGCTGCCAGAGCGCCACGTACTGGAGCCGATCGTCGCGCCGGTCCTTCATGTACCCCCACGACCACCCCGTGCGCTTGTTGGCGACGTCGCTTTGGATGCATTGGATGGCGTAGAGCCACCACGCCCGCGGGGCTTCAAATACAGACACGAGCGGGCGAAAGCGGTGGTACTTGTCGTACATTTGCGCTTGGTGGGGGGTTTTCAGGGCCGAGAGGAGGAACAGCAGGTCGCAGTACTGCGATTCTTCTAGCTGAAGGGCCACTTCGTCGATCAGCACTTGTAGTTCGAGCGTAGGCACGGTCGGGTAGTGGCTGTCGTGGGCGGCCGTAGGATCTCGCTTCGTCTTGAGGTGGGCGGACGCGTTCACGGGCTTGAGGATGAAATGATGCTTGTCTGGAAAGTCGCTTCGAGGTGTGAGTTGCTGGGGCCGCGCCACATCCAGACGCATGGGAATCGTGCGAGAGAATGCATCCGTGAACTGCTCGAGGGAGCAGGAAGTGCCGTCGAAGAACGGGTCGCCGTGCAGCGCGCAGTCGGGGTTGAGGTACATGCTCAAGTGGTTCAGTTCAAACGACTTGTAAATCATCGGCTCTTTCGAAGACGTCGAGTCGACGTACGTGGGCTGCCAGTTGGAGTTGGTCGACTGCGCATGCAGCGATTCCATCTACAACTTGAACGTGTCGAGAAAGAACATGCATGGTGAGGTCGCGTTTACCGTGAGTCCAAATGTAAACGGATGGTCCCCGCTCGTGGCGTCCTGGAATCGAATGTGGATGCGACGGATGTGGAATTCCAAGTTGTCCAAAATCTTGGTTCGCAAACGAAGGAGAAAACTGTCGTCGACGGACCCGCCGCCTTGGTCGGTCTCGAGTTTCTGCATGTACAGCTCTTCGATCAGCTTCTTCTTGAGGATCTGTTCCATTTCTGCAGTCGGCGGCACCACGTCCTCGCGATTCACGTTGCGCAACAAGATGTACACATCGTCGATTGTCACCAGCACCGAGTCGTACACGAGACGATTCCAGGGGATTTTGATCGTGACCTGCCCCAGCACGCCGCGCACGACCGCAACTCCCAAGGTGGGATAGATCTTGCGCTGCAGTTCCAAGTGCTGGAGGACAACATAACCGCTCCACACGCCGACGTTTACCTTGTCATGCCGAAAGCAACTGGGCTCGACGTAGTTGCCCAGTAGCTGCGTGAGCAGTCCGGTCACCTGCCGCTCAAACATGTTGCAAAGTCGATGCGATGAACACTTGAATTTCATTAAAGTGCGTGCCGGTTAAATTCGATTCAAACTACCTTACGAAAACAGGTAACCCAGCTAAGTTCGATTTCCAGAAAGGCTGACATTACAGTATTTGACGTATGCCGTTTCACCATGGATGTCGAATGTCCTCTGCTACTTCTCACTCATGTACCGATTGCTGTTATCCTCCAAGTACATAGTAGTTCTTGACAGCCGCGCCGCTTCCATGCAGTAGCACAAAGCAGCAGCCCTGTCTTGGATGCGTGGTCATCGCTCACGTGTTGGTTACCTGTAGTCGCTGCTGAGAAAATTATCCTACACACAACTCGTTTGAACCGAGCCCGCGCTCAACCATTCGTTCATGAGGCCATACATGTCGTGAACAGACTGATCCAGGTGCTAGCGTAGCGTCGACTTACTTTATGCGGCTGGAGCATCGTCACGCGTTCCTGTGGTTGGTTGCTAAGGCTGTCGGTAACAGTAGCGCGAAATGCAGCTCGGTGATTGGTGGATGGGAACAATAAGGTTTGCATACTGCCGTGTGATTGGTCCGTTGGATGTGATTGGTGGACACCTCGAATACAGAATCAACAACTCCATACATATCGTTGAGCCAGTCGCCATCATCATGGACCTCCCTGCCGCCTCCAAGTTTGGACAAAAGCTCGCGCATACAGGTTCAGTTGACGGTGACGAGATGGATGGCTCACGAGGATCTCTCTTGCGTAGACAAGCATGTGCGTGACAAGGCCGTGAAAAGCTTGACGCAGTACCTTGTGAAGAAGAAGGAATGGTCGGATTTGGACTTGGACAAGATCTGGAAGGCGCTGTTCTACTGTGTGTCCATGACCCCCCTATAATACCGTCGTCTCATGACCTTTCTAGGCATGTGGATGAGTGACAAACCCAAGATCCAGAACGAACTCGCCGAGAACTTGTCGCAATTGATGCATGCGTTCCCAGACTCGTCGTTGAAGATGCGCTTCCTCCACAGTTTTTTCAAGACGATTCACCGTGAATGGCACGGCATTGACGGCCTTCGTCTGGACAAGTTTTACTCGCTCATTCGTAAGATTCTGTACCAGAGCTTCCAGGTAACTACCAAAATGCTCCTTCCCGTGTGTCTAACCACGTCGCAGTTCCTTCAATCGGAATGGGACCAAGCCCAAGTGTTTTCCACCCACATGTCCAGCGAAATCCTCAGCAAACTGCCCAACGGCCTCCGCTTGCACTTGTGCGACGTGTACGTCCAAGAGCTGTTCAAGTCGATTGGCGCGACCGTGCCATCTGAAAACCTTGTCATGTTGCTCGAGCCGTTCTTCACGCTCATCAGCACCGAAACCGACAGAATCGTGACCAAACGTGTCAACGACATGGTGTTCCAGTACGTCCAACTATAATGCAAAAAGGACTCAGTACGTGGTGGGTGGTAGGGTCCTCCTGACCGAGTTCCAGTTTCAAGACACGTTGAAGGAAGTCGACGCCGTCGCGACGACCGATTCGGAAGACAACGAGGACGACAACGACCCCGCTGCACAGGCCAAGGTGTTTGGCGCTGCGAAGTTGGCCGAGGTGCAGCATCGTATCTTCGACTTGGCTGCTGCTGCGTAAGACTTATGACATATGTGTACATAGGATACTGTGTTATTGTCCGTGATTCTGCCCAAATTTGAATATCATATGTGGTTGGCCAAATCAATCATCGATCAATTGTTTTGTACTGGCTGTTGTATGTAAAACGTGTGACTGTCTGTGCCTTCACACTATTTGTAAAGTCATTTACACATTAAGAATCGACGGTGTATTTGATTGGTCGGCTTGATTCGTGTTGGGGGTTTTGATTGGTCGATCGATTGTCTGTCGATTTAGGTTGTTCTCATTGTATTGTGCTTTCGAGTGAAATTTCGTGTTGTGGCGTGGTTTCTCGTTGAAATTTAAATCGATTTGATTGGCTACCTCAGAAAAATTATTAGCCAATCAAAACCCATTTCTCAATGAAATTCAACCCATCAGATCGATTGTGGATCGGTTTGGTCGGCGCGATTCGATTGCACCCCTCCCCAAATTTGTGTCAAATCGACAATATTCAAATGATCAATATGTTGTTTGGCTTGTAGCGAGACTCAAGACCGCAACCGCAATATTTTGTACAGTATTTATTCGGCGTTGTATGCTGCGACCAAGGTGGACTCGGCCAAGAAGGACCGCAAGCGTCTTGCCTCGACTGAAGCTGATGGCGAAGGAGCGTCGTCCTCGTCGTCAAAGAAGAAGAAGCGACGGAAGAACAAGGGCACGGCAGCAGCCGATGTTGCCGACCCGATGGTGGCTTCCCCCCAAAAGGAGGTGAAAGAGGACGCGTCCCCAACGAAATCCCCCCAAAAGTCCCAAAAGCCCCAAAAGAAGCATGACCCGTCCCCTCAAAAACCAATCAAAGCGGTCGAACCCCCCTCAAAAGACGAACAGGTGCCCAAAAAAGAGGAAATTTCCCTCCAAAAGGGTGCACGCAAAGGGCACCTTCCCACCGAGACGAAGAAGGCAACGACGAAAAACGTAACTGCTGACGTGGCCCCCAAGAAGGGCGGCAAGGCCCCGACGACCCAGAAGGAACAGGCTGCTGCGTACCCTCGATGCACGAGCTGCGGTGGCTTTGGCAAGGGACTTGTCCCTGTGAACAAGAGCATGTGCGGCCACTGCGAGCGCCGCTCCAAGCAAGAAGCCAAGGCCAAGGCCGTGACGGACAAGAAGCGAAAGGCCTCCTCTGTCGTGGCGGAAACCGCCGACGTGGACGCGTCCAAGAAGGTTCGATTTGGCACGAACAAGGCGCTGCCGTACGAGCTATCGATGAAGCGCATGAAGAAGTCGGTGGAGAAGGAACTGGTCAAGCCGGCGACGGGCAAGGGCGTGCTCAAGGTCAAGGAGATTGTCGCCACGGCCACAAGCAACGTCAAGAAGAACACGACGCTGAACGTGAAACGAGCGCGCGCGGCGGATTTTTTCTAAGTGTGCCATGATAATATACGACTACAAACAACGTGTGGGTGGGTGTCTTATGGGTTAATGCTGGCGGGCCGATCGGGGTGGTTCTGGCCAAACGGGTCCTTGTCCATGTCCACAGACCAACTCTGCGCGTTCGGGTCCAATGCCACATACTGGTTGAGCTGTTGAATGCCCTTGATCGCAATGTTGATCTTCTCCTTGATCTTGGCGGGGTCTGTGAGGGCCTTGTTCTCGTGGAACTCGAGCTTGATGTCTTGGACTAGCTGCTTTTGCTTGATGCTGGGAAACTTATTGGCAAGCTGCAGCACGCGGCGATAGATCTGCGGCACGGTCGGCGACGATGACATGACCAGTGACCGGATTTTGAAAAACTGTGATGATAAACTGTAAAACCAAGACGTCCGGATACGGTGCGAAATTATCCGAAACGGTTGTGTGGAAGCCGCCAATGAAATCGCTGGCGATTCAAACTTCGACCAATCAAAACCGTTGAATGTCGATCTATTTGAATTCAACAATTTTTCTGCAAAAGGTCACATTTTCGAATTCCGTCAGTCCGTGAGAGATGGGCCCGGCGCCGTCATCGCTGCGTGTCCACGGAGAATTCCGCAAGTACATCCGTCAATGGAACATATTGGACGTCATGGTGGCCCGCATGAAGTACAAGCTGCTCACGCTGCGGTATTGCATCAACATGGAGCAGCTCTCGAGAATCCTGGGACGGCAATTGCCCGACCCTCTTGTCGCGCTGATCTTTAAAGTGTTTGCACCGAAAAGCATTCGCGTGTCGCCAGCAGTTCCTGTCGTTGATGCCTTGGAGGTCTTTGTCGGTCTCATCTTGGTCTGTCAAGCAACGTTACCTCAAAGAATTGCCTGTATGTATCGCGGAATCCGTCGTTCCACGCAACTGACACCTTCAAGCATAGTCATGTTTGATCTCGCCGACGTTCAAGGAAAAGGCCAACTGAGCAGCAGTGAATTGTCTATACGTACGTGACCATTCAATACACACGACTCGTTGCGTCTGTCAACTCATCATGTCAATCTACCCCAGTTCTCGGTGGCGTTGCCCGCAGCATCGTCAAGATGACGTCGCCACCGGTAGTAGTACTACTCCATGCACTTCTTGACAATTCAACCCAAACAACTTTGCATTCGTGATGATTTAGTTTGCCGTGAATATGCCAGACACGGCGCAACAGATTGCCATATCGAGCATCTCCACTCAAGCCAAGCGTGTGGATGGCATTGACAAAGCATCGTTTTGCACGTGGGCGTTGAACAACATGCTCTTGTCTTCGTATCTCCGCGCCTGCACGGGGCAAGGTGCGGCGCGCCCTGGGTCCGTTCCTCTCGTCGAACTTCTCATTTTCGACTAGACCTGCCGCGCATGTACATTGGACTTGAGAAGACCAACACCTTTCTCGGGTACGTCGAGTTTGATTCGTTGCCGCAGATGAAGGCGACGTCGGTGGACGGATTGCGCAAGCTGGCGGCGGCGCAGCTGTCCGTGGTACTACCCCCAGAATTCGCCTTCCTGTCTCACGGTACAACAAGACCTGCCCCACGGCCCATGGCTTTCACCACCATCCATTCATTCGTCGTGTCGTAGGTCGACGCGTGGCCAAATTCAACGAACCCAACGTCAAAGCGTGGAGTTTGATCCCATTTGCCCTTCTCGGCACACCTGGCATGCATCTCGACGACCCATCGTATCGTGGCAAAGCAACGCCCGACGTACCCCACCCAAACGACCGCCCCGCTCAGATGTTTCAGTTTCGCCATCACGACCACATTGTCGAATCGTACTCGGTGCATGTCCAAACCATCCAGCCCGTGAGTAAACACCACCACTTCCGGTACAGACGCCTCGTGGCCATGTACAGAAAAAAATAAAATATGTGACGACGTTCTTGTAGGCTGCGACGATGTTGCGTGTACTGGCGCCCGAGTCAGTATTGGTGTGGCGACTGGTTACTCGACCAATCTCGCCTTGCGTCGACGTCGCGCGCTCGACTTTGCCATCGATTGAAAAAGCAACTGCGATTACCTATGCGTGGAATGGTGGTCAAGGACGTACATGGACGCATCGTGTCCAACAACCCACGGCTATCGCATGTTCAGTCCAAGCTGCGTCTCTTGGCGCTGGAAACCCAGCTGGCGTCCGCCGCTGCCCCTTCGGCCGATGTGCAGGGCTCGGCGATGATTGTCGATCTGCTGGAAGATCAAGACTCTAACCACCAGAACATACCAACATCCGGCCGCCATCGTTCACGACTCGTGAAAAGCAAGGTGAAGCACACTAAGGCAAAGTGGCACGTCGTGGATGGCCACGCGACGCTGCCCAATGCGTGGTCCAGTACAACCACAACCCTGGCATTGGAAAGCGACCAGGTGCAGAGTTTCCCCGTGGTGTGGATTCGGTCCCTGGCCGAGACATCGTCGCCGCTGGACGACATGGACATCTCGCACAAGAACGCGACGGATTTACTGCACGCGATCGTCCAAACGCTGGCGGACAAACGAGCGATCAACGTGCCCGATGTGCTCGGTCGCACGATGCTGCATCATGCCGCCGTGTACGGCCACTACCGCCTTCTGGACGTCCTCCTCGCCGAGCACGCGCTCGTGAATGTCGGCGACGCACAGCGCAACACCCCCCTCCACGTCGCAGCGAGTCGCTGTCGATTGAAAGAAGTCAGCGCGTTGCTCACGAACGGCGCGTCCACGACAGCATTGAATGTCCACCACCAACTGCCTCTGCTCTTGGCGTTGTATGCCGCCCACCGCCAGCGCCACAAGGTCAAGTCCAACGATGTGCTCACCAAGTACACTGTGATTGAGCAGGTGGTGGATCTGCTGTGGGATCGCACGCCAGCGCAATGGTGGCATGTCCCGGATGCATACGGCGTGACCATGTTTGATCTGGAGCAGTCGATTTTCGGCGACATATTCCAAGCCGCCCGCGCGGTACCGTTCGATTTCGACCACATCTAACATGTTGTTTGTGTTGATGGTGTATGTAGGGTCTTGTGCCGCGGATCCAACACTTGATCGAGTCGAGAAAAGTGTCAGACATCAACACTCCCATGTCGGTGCTGCAGCGAACGGCGCTGCATGAAGCGTGTGAGCGGGGCCGGTACAACGCATGCGACTACTTGATTCGCCATGGCGCCGATGTGTTTGCCACAGACCTGCGTGGGTCCACGCCACTCCACGTGGCCGCTCGCCGTGGATTTGACAAAATCGTCGAGCTGGTCGTGCATCAGTACCCGAAATCCACGCTCTTGCAAGACATCAACGGCAAAACAGCACTTCATTTGGCCATCGAAGCATCCAAGTCAAGTGTGGCGTTGTACCTGATCCATCGCATGTCCAACGTACATCCTCAATCCTATGTGGTTTCTTTGAAGGATCATGATATGAAACAAATGGTAGGTGCACATCCAAGACGCCTTTGGGTACACCCCGCTGCATGTGGCTTGTTTGATGGGCAAGCAGGACGTGGCCTCGGCGCTCTTGGCCGCGGGGGCCAGTCCAGCCACGAATCGACTGTTGATACCTACACTCCCCACGGACGCCCCCAAGAACCGGTTGAAGTCGCCCCACTTGCTCGGGTTGTATTGGAAACGCCACATGGGCACAACCATCATGATTGAGCACAGTGCCGAATGTTTGCTTCGAGGGTGGGCCGTCCAGTTGTTTACGCCCCACTCGGCAGCGTACTTTGAACTGTTCAAGCTGTTGCTGCACACACCCGGAGGATGGTCGGTCTTGTCCACCGACTGCCAGAACCAGCCCATGGCGCATCACCTCGTGGCGCGGCTCGCAGACAACTCCAGTGTGGTTGTGCAATGCCTGGATGAACTCGCGAAAGCGCAACTGCTGTCGATCAACAACTTGGACCCCCAAGGCAACACCCTCCTCCTCCAAGAATGCAAACGAGTATGTCGAACGAATCACCAGTCGCTCGCGGTAGTTCGATGCCTGCTTCACTACGGCGCCAACCAGAACTTGCCCAACAACGCCCGCGAGTCCCCGCTACTGTGTGCCGCCTTTTATGGCCATGACGCGCTGCTGGAGCTGCTGCTGGACACGGTTCCGCCAGACTTTGCCTCGAAAAGTGCACAGGTCGCCAACTCGCCCCTCCACTTGGCGTGCCTTGGGGGCCACCTCACGACAATTCAAATTCTGCTCGCGAGTGGAGCGGTGCTGAATGCCTGTGCTGAAGAATCTCCACTCTGTTATGGGATTCGATCTGGCAAACCCGACGTGGTGCAGCTTTTACTCCACCGTGGCGCAGACGTCAACGTGTGGTGCCCGCTGTCACGTTCCGTTGGCATGTTTGGCCACCAAAGTCGACTGCGTGAACCGATGGACATGGGGTCCCCGTTGACATTGCTGTTGCATCTCGTGTCCACTCGAGTGTTTCAATCTCCAACGTACGACATGCCACCGACCCAGCCGGAACTCCTCGCCGAAAACCAGCACATGTACTTGTCCAAGGAAGAATTTGCCCACCGGTAGCTAATGATACCTACTACTACTAGTACTCTTGTTGTCAAGTTTTCACACGTGTATAGGGAAATATGGCGAACTTGGCAAACCATCGGCAACATGCTGGGCACGAAACTGCAGGACGTGGACGCAGCCGTCAAAGTGCATGTGTATGCTTCAGACATTGCCAAAGCGTGCGAATTGGGGTTTTGGGCACTTGCGAGTCAACTCTTGGCCGCGCGACATATTCCTTTTCCCCGTACACTGTCACATTTTCATCTACGATTCAACACTAGTGAGTCGTAACAACCATGTAGGCGTATGCGACGACGTCGACGTCAAAGAAGCCATCCACTACGCCGCCGCCGCCGGCCAGACCGCGATCGTCTCCGCCCTCATCGCAAGCGGAGTCAACCCGAACGTCAAAGTCAAGCATGTGACAAGGCCGCTGGGAATAGCCCGCCGTGTGCAGCCAGCCAAGTTTGCAGTTGGGCCCTTGTATTTCGCATACTCCCGGGGCCAGTTGGTCACCGCCGCCAAGTTGCACTTGCTGGGCAGCTCGGTTGAGAGTCTGCCGAGATTGCGCCGTGCGATCGTGCTTGACGGGGGTCTCAATGGCTGGATGAAGCTGCAATACGTGGTCGGGAGACGCCTTGACAGCCAGCAGTTCAGCCAACACGTCAGCATGGTGCGGCAGCTGGAATTCGCCACGCGTGTGCAGTGGACGCTGGTGCACGTGGCGTGTCAGCGGGGCTCCCTGGACCTGCTGCAATTGTACGTCAAAGCTGGCATGTCACTTCACGACATCACGCCCAACCACGGCCATACGCCGTTGACGCTGGCCATCCAGTACGAGCACTTGACGTTGGCGCAGTGGATTTGCAACAACCATGCCGCCGCAGTGCAAGTCAAAGCCCCTCACTTGCCCCTTGCGACAGCGTGCGGACTACCCGCTCAGTCTGACGTAAAACGTCCGCTTGTCCGTCAACTGTTGCACCAGAACCTCGTCGCAGTTTCCGACATGGGTGGGGACGGCCATACTGCTCTCGACCGTGCTGCGCTCGTTGGGGACTCTGTCGTGGTGGACCAGCTGCTTAGCGAAGCGCATGCCAAGCCCACAGTGCGCACCGTCGTCGCGGCGCTCAACGGCCACTGCGACGACGTTGTCCAGCGAATCACAACGTCGTGGCACAGCATGGAAGGAGCCACGTTTGACCACCTGTTGCGCATTTTCATCCTCGCGTCGTCGCAGAGCCAGTGGCCGTTGCTACTGCATCTGTTGACATTGTCGGATTCTGCAGTGGATCCTGTGGCCACGTGGATTCGACGGGCGGCGTCGTGTTGTTTGATTTTGCACCGAGCGGCTGCCGCCAACCAAACGAACGTGGTGAAGCGGCTGCTTGGGCAAGGCGTGCCGGCCGATTTGGTCGTGGTGGAAATACCTGGTACAAAGTCCCCTCTCTGGTACGCTTCGATCCACGGAGCCCTGAATTCGTTTTTGGCGCTGGCGTTGCACTTGCCCCATCATCAGTCGTGTCTTCCAGCGATCTTGCAACATCGAGCCCATCATACGTGGACGCTGAACTGCTTGTCGTTGCCACTGCACTCGATCGACATGACCGACGTGGTTCGAATCGGGGGCTACGAAACGTGCACGTGGCGGAACCTGTCTGGGTTTTCGTGCTACCAAGCTGAATCGACCAAACCATTGCGTATCATCCACCGCTGCATCCAGTACTGGATTGCCCATTTGCAGCACCAGCCTCTGAATCAAGACAACCAAACGCTGCTGCACTTGGCAGCGAAAGCAGGAGACATTCCAACCATTCACGCGCTGGTCCAAGCTGGAGCGGCCCTGGACGTGGTCAATAACCACATGCAATCGCCTGCGATGGTGGTCGCGCAACGCTGTGACGCCACAGGAACTAAAGTCCTAGAGTACCTGTGGCCGTTGTTGTCGGACGAACAGAAGGCGAAAACCTGCCAAGCGTGCACGCAAAGCAGCCCTATCAACCTCGCGACATTAAGCTGGTGTTTGCAAGAAACCAAGTTCTTCAAAGGCATGCACTACGCCCCAGCCATTCTGTCTGGCCAGGCTCGAGCTGTCGACCTCTTGCTTGCAGTACGCTCTTTCATGGATGGCATTTCGTTAACCTTCGTTCAATGCAAAATTGTGTAGGCGAGTATTCCCCTCGAGTTTACAGCGTGGCCAAACCTCGTGTTGGTTCTTCAATCGCGTCAAGGCAAACACTGTCAAGGCCTGATGACGTCGTTGCTGGCCGTGCTGGACGTATCCGTTTCATTGCCAGTGGTGGCCAGCATCGTGGTTGCTGCTGCCAGCTTTCATTGGTGGCACATTGTACTTCATTTGCTGCAGCTGTTTAGTATCCCACTGACAAAAGCGCTCAATCAAAATGACAGCTCCAAACGTCGTCGGTCGGTTCTCCATCTTGCCGTCATATGTGGCCAGCATCATGTCGTACAGCATCTGTTGCAGCAAGGTAGATCATACCAACAAGTACCACCTGACGCGTATTGAAATCGTATATGTATGTGTAGGATCGAAGATAACGACTGACAGCAAAGGACAAACTCCCCTGCACTTGATTGCCTGGATTGGGGACTTGGGGCTGTTCCAGGTATTCACTCGATGCGTACCGGCCGACCAACTCGTCGCTGCTCTCAATGTCAAGGATTCCACAGAGCATACTGGTAGTGTTCTACGATCGTGTTTTACTCGTATGTCTCTAACAGGTCCCATCTCAAGCGCTTCACGTGGCTGCCATTCGAGGTCATTTGGCCATCTTGGAAGCATTTCAAGCCGCCGGAGCGAGCGCTGAACTGCGCACGGCCAAGGGGTGGACGGCGGCATTGCTCGCTGCCAAATACAACCAGTTGCATATTGTCATGAAGTTTGTGTTGCAAAAAGTACGTGGTGCCTTGGTGGTGGAGCTACCTGTGTGACTATTCGTGTCGTAGCCGGCTGCCGTGTTACTGGAAACTCTGCAAGGCGAATCCATCACGGTCGTCGCTGCCAAATACGGCGCGTTTCGCGTAGTCAGTTGGCTCGTCTTGACGCTCAATATGACCCCCCCAGACATGCAAGCGCTTGTGTCGATGGATGGTCGAACACTGGTCCACTACGCCGCTTTGTACAGCCAGCTGTCGTTCTTGACCACCCATAGCTGCTTGAACCAAACCATCAACACCAAGGATTCATGTATTGCACTTCATCTCATGTTATGATGGGTGTACACTGACAGTTGTGTCTGGGATAGACGGGTGTCTGCCGCTGCACTATGCGCTCATGCAAGGTCGAGTGGAAGTGGTTCAATACCTGTGCTGGAACGGCAGCCACGTCCACGGCGCCATCCAGAGCCCGTTGTTGAGCTCCGATTCGTTTGACATTGCCATGCTCTTGGGGTGGTCGCCTCTTCCTGGCTGGTTTTCCCACCTCTTGACGTCCAACGCTGGGCAATCGGCACGACAGCCGCCCACTAGTGCGACGCGCCATTTGAATCTCCGCACGTGGCCATTTCCGTCGACGTCGCTTTTGGAGTTTGCCGCTGCCTCTGGCCTCATGACCACCGTCTCGTACGTGCTGAGCATCTTGCGGTACATGCCCATGCTGTGCGCGGGAACGTTGGAAGTCCGCCAGCGCATTTTCATGACGGCGGTGGCTCGGAATCACGTCGACGTGGTGGACATTCTGTTGACGTCCGACATTGTCCACACGATTGAAGACCCTCTCGACCACACCCAAGTGCAATCCCAGTACTTTGGGGACTTCATTGACATTGCCATTCAGCAATCCGCCCATCGCGGCCTCGAAGCCATGACGTTGTGTCTGCTGCGCCATTGGAAGGGGGTGGGGCTGACCCGTGCCCCTGCTGGGACCGACGTTGTGCCCTCGTGTTTTGACTTTGCCTTTCAGTTTGCCGTGGTGCTCCAACACGCGTGTATCTATGGCCACCTCGATTTGATCCGCTATTTGGTCGTCCGAGGGGGAGCTACCATCTTGGGCTACCGCGTGGACGAAGGCCCGGCGTTGGTGTACGCCTTTGCGTTTGGGCAGCTTGGTACGACATATATCTTGTTTGATCTGGTTGACGGATTCATCTATCTGTAGATGCAGTGCGGGTGTTGATGCAACTCGGCGCTGAAATCAGTGCGCTGGATACGTACCACGCCCCGTCCCTCAAGCGCTGGTTCGAATACAAGGGTACGTCCTTGTTTGTGTGTGGACGCTTCACCTACGTACGCGAGTAGAACCAAGTATGGTGCAAATTGAATGGCAAGTTGCCAGTCCGATTCTACGACGACGAAGACCAAGTTTCTGTGGGCCAGTCGAGCAATACGAAGTTCTGGAGCGCTTGCCCAAAGACATGCTGGAAACCATTGTGAAAGCCTCGATAGGAAGCGTATAATACTTGCCCAAGCATGCTGCCAGTAGTGAAATCGACGAGATAACGGTCCGACCTTTGAACACAGTCGAGTCTATTGATAATAAATCGTACTGCAAAGCACTTGGCTTGCATCCTGGTTTCCTATGGGGGTTCGAAGTAGTATAACGTTATCTGCGAAATGACATGTGTCACCTTTCGTTATGGTGGATTGGTAGGCACCAGTAGGTACGTATTGAGCGAGATAGTCGATCAGATGCAAAAGCACAAGCTCATTTATATTTCTTGTTGATCACAACTTTTCAGGGGCTACAAGAACCGTTGCCCGCGGGTAGCTACATTGGGGGGGCGGGGTGCCACCCCTGTCGCAACTGTCGCAACTCAGCTGCATCCCGTCGTTGGAAAAGCAAAGGTCATATTGCACCATGACTCCTCGTCAGAGCGGAGTCGCCCCTATGCCAGCGGAAGACACGATGGAAATCGCAAACGTCCGGTTTCCGTCTCTGTGCTCGGCCGACCGCTACACCGTCCAGATCACGACCACGAATGGCACGACGCCCATCCGAATTGAACTCAGCTCGACCAAGACTCAAGCGCACTGGCATGTCCCCACACATATGTCCATTATCTCTGAACAACGTGGTAGGATGTGCAACATTTGGGACTTGAGCAACCACACTCCATCCGAAGCCCTGTACGTACTTCCGACCAACGTCGTCGCCACTACCCTCAAGGTACGCGTTGCGATGATTATCTCCATCAACAGTACGATGCTATATCTACGTAGCGCGCTCTTCGCAGCTGCAGGGACTTGGATACCAACCAGGACAACGACTACACGATCGATTTGGTGCATCCTGTGAACCGATCTTCGTATTTGGTGCTCATGTTGGCCGCATTTGGAGGATTCACGGCCACGTACACGTTCGAGTTGACGCTCCTAGAGGTGCCCTCCAAAAGGCTGAGTGCCCTGTCCACGAGTGAGGTGACGGAGGCCCTTCAATCGCAAGTGCGTGCTCTCAAACAAGAGCTGCAAGTGCTGCAAAAGGACTTTCTGCAAGCCCAACAGCCGCATCGAACGAGCCCAACCACTTCCCCCCTTCCATACCTCCCTCCGTCGCCCATGCTGCATGTAGCCACGACCCTCTCGACAGCGATGGACGACCCCGTGCGATGGACCGTCCACACCAGCGTCCCCCCCGCCCTGTTTACGCTTGGCCAACATGCCACCTCTATCGTGGTGCTTAAGACTGGCCTGTACCATGTCCAAGCCCGCGCAAACAAGAACCGCCGCGTGCATCTGCATGTCCGAGCTAATGGGAGGCACATGGTAGATCCATCCCCGTGTCATTTTTTCACCAAGAAAACGTCGCTGGAGTTTGTCAGCCGCTCCACCAACCACGCCCCCGCCGAAGTGCGCATCGTGGCAGTCCACGTCTTTGACTAGATGATGCGCGTGGATGGCTTCTCCCTGGAAATCGCGATGTCGATAGGAGAGCCCCACTTGCCTACCTACATATACTCGTTATGTTTATACTACACTATATGGAAGCGTTCGCATATGGTTCGCCGACACGCCCCCTCAACCCCCCATGTAGCCACAACAACCTCAATTGTTTGCATAGTTTACATCTTGTTCATTGTTATTTAGTATCTACAGGTCCAACACAAAAGGTGCGTTCGTGACGGGGGTAATTTCGTCGCAGCAGCATCAACAGCCAGGGTGTGTGTCTGTGACGAGTTGCAAAGTCGACGGCACTGGCTTGCCAACGCTGTACAACGATAGAACTCGCCGTATCCAACACGTATGTTGCAAGTGATTTTGTGTGTGTTCACACGGTGGCCAGTTTGACATCGATGATCTCGTCGCCTTCCAAATCGTACGACTAGTAATGTCACAACCCCAAGTGTCATTGCAAACACATCACTGTGCAGTAGGTGGTCACGTACGTGAAACGGTTGGTGGGGGTGCATCGCGTCCCCATCAATGACAAACTTGACCTGCGATGCCTCCACGTGGCGCTTCCTGCTGACTTTGGCCACTAATGTCTCGACCTTGGACGCCTACAATATATGTACGTACATAAACCACAATGAGATCAATGATGATGTTGTTTTAGCATGATATCATCACCACGCAGCAGCACGCACCAAATCAATCCGGTGATTCTCAACATCGTTGTCGGCGAAGCGAAGAGTAATCGTCACGGTGTTGCTCTCATCTGGGGCCATTTCGACTGCTTCTGCTGAACTCTCTGCGACGAGGATGTCGTCTGCATCCAATAGGCAAGACTACCAGGACAAGCATCCACATCGTCACATACGGAGAAATGGGGCCCCGTGCCATGACTATAGGTAGGGGCTACCTCGATAGTAACGTCCTCTTGCAGCACTTCGCCAAACAACTTGAGCACCACAGTAGCTGGAACTAGGTTGTGCAGCGAACAAAACGACTCGAGCAGCTTCTTGACTGTCATTTCCTACAATAGCGTATTGAGAAATGGATGGACACGAGCTGTCGTCACATCGTACAGGGGCGATCGTAAACACTTGGGTTTTCTTGGACCCGACGCGCTGCACCCGCACGCGGACAGCGTTGGCGGCGGCTCGCGGCGCCTTCACTTGGTCCCAGTCCACGACCATGTCCACTTGGTCGCCGTCTGCTACTTCCTTGTCCTGCCGCCGCCATGTCATCAATCACGATCGAACGAATGTATTTGTGCTATTCAGTACTTCTGGGGTTTCGTACGGAAGAACTGGCGACCCGTCGAAGCTCATGCGGACGAGATGCGTGGGCACATTCAGTTTGGCACAAAACGCATCCAGCAGGACTTGGAAGACATCCATCTAATGGCATCGTGGGTGCGGGACACGATCAAGATGAGGACGTACGGGAGCCAAGGTGTACATGTCGGACTCGGCACTACCGGTTCGAGAGGTCCACAGGACGGCCAAGGTCAAGAAGGATGTGGCCTTCGGTGGCCGCGGGACACCTGGCTGTGGTTGTTTCTCGTCGTCGTCAGAGTCGATGGAAATGACAGCGGCGGCGGCGGCAGCAGCAGATCTACACATTGCGTTACAAGTGATGCAGAAGCCAACGAAGCAGTCTGTACCGCATCGCTAGTTCCCGAAACCGAATGGCCTCCGGATCGTTTGCCACCTGCCGCAATACCTCCAAGTCGCCGTCGTCGTCTTCTTCAGAGCTTAGGACAATGATATCTGATGACGCTGCTGCTGCTGTTGCATCGACGTCGACTACGTCGGGCACCAGCCGACGGGCCACCCGAGATGTTGCAGCTTTTGACGACTGCTGTGGTTGCTTATGATCTACCCGCCTGCGCTTGATAGGCGTCACGTTGTGTGCATCTCCTTCCTCACCACTGTCTGAATCCAGCAAGTGGGCGACAGACTTCGGCACGACGTACGTCGGCATGTACAAGGCGTCGTCGCTGTGGCTCATGGTCAAAACTCTATGATATTATGTGCGTTTTTTATACAATATACCGGACACGTTTTAGACGACTTGGCAATAATGGCGGCGTTATTAACATGATTAAACCCCACTATATGTAAAATAACGTGTACGTTTATTCGGCACAAAATTCATCAACCTCATATTCGTCGTTGAGCAATGTGTCGGAGTATGCCGCATCCACCGACGGCGTCGAGATCGGACATGGCGCCAACGCTTCCTCGTTCTCCTGCAAGATCAGGTCGATCTCTTCGCTCCCCTTGTTGACTTCTTTCGATGGAAGCGCCGTGTGCCTTGCTTTCCTGGGAGGTCGCGGGAACATACCTCCCGTTGACGACTGTGGGAATGTGCGCCCTGATGGTGCAACGAGGGGTGGGGACGGGTCAAAGCCATCGATGCAGATGCACATGCGATTCCTTGCAACAGGAGATACAATGTCCGCGTTCGCTCCGGGGACAGTCGGCGTTGGCGATGCATAGACCCGCGCTTTGTCGACTTCCCGCGTCACCGCCGCGGCCTCACGGCGCTCTTCCTGTTTCAGTTCGGCACGTGTCGGCTTGGACCACACGAGTTTGCGGTGCATGCGACTGAGATGCACGTTCTTGGCTGCGTTGTCTGCATTGTATTGGGCGTTCGTGTACGTTGGTTTCTGCGCATCGATCCGTTGGCGATGGAGCTAAGCTGGACGGTCAACACGAAGTTAACGAGACACTGCCATCGGCATGTGCCTACCGCGTTCTCCTTGGCGATGCGCTGAGCTTCGCGCTGCCGTGTCTTGGCATACCCGTGCACGAGGGTGTAGTTGTTGTGGTTGTCAATCTTAGGCAGTTGGTTTCTGTCCAGGCACGTGCCGGGTTTGAAGGACGTATTCGTTGTGGCGGAGGACGAGATCATGATGTGGGCCATCTTCTCCATGAGCAGGATATTGTCGTGGTCGATGCGTGCTTGTTGCGCTGGAAAGGAGTGGCGTTGTGACATAAGGTCACGCAAGCATGATAGTCGGACGTACCTTGCGCTTGGGTGTGCTTTTTCGCGTTGAACTGCAGGTGCGAAAACGTCCGCGGCGACGTGATGTTGCATAGCCCCTTGGGGCTCTGGAGGTTCTCGTACAGCATGTCCACTTGGTGCTTGATCTCTCGGCGGGCGCAAATGACGTTGGCCACGGGCATCACCTGGTTGCTGAACATCGGACTGTCGACCGACCGACCGATCGACCGGGGGAACGAAGTGGCCCGTACGCAACGAAGCTTGGCGCTAAATTTAGCACACCAATGAAGCACGTAATGCAAGTATCACGACGAGAATCATGTGCAGCATGCAGGTATGTGATCCAAAGCCAGGCACACGGAAACCAGCACTACAGCCGTACATGCAGCCACTGCATCAGCATGTTGATGCAGTCATGCATGACCTTCCCCTCGCATTTGATCACAATTTCAATATCCGGCGGTTTCCGGATATGGAATGTGCACTTGACAGGTTGCCATCAACGCAATGTTGACGCTTGTAGGTTCCAGGTGGAGGCCGTCGTTGATACGGCGGCATCGCGTCTTTAGCAACCACGCGGCAGAGTCGCGTTTAGCGAAATGGGAAGCGGAGAAAGCCAGGCAGGAGCAAGCTGCTGCACAGGCCGTGTCGGTGGAGCTGGTCCTTCCAACGTTGACGGCTCCATTTGCCGTCACCGCCACAACGCCATTGCATGCGATGGCACAGTACGTCCAACACACGGGGGAGAAGATATTCCCTGTGGTTGGCGCGTCCATCACGACGCGTGAGAATCCCCATCAGTCTCAAGTATGGGACCTCTCCCGCGCCCTCCCTTCCGATGCCCACCACGTCCGCTTGCATTCGTTCGACGACGACTCGATGAAGTCCCTCTTTTGGCATTCGTCAGCGCACGTGCTCGGCGCGGCACTGGAGGCCAAGTTTGGTGACGACGTACTCCTCACGGACGGCCCCGCGCAGCAAGACGGGTTCTTCTACGAAATGTACCTAGAAAAGCAGCGCACGCTGTCAGAAGCCGACTTTGCCGACATCGAATCGCACATGACGCGGTTGATCAAGCAGAAAGCGCCTTTCGAACGCATGGAAGTGACAAGAGACGTCGCCCGCGATCTGTTTGCGTACTCCAAGTTCAAATGCCAGATGCTCGATAACATCCCATCCACCGAGGCCGTGACGTTATACCGCTGCGGGACGTTTGTGGATCTCTGTCGCGGCCCGCACCTCCCTCACACCGGTAAGAACATGCACATGCCGGGCATCATGCATGTCGTCCTTGCTGGAATCACATGGCGACATGGCGCGGCGTCCAGAGTCGTGGACGCGGCGCTGTGCCTTGGCCGTTCCTACAACATTCCCGTTCTTGCGAACAACTCAAGCATCTCGCAATGATCTGATTGGGCTACACGTGGAACCACATTTTGTCACTTTGTGTAGACACAGATCCACTCTCACCTTTGATGAGAGTGATATATATATCTCACTTTTTTTCGAGAGTGATATATATCTATATTTTTGAGAGTGAACTTTAGGCATGTTGCAGTCGATTGCGCTGACGCGATGTGGGGCGTCCCACTGGACCCACGGACCGGAGCTTCTTCAGCGCATCTATGGCATTTCGTTTCCCGACAAGCCGCGCATGAAGGAGTGGAAGACGCTGCAGGACGAGGCCAAGAAGCGCGACCACCGCGTGCTGGGCAAAGCCCAAGGATTGTTTCTGTTTCACCAGTGGAGCCCCGGCAGTTCGTTCATGTTGCCCCACGGAACGCGCATTTTCAACAAGCTGAGCGACTTTATTCGACAAGAGTACCGGCGTCGAGGGTATGACGAAGTGGTGACCCCGCTCCTGTTCAAGCAGGTCCGTTCGCAATCCCTCAACCTTCGGTGTCACATATGTTCATTCGAGTAGGAGCTGTGGGAGACATCGGGCCATTTTGAAAACTACAAGGAAGACATGTACTTGGTGACCCCCGGCATGGACCATCCGCACATGCATGACCATGCAGCCCCTGCCGATACCCCTACCAACCTAAACTCGGTCGCCGAAGTGTTTGGCCTCAAGCCTATGAACTGCCCAGGGCATTGCATCATGTTTAAGGAGTCCAAGGTGTACTCGTACCGCGAACTGCCCGTCCGCTTTGCCGACTTTTCGGCCTTGCACCGGTACATACGCTTGAATTCTTCCTTTGACTGATATATATATATATATATATATATACATATATATACAGTCACGTGGAATGAACATGGGTTGTGTGTCGATATGTAGGAATGAAGCGTCGGGGGCGCTCACAGGGCTGACGCGCGTGCGTCGGTTCCATCAAGACGACGCGCACATTTTCTGTCGCCCAGATCAAGTATTGTTGATACGATATATATATATATATATATATTCCTAGTACTGTGGCAGTGGTTGGTTTGAGTCTAATTATATATGGGTTGTGTAGGTGCAAAGTGAAATTCAGTCGTGCTTGGGCTTTATCAAGCACGTGTACGGGGTGTTTGGGTTCGATTTCAAGGTACACGAGTACTACCTACTGACTAAGCCCTGTCGAAACGCAATCTAATTGAATGGCGATGGTGGTAGCTTCGCCTGTCGACGCGCCCAGCAAGTTATATGGGCGACATTGCCCTCTGGGACACGGCCGAAGCCCAACTGCAAACTGCGCTGAATTCGTTCGACATGCCGTGGTCGTTGAATGCTGGGGACGGTGCGTTTTACGGCCCCAAGATTGACATTGCCGTGTTTGATGCACTCAAGCGGGAGCATCAGTGCGGTACCATCCAACTGGTACGAAACCCCATAGTATTGCATGAATGTTTTTCATTGTTCGTTGGCATATAGGATTTCCAATTGCCCTTGCGGTTTGGTCTGAAATACGACGGCAACGACGGCAAAGAGCACACGCCGATCATCATCCATCGCGCCGTGTTGGGGTCTATCGAGCGTATGATGGCGATTTTGATTGAACACACGGGCGGCAAGTGGCCGTTGTGGCTTAACCCTCGTCAGGTATATAAGAGTGCTGATACAATAGTCGGGGACTGATGGGGAGTTAGGTGGCGGTACTGCCGGTGACGGATGACCAACTGGACTACGCCAACCAAGTGCATGCGACGTTGCACAACGACGCCAAGATGTACGTGGATGTTCTCAGCGGCGGCAAGACGCTCAACAAACGCATTCGAGAGGCTCAAGTGGCTGGCTACAACTACATTCTCGTGGTGGGACGAAACGAAGTCGAGTCGGGTCAAGTTACGGTGCGCACCCGCGACAACGTCGTGCAAGGTGCGACACCGTTGCCGACCTTTGTGGCCCATGTGCTGCAGGAAGTGGCCACCATGACATAGACGAAACAGTGTAATAACAAGTAAAGATTTGTGGTTTATGCATGCGCAGTAGTGGGCAAGTCCGCCACCACGAGCTGGTGCAGCGCCCGGTTGCCGTCCCACCCCCCAAATAGAAACAGATGCGGACCCACGACCGTACATGTGTGACCATACCGATTCGACACTGGCACCCCCGCGCCAAGTGGGGATGACCACTCCATGGCGGCACAGTCAAAGACATGGACATATTTCGACTTCGCCAAATCGGATTTGAACGACTTGACGCTGACGTCGGCCCCGCTTTGAAGGCGCTAACATAAGACACACATATAAGATGACTACAAGCACACAACCATAAACTCGAATCATGCGAAACAAAGTACAGCAAGGTCCATAGGGGGGTGGATAGGTTAGCAAAGGGGGGGTACCTGCTCACGAGCTAGCGTTTTGGCGGTTTCTTGCAGCGGTTTGTCACCCAAGAAGAGTGGACTTCGTTCTGTGCCAGACCAGCCCCCAAGCACGTACAGCTTGTGGCCGTCAAAGACACTGGCGCTGTGCCCAAACGTCCCGAGGGGGAAATCCCCCGTCGTTCGGGGGCGAGTCCACACCATCGTTTCCGTGTCCAACGTGTACACGTCGTTAAAGTACTCGCCCGTGATGTCGCCAGGGGTGGTTTTCAACGCATACCTGTGTATACATGTGGTCTTGACGACGCCGGTGATAAGTATACAACAAAGACCTACCCCCCAAACACGAGAATGCGGCCGTCCTCGAGGAGTACCATCGTGTGGCCGTGCCGAGGAGGCGGGGGGGTGCCAGTGACCTTGGGCTTGATCCATGCAAACGACTCGGTGTCAAATACCCACAAGTCTTTGAACGTTTTGTTGGTTCCGTCCCATCTGTGTAGTCAAATCGTCCAAGTTCAGTCAAGAAACGAAAGTGCACTGTGACGTACCCGCCAAAAATGACCAGTTTGTTTCCGACGGCCAGGGCGGAGTGACTGAATCGCTCGGACGGGGACTCGGTGGTCCAATTCACGCTGAACCAGTGCCACGTCTCCAGGTCCAAGTAAAACATGTCGCGATACAGCGCCCCCTTGGCCCCTTTGCCGCCAAAAACAAACATTTTCGTCCCTATAGAGAGTGTATTGTGATATACTTCATTTGACGATGACGAGAATAGGGTGTGTGCGTTCGAACCGATTAAAGTGGCCGTGTGGTTGTATCGAGGGGCTGGAGGTTTGCCTTCACACTTGACTTGACACCACGTCGACGTCTCCAAGTCCAGCGCGTGCGTGTCATTCAGGTACACAAACGACCCTTCGCCGCCAAAGTAATGTCCACCAAACACTACGATACGCTGGCCTGCCAGCAACGTCGTGTGCCCACCTCGAGCGGACGGCGGCAAGCCATCCATTGTTGGCATGGACCAAGAAATCGTCACAGCAGCATCTACCACCTCACGTCCTGCCGTCATTTGTCGTTTTTGATGTGCCGACAACGTAACCGTTCGAAAGTAACCGCCGTGATATGCTGCGCTGCCCTTGTTCCAAAGCCAACATTCTTAATGATAGTATTAATATATTAATCCTAATTTACATGTTAGTGTCTGCTGTATTTGGCAGATTTCGCAAACCGAAATCTGAAATCTGGCTGATGCCAATTACGCCTATTAATAGTACTAGTATTGTCTCACCTCAACGGGTACGAGAATTGGTCAACGCAGCATTTTGTTGACCACTCAGCCTGACCGCGCGGGGCGAAAAATACAGGACGAGCTACTCCACTTCCCAAGCTCACATTCGTTTTGGACTTGAACCAACCAAAAACCAAAAGCTGCTTCATGCTGTTCCTTCCAGGCTTCCGAAATAATATATTTATTGCGACTATCTAAAATGACGCCAATAGATTTCACGATATTCGACGACCTCGATAATAAATAATTGTTAGCAAATGCAAAATATCGATAATTGTTCAAATATATTATTACACAAGGCAGTAAAAATTCCAATACGATGCATTCGCGCGAAGGAATGTGATCATCTCGAAATGTACTTCGCGACGAAGTACATCATGACAGACCATAGAAAGCACATGCATCCGGTGAAGAAGAGCCGTTCAACAATGTTGCTCGTTGGACCGACAAACTTCAAGTAGCAGTACTTGCTTGCTGTTGGTCCCATTCGGCGACGTTTTGGAACCAAAAGTTCGTCCGCGTAGCTCAACGGCGTCTGTGGACTGCAACCGTGCCAGGATCCAACAGGAGCATGACCAATGCATCCTTCTCAGCAGCAGCTGCGTAACGACAACACCTTCACCACACCATTGTCAAAATGGTGTGGCGAAGGTGTGTTGAGGATAATTGGGCGAAGCTTGAAAATAGATTATCGATATCTACCGGCACTAAAAATAGATTATTGCATCCAACGTCACATAAGAAATAGATTATTTTTGCTATCTTATCTAGATTATTATCTCAAAGATATATTAAGCCCGAAGCCTGGTTCCTTCCCATCCAGAGTACTCAAACGTCCGATTCCAAGCGCGACGAACTCTCGCACCGCACGAACGAAACCCAAAAAGCCAAACGAATGGTCAACGACGCCGTGAAGACGGGGGGCATCCTTGTGGTGCTGGTCGGGGACGACAAGGGCCTCACGAACGCCACGTACTAAAGCTTCGCAAAGGAATGATGGCAAGTTCTGGCTAAACTGGAGGTCACGGAAGCTCTAGCGTGCGACCAGCCCCCAGTGGTTCCGAAAAGGCACGAGTGACACACCCCGCGCGCGAACTACTCAAGCGCGCCCCCACCTCGTTGGGCCTTCCCCCTTACCGTTGGGGGGCCTCGAAGTAAGGATCCCCCTGTACAGGCCTACTATATTGACCTATTGAGGTCGTCTTGGGGCACTCCAAGGCTGTCCCAGTATCCGCTAATTCGACAGGTGACCGTCAAGATCGTCGGTACGCTGTATGCCCAAGTGGACTGGATGATTGAACACTGTGAAGCGCCTGCGACGACTTCTCCCCGATTATATCGCACGATTGCTATCCCGTCGACTACGCTGGGGTCACATCGGTCGAATAAGCAAGTCACGAGTGACATTTTCACGTTGTGCATTCGCCACAGTGGAACACTAAATCACTTGACCAAAACCCGCAAACTTATGTGGTGACCGTACCCTTTCACGAAGCCTTCAAGATGTGTGTGGGTTCTCGATCGAAAAACACTAATAATACAATAGGCACTTCGAAGGATTGGCTGTCCCCGACCGCCCCCCACAGCATTCACGTCATGCGTGTGGGCTCCAAGTGAAGCTGCACAGTTGCTGGCGTCGAAGTACCCTAGTGAGCTTTCACTGAACGAGGTTGTCGACCAACACCAACCTAGCGGCAGTCTTCTCGGCGCTTCACGGACCATTTCAGAAAGGATATGTGGCGCACTTGATCCAAGGTTTCGAAGATCGAGCCCTGGAATTGCAGGGGGGAATTTCGTCCAATTGGTCAATTGGATGGTGATGAAGTAGTCCGTGACTCCACCTACAACCTGGTAGACAACTCGTCCGCGGGCTATAATATTTGAATGATACATTTGACGATCTATAATAGAGAGGTTTTGCAACTTCACAAACTGCACCGTACAACAGCCAGACTGCAGATATTAATCGATTTCCTATGTTCTAGTTATTCTATATGTGCTTAGCTTGCAGTATATTTCGCCTGGTCATCGACATATTTCGACCGATCCATTTATTTAGAGATAATGGGGTTTACGAAATGTCTACGAAACCCTTATAATCTTATCTTTCGCATCCAGCGATAAAGGTATTTATTTGTATTTGCCACACACTTTGACTCTGCTGGATCCTCGCACACAACGATGAATGATACGCATGTAAATCAAAGGTTATACTTCTTGATGAGAACATACATTGTTGTATGTCATCTCGTCTAGTCTACACTTGCTAACTTCTCTATCATTTCTTTCCAATAAAAGCGTTTGGCCAAGACGGGCATACGTTGGACGACACTCTCAGGTACGCCAGAGCTCAGCCCAAGTTTTAAAGTGTACACTGTAGGCTACAGTACTTTACTGTAGTCGGTGTCATCCGTGCGCCTTGCCTTGCGCGAGAAGGCGCCACTCCCGTGCCGGCATCCTTGGATTTACAATCATAATGCAGTTTGATTTGATAGATTATCTTTATTTACAGATGCAAGGACAATCACACGTTAATATGATATCACTACTGTATGTAAATTGCAGCGAAGGACCGTGGAAGTCTTCCAGTGGAGCACTGCACTTGACCATAGGCGAGCTTTCTGTGCATTCAGGATTCAGTAGTCCCCGCCAATCCAATGCAATCTATGACTAGGTAATTTATAGCCATACTATACGAAAAGTGAGACAGAATCATCGTTATTGAAGCCCCAGAGAAGATTTCGTGGAATCGCCCACGTCGCGGGACGTGGCGCAGGCAGCCTATTATAATGATTCTGTTGTGGTATGGTGCACAACAAAGGGCACGACTGCCCACCTCACCAGGCCCTAGAGATGGCTGAGGTAGAGTAACGTTATTAGTGTGTGTGTGATGGTGGAGGTATTGCCATTGCCTTCGACATCAAAGTCAAGACACGCCCATCGTGCTCATAATTGTACTCAGTATTCATACGATATTTATACGCAACAGCGCTTCTCGTACTGATAGCGTGTTTTACTTCCATACCGAAGCAACATACCTTGATCCCCAGTTGTTGACAAGCCTATGTCCTCCGTGGTCGGCGCCGCTGGGGGCTTGCGTTTGGTTGATGGCATTGCTGTGTAAAGATTCTGAAACTGTGTCCGGATACTCGATTTCGTAAAACCCTTTATATCTCTGGATATAATTTTAGCATACAAATATCAAATCAAAATATGTCCACTATCTGGGTTTACGAAATTTCGTGTTTCGTATCTCCAATTGTATCCGGCACATTTATTTCGTAAAACATATATATTTCGAGGCAACTTGAAACTCATACAGCTGCATTTCACCAAGCTAGCGGTATAATTCAACCAACTACTACCTCTGTCCGAAAATGTTTGCACGTTTCGGAAAAAGTGAAGTTCGGGAAAGATTGCACGATTCGTACTACTCTTGTTTGAATGGGAGCACATATAAAAAAGTCACTAAAAAGTCACAATACATATATTATTTATTCAATGTCTAAGCCCAAGATTTCCAATAAGTCCTCGTCCAACTCATCATCGACACCGAGTCGCTCAATTTGAGAGCAAAACTCTCCCATGTCCAATGCCGCAGATATTTCTGCAGCTAATTCCTCGACTTTCTCTTCCATGTCGGTAGTCGCTGCTTGTGGAAGATTGCCCGACGTTGTATTGCCTGACCGCGACGTAGTCGATGCCGTA